ATGTCTGTCTATGTCAGGTGTAACATGTCTGTCTATGTCAGGTGTAACATGTCTGTCTATGTCAGGTGTAACATGTCTGTCTATGTCAGGTGTAACATGTCTGTCTATGTCAGGTGTAACATGTCTGTCTATGTCAGGTGTAACATGTCTGTCTATGTCAGGTGTAACATGTCTGTCTATGTCAGGTGTAACATGTCTGTCTATGTCAGGTGTAACATATCTGTCTATGTCAGGTGTAACATGGCTATGTCAGGTGTAACATGTCTGTCTATGTCAGGTGTAACATGTCTGTCTATGTCAGGTGTAACATGTCTGTCTGTCACGTGTAACATGTCTGTCTATGTCAGGTGTAACATGTCTGTCAGGTGTAACAGGTCTATGTCAGGTGTAACATGTCTGTCTATGTCAGGTGTAACATGTCTGTCTATGTCATGTGTAACATATCTGTCTATGTCAGGTGTAACATGTCTGTCTATGTCAGGTGTAACATGTCTGTCTATGTCAGGTGTAACATGTCTGTCTATGTCAGGTGTAACATGTCTGTCTATGTCAGGTGTAACATGTCTGTCAGGTGTAACATGTCTGTCTGTCAGGTGTAACATCTGTCTATGTCACGTGTAACATGTCTGTCTATGTCAGGTGTGACATGTCTGTCTAGGTCAGGTGTAGCATGTCTGTCAGGTGTAACAGGTCTATGTCAGGTGTAACATGTCTGTCTATGTCAGGTGTAACATGTCTGTCTATGTCAGGTGTAACATGTCTGTCTATGTCAGGTGTAACATGTCTGTCTATGTCAGGTGTAACATGTCTGTCTATGTCAGGTGTAACATGTCTGTCTATGTCAGGTGTAACATGTCTGTCAGGTGTAACATGTCTGTCTATGTCAGGTGTAACATGTCTGTCTATGTCAGGTGTAACATGTCTGTCTATGTCAGGTGTAACATATCTGTCTATGTCACGTGTAACATGTCTGTCTATGTCAGGTGTAACATGTCTGTCTATGTCAGGTGTAACATGTCTGTCTATGTCAGGTGTAACATGTCTGTCTATGTCAGGTGTAACATGTCTGTCTATGTCAGGTGTAACATGTCTGTCTATGTCAGGTGTAACATATCTGTCTATGTCACGTGTAACATGTCTGTCTATGTCAGGTGTAACATGTCTGTCTATGTCAGGTGTAACATGTCTATGTCAGGTGTAACATGTCTGTCTATGTCAGGTGTAACATGTCTGTCTATGTCAGGTGTAACATGTCTGTCTATGTCAGGTGTAACATGTCTGTCTATGTCAGGTGTAACATGTCTGTCTATGTCAGGTGTAACATGTCTGTCTATGTCAGGTGTAACATGTCTGTCTATGTCAGGTGTAACATGTCTGTCTATGTCAGGTGTAACATGTCTGTCTATGTCAGGTGTAACATGTCTGTCTATGTCAGGTGTAACATGTCTGTCTATGTCAGGTGTAACATGTCTGTCTATGTCAGGTGTAACATGTCTGTCTATGTCAGGTGTAACATGTCTGTCTATGTCAGGTGTAACATGTCTGTCTATGTCAGGTGTAACATGTCTGTCTATGTCAGGTGTAACATGTCTGTCTATGTCAGGTGTAACATGTCTGTCTATGTCAGGTGTAACATGTCTGTCTATGTCAGGTGTAACATGTCTGTCTATGTCAGGTGTAACATGTCTGTCTATGTCAGGTGTAACATGTCTGTCTATGTCAGGTGTAACATGTCTGTCTATGTCAGGTGTAACATGTCTGTCTGTCAGGTGTAACATGTCTGTCTATGTCAGGTGTAACATGTCTGTCTATGTCAGGTGTAACATATCTGTCTGTCAGGTGTAACATGTCTGTCTATGTCAGGTGTAACATGTCTGTCTATGTCAGGTGTAACATGTCTGTCTATGTCAGGTGTAACATGTCTGTCAAACAGAATCTTCCCCAGACTCTATTACTATTGGCAACATTTTCTTTGCTCTGGGATTGAATAATCAGATAATAATAAAATGGGGACTAATGGTTTGAATAAGTTTTTACATTTTTTTCTTGTTTTAGAATCTTCTATTGTTGAAGACACATCATATTGTTTAGATGTTCTTTTGTTTACAACCTGATTTTGGTGGTGGTCAGTAAGTAATTTGTTATCAAATGTTTTATCCATATCAAATGTTTTATCCATATCAAATGTTTTATCCATATCAAATACTTTCAAATTTGGATCAGAGAATAAAAGTGCCTTATTATAAGATTTGTGTTCTCATTAAATCATTTACTTTCTTTTTGGTGCATAATTATAGACAAAGTTTTTATTAGAGAATTGCGAGTCTAAAAGAACCGTACACCAACACAATTGACATGCATATAATATTGTGGACAAGTAGTACTTATGGATTCCTAAAAAATGAATTCAGCATCTAATTAAGTCAAATTTTATGTCATAAGGCATCGTCATCGGGTCATGACCTGCGTGCTAGGTAGAGGTGGTTAAAATTTTCTTGGCCTGTTTGAAGCCATGACGAAGCATGTAAACAGCACAGCACACAGGCCTGTTTGAACCCATAACGAAGCACGTAAACAGCACAGCACGCAGACGTGTGCAACAGAAAAAGCGCAAATAGAAATTTCCACACACAGAAAAATGTTCAAAGAGAAAAATGTGCAAACAGAAATTAGCACAGAAAAATGGGCAAATAAGAAAATGACACACCGATTTTTCATCAATTATGAGTCTGACAATGTCTTTATATATATATATATTTGTGTGTGTATGTTTATGCTTGCATGTTTAAGTTGGTCTGTGTTAAGAAAATAATATTCTAATAACAATAGAATTAGCATGATATTTAGATGTATGGACGGACGGATGGACAGACAGGTAGCCAAGGTGAGTGGATGAGTCATTGGGTCTGTTGATAGGTGGTAGGTGTTGGTGTGGCTGTTAATGTAGGTATATATGTAAGTGTAGGTACACGTGTAGGCTTAGCTAAGCAAATCACCACTGGTCAAATAACCTGTGATCAACACCTGTGGTGAACAAACTGCCTGTGGACAATGCTTGGCTGTGGTCAAACAACATGTGGGCTCATCACCTTTGGTAAATAAAACATCTATAATCGGAAAATCTGAGGAATTTATGATTCTATTTATTTTAGAAATTGACGCATTTATTTTCTTAAATAAAAGTATACAGACGTTGAAACAAAATATTTCTGTCTATGAATGCACATAGGCACATGAAAACTCAAACACACACATTGCCATAATCCTCATTGGTGAGCGATCTGTGCTAGTTTTCTGTGCGCACAATTTTCTGTGTGTGCATTTTTCTGTGTGCAAATTGCAAATTTTTTCCCCCTTTCTGGGAACCCACGCAGACAGAGAAAACAAAATGGATAAAAAAACCAAGCATGAAACCGGCGGAACTGTTGTGTAGAAACTGTCGAGGTTCAAAGTTTTAACCATTTACCCTAACTAAACATAGTTACTTTACAAAACAAAAACTTCCATTAACTTAAAACAAGTCAATACTTTATAGATTTATTGATCACATTTATAAAAATGTGTTTGATCTGTCAAATATAACAAATAAAAAACTTTTGAAAATAGAATAACATGAATAAAGTAATTATTGTGTAAACACAAATCCAACAGCATAAATCCTAAGAATTATCAACTTTGTAATGGTTTTAGACAGCTGAACAAAAAAACTGGTTCATACAGCATGTTCAAATCTGCTTACAATAGAAATGATATAACTATATTATCACATCATTTATTCAGAATATTTTTATACATAAATCTAATCATAGACCTAGCATAAATCTCCAACTGTGGTGAGAGATGTGTGTTCTTTACTGTCAGGTAGGTGGGGCTGTTTGTTCTTTACTGTCAGGTAGGTGGGGCTGTGTGTTCTTTACTGTCAGGTAATTGGAGCTGTGTGTTCTTTACTGTCAGGTAGGTGGGGCTCTGTGTTCTTTACTGTCAGGTAGGTGGAGCTGTGTGTTCTTTACTGTCAGGTAGGTGGGGCTGTGTGTTCTCATTGTCAGGTAGGTGGGGTTGTGTGTTCTTTACTGTCAGGTAGGTGGAGCTGTGTGTTCTTTACTGTCAGGTAGGTGGAGCTGTGTGTTCTTTACTGTCAGGTAGGTGGGGCTGTGTGTTCTCATTGTCAGGTAGGTGGGGTTGTGTGTTCTTTACTGTCAGGTAGGTGGAGCTGTGTGTTCTCATTGTCAGGTAGGTGGAGCTGTGTGTTCTCATTGTCAGGTAGGTGGAGCTGTGTTCTTTACTGTCAGGTAGGTGGAGCTGTGTGTTCTCATTGTCAGGTAGGTGGAGCTGTGTGTTCTTTACTGTCAGGTAGGTGGAGCTGTGTGTTCTCATTGTCAGGTAGGTGGAGCTGTGTGTTCTTTACTGTCAGGTAGGTGGAGCTGTGTGTTCTCATTGTCAGGTAGGTGGGGTTGTGTGTTCTTTACTGTCAGGTAGGTGGGGGCTCTGTGTTCTTTACTGTCAGGTAGGTGGGGTTGTGTGTTCTTTACTGTCAGGTAGGTGGGGCTCTGTGTTCTTTACTGTCAGGTAGGTGGGGTTGTGTGTTCTTTACTGTCAGGTAGGTGGAGCTGTGTGTTCTTTACTGTCAGGTAGGTGGAGCTGTGTGTTCTTTACTGTCAGGTAGGTGGAGCTGTGTGTTCTTTACTGTCAGGTAGGTGGAGCTGTGTGTTCTTTACTGTCAGGTAGGTGGAGCTGTGTGTTCTTTACTGTCAGGTAGGTGGAGCTGTGTTCTCACATTTTGAACTACTAACGTTAAAGGACTTTGTAAATAAATGTATTTTTGATGATCCAACACCACAAATAGTCACAAGTAGTTTGTTTAACAAATTTTAACATGCACTTTTTCAACAAGAGGAAATATTTACACACACACACACTATATATACATTATATATATATATATATATATATATATATATATATATATATATATATATATATATATATATATATATATATATATATATATATGCTTATAGGAAAAATGATCTCAGACAAAATATCTCATGGAGAAAAGATCACAGAGATTAAATATCTCATGGCAAAATACATAGAATCTGATTTATCCATTTAGGATGTCAACAAAAGTATGTAGCTTTCAATACAGCTCCATGTAGAAGTCCACAAAAATATAGTTCCCCTTACTTAAACCTACCTAAAATTTACTAATTCAATAACTTGCAATGTGTATACATACACTTAAGGGAATGGGTGGGTGATGAAAACCAAACAACCTAAAATGCTTATTAACAAACATAATGCTATCAGTTCTAGCATATAGCTATAACTCAAAAAGTAAAAAAAATATTTTTTAAACTGGCCAAAAATTTCCTGCTGTTGCCACGGTGACGGTGGCCATCTTTGATTATTTTTTTTACAATTTCAACATAGAAATAACTTTCTTAATGGTATTAAAATTGATCAAAATTTTCTATGGTTTTTCTGTATGCATTACCAACAAAACTGATAGAACACATTTTTGAAAATGTGTAGTTAAAATGGTGTCTTTTTGCACACATTTTGATTTTTTAAAAGTGATTTTCAGAATAAAAATTGTATAAACGAAAGTATTTCAAAATATAATCTCACAATTTTTCTGCACATTTTTCATTGAATTCTTTGAGTTAATTCGTTGTTAAAAAGGTAAATAAAATCCAAAATGGCCGCCATCACCATGGCATGACATTTTCTGCCATTTTTTATTTTAGGCTTAACTTAACTTGGTCATAACTATATGCTAAATATTATAGCATTAGGTTCAGAAGTAAGCATATTGGTTATTTTAGTTTTCATCACTCACCCATGCCCTTAAAAAAATAAAATTAGGTTATTTAAACACGTGAATGTCTGTTAATAATAATGAATGTAGAATATATAAGTTGTTAAAAATATACATAAATAAATAGATCAACATTCATACAAAATTTCTGTACAAAATTGTCATATCAGCTATATAATTTTCTTAGAATATTAAAGCTAAAACCAAGACTTAGTTTGCAGAATGACTATGGGGATGATGTCCAGAGTTTGGCCCACTATCTGGGGAAAGTACCTCAAGTAAGAGAGACAACTTTCAAATTAAAAAAACTCAAGTAAGAGAGACAACTTTCAAATAAAAAAACTCAAGTAAGAGAGACAACTCTCAAATAAAAAAACTGCTGTCGTATGTGGACAAAGGATGTGGAAACAAATTCCCAAAGAAAAGCAGGCCAAGTTCACCAGTCATACGGTGCACAAAATGTTGACAAGCAACTCTTCATTATGTCAGAGGATTTCCCTTCAATATTATAATTAAAACCAATCACAAGAAGAATGACTATAAAATTCAAGAGATTTAAAATGACTATCTAATTTTAAACAAAAGACTTTCCTCCAGAACTATAATAGTAAAAAAGCTTTGGTCGCATTCATTTTTTCTTTAAATTAAAAGCACATTCTATCTTAGGGTAGGCATTGAGTACAAGTGGGATACATTATGCTAAACTTATATATGTGAAAACAATTGCAACAAATGTGGATAAAACAATAGACAAAATGGACGAGTAAAAATCTGGCCAACTGACAGGCTCTAACATGAAAATACAAGAGTCACAGCAGAGATTCAGCTTTGGTTACTGCCTAAAATCAACATAGCACTAAGGCATATCTGAGGCAGGGTTAACTCACTATTGACAAACATGTCCAAACTATTGCCCAGCTAAAACTGGGATATGGCAGTGCATGGAGAAATTATGTGTATTTTAAAGCGACATATAGTCAATCAATTGCAATCACAAACTACATTGAATCGGACTAAAAAGTGTAGTGTTTTTAATAGTAATACTTTAGTTAAGTCAATTACCTCTTGTGAAAAATTTTGAACTATAAATCTCCTCCCTGGCAATTCGCAGCGCATAGTTTCATTATGAATTGACAAAAATTGACATCATTATGACTTGATGACATAAATTGACATCACTACAACATGATGACAATAATTGGCATCTTGAATTCATTTCAGCAATCGAATAGAAATGTTTTCAGTTCCTAAGTCATTATTTCCTACCAAAATTGCAAGCCTTTGTCTAGACTGCATCATGAAAATGTTTATACAGATCTCTTTAAGTCATCTCCATAAATGACCAAAGTAACTAAAAAACCAATACAACATTTCAGACCATTTCTTCTGGAGGCTTAGATCTGATTGATGGTGATCATTTGATTCTTGGTGATACATCTTTCTTGGTCAAACTTTCTATACTGTGTTGAGCTTCTCATCTTGGGCCTCAATGCCATTGTCTGCAGACTTGACCTGCGCTGGGTTAGACTGCTGGTTGGTTATCTGGCTTTGTTCCTGCTGCCCTCTACTCTTTGTACCTTCAGCAGGCTCGAGGTGGATGCTTGTTATGATCCCATACGGCTTCAGGTGATAGATCAGGTATTCTAACACATACATCATGTTAGGTGAAACGTAATGAAATGTTATAGCATAATCACTACAACACTCTTCCCCCTGAAACAAATAGACCAGATATTTGATCACACAAGGCAATACAGCCAACAGTTCTAACACTACAACACAAGGCAATACAGCCAACAGTTCTAACACTACAACACAAGGCAATACAGCCAACAGTTCTAACACTACAACACAAGGCAATACAGCCAACAGTTCTAACACTACAACACAAGGCAATACAGCCAACAGTTCTAACACTACAACACAAGGCAATACAGCCAACAGTTCTAACACTACAACACAAGGCAATACAGCCAACAGTTCTAACACTACAACACAAGGCAATACAGCCAACAGTTCTAACACTACAACACAAGGCAATACAGCCAACAGTTCTAACACTACAACACAAGGCAATACAGCCAACAGTTCTAACACTACAACACAAGGCAATACAGCCAACAGTTCTAACACTACAACACAAGGCAATACAGCCAACAGTTCTAAGACTACAACACAAGGCAATACAGCCAACAGTTCTAACACTACAACACAAGGCAATACAGCCAACAGTTCTAACACTACAACACAAGGCAATACAGCCAACAGTTCTAACACTACAACACAAGGCAATACAGCCAACAGTTCTAACACTACAACACAAGGCAATACAGCCAACAGTTCTAACACTACAACACAAGGCAATACAGCCAACAGTTCTAACACTACAACACATGGCAATACAGCCAACAGTTCTAACACTACAACACAAGGCAATACAGCCAACAGTTCTAACACTACAACACAAGGCAATACAGCCAACAGTTCTAACACTACAACACAAGGCAATACAGCCAACAGTTCTAACACTACAACACAAGGCAATACAGCCAACAGTTCTAACACTACAACACAAGGCAATACAGCCAACAGTTCTAACACTACAACACAAGGCAATACAGCCAACAGTTCTAACACTACAACACAAGGCAATACAGCCAACAGTTCTAACACTACAACACAAGGCAATACAGCCAACAGTTCTAACACTACAACACAAGGCAATACAGCCAACAGTTCTAACACTACAACTGATTTGATCACACAAGGCAATAAAGTCAAAACACAATAAGGAGTGCAAGAAATTCATTATCATTACAAGCAATCAAGCAACAACACACAAGGGAAACAAGCAACCAACACACAAGGGAGACAAGCAACCAACACACAAGGGAGACAAGCAAGCAACCAACACACAAGGGAGACAAGCAAGCAACCAACACACAAGGGAGACAAGCAAGCAACCAACACACAAGGGAGACAAGCAAGCAACCAACACACAAGGGAGACAAGCAAGCAACCAACACACAAGGGAGACAACACTGAAGTGACATACCTGTTTAGCTGGGTAGTAGCTGTATGACCAGTACCACACAGCAAGCAACCAACACACAAGGGAGACAAGTGACGTACCTGTTTAGCTGGGTAGTAGCTGTATGACCAGTACCACATAGCAAGCAACCAACACACAAGGGAGACAACACTGAAGTGACGTACCTGTTTAGCTGGGTAGTAGCTGTATGACCAGTACCATATAGCAAGCAATCAACACACAAGGGAGACAAGACAAGCAACCAACACACAAGGGAGACAACACTGAAGTGACGTACCTGTTTAGCTGGGTAGTAGCTGTATGACCAGTACCACATAGCAAGCAACCAACACACAAGGGAGACAATACAAGCAACCAACACACAAGGGAGACAACACTGAAGTGACGTACCTGTTTAGCTGGGTAGTAGCTGTATGACCAGTACCACATGTCTTTAGGGAGGATGTCTGGTATGAGGTGGTGCTCAGGAACAAATGGGTGGAACCTCTCCCTCCCCAGCTCATCCCTGGTGTCCCCCGCTCGCACTCCCAGATTCTCCAGACATTTGCCCATCTCCAGGTCCTCGGCTCCCCCGCCGTCCCCCCGACAAGAATCAGAGTTGGAGAGACCGCTGCTGACCAGCCTGGTCAAGGCCTCTTTACTGAGCACGTAGCCAGCACCCCCACTCATGTAGCCCTGGTTCACCATTGGCTTAAATCTACGGCCAAAATAGATGGGATCCTTGGGGGACTTATCTTGCAGGAAAAATCTCAAGTTTTCAACCACCATATAGGTATCATCATCAGCTTTGACAAACCAGTCAGCCTGATCAAAGTGTTTAGAAAAAACGTATTTAAATGCTTCCTTAGTTTTGGCCCACAGGTTATCACGGCCCTCCTGAAAGAAAAACATTTTTTTTTAAAAACTTGTTTTTTCATTGTACTTCTTTCTATAGTATAATTCACACTATACTTTCTACATTAAAAATTCTTTGCATTTTATAAACTTTTACTGAGGTCACGATGTATGTCTGTGGCAAATCTGGTAATTCAGTTTTAACCTAAGCAGTCTTTCATTAAAACATTCAAGATTGATTAGTATCTGAACTAACAACAATGAAAGAATATCTGATGTTCAATATAACTGGATGTTAAATTAGTTATTAAAAATGTATTTAAAGATAACTATATTTATAACAAAATGAACAAGTAGTGACAATGAGTCAGGTGAACTGTATTCACTGATGTTTTTATACATAAAAACTGACCACTGACTTTACTGAGGGACAGATAATTATCACTTAGCGCTACTGATCAAGTGTGAAAGCAGATATTTTTTTGTTGGCTAAATTTAAAAAACCGACTCAAAGTGATTACTATGGAAATAATTGGTTTTTAAACTGAACTGTTCACTTACTTTTGCATCTTGACAATATTTAAGTAGTTAAAAGTAGATAATTATACAAGAGTAAATAACCTTTAAAACTATAAGATTTTAAATGAACTGAAAATAAGAAAGCACAAAAAACGTCTATTTAGCTAAGGCATTAGTGGCTAAAACTTGTCATGAGTACAGCAAGTGAAATGATTGGCTTACATCAACTGGCAGGGCAATGGCTGGCAGTGTATCCTCAGGCTGGGAGAACTAACTAGTAACTAGAGAAAGTTTGTGTAGATAAAACTTGTACAGCAAGTGAAATGATTGGCTTACATCAACTGGCAGGGCAATGGCTGGCAGTGTATCCTCAGGCTGGGAGCTCATGAAGAGCAGAACATTACACCTGTGACCCCAGGTGGCCTTGACATGGCGGGCCTTGGTGTAGATATTGTTGGGGTTTGTCATTACCCAGCACAAAACTCGGACTTTCTTCCGCAACATTTTGGCTATGGAGTCATCTTCATCTGCTCAAACAAAAATATGACTTCACTTAACATTGTCTAAGTTTCATCCTGGCCATTACTTTGGTGGGGATGAAGGGGTGCTCAATATGGTATGTATGTCTTTTGTTCACATGGTGACTTTGTTGTGTTCTTGTCACTATATCACATTAACTGTAAAATCAGGTGTTGTCTTGTCAAAGAAGTTTACAAAGTCATGTTCACTTCATATCAGTGCTTCTCTTAGTTGATTGGAGTCAATTAGTAGTTTATTTTTTGTGTTTGTGTCAACTATTTCTTGTGTTTACAGTAAATTTGCTATTTCTCATGTGTCAACTATTTCTTGTGTTTACAGTAAGTTTGCTATTTCTCATGTGTCAACTATTTCTTGTGTTTACAGTAAGTTTGCAATTTCTCATGTGTCAACTATTTCTTGTGTTTACAGTAAATTTGCTATTTCTCATGTGTCAACTATTTCTTGTGTTTACAGTAAGTTTCCTATTTCTCATGTGCCTTTGATTACCAGTGTTGCCCTGAATCTTTTATTTAGTTCACAATATCTGTCCTTCTGTCTTGGCAAATCAATTTTGACCCATTTCTTACAATGAATTTATTCATTTAGATACATTTGTCTCCAACAAAAACACAAAAATCTGACATTTTCAATCTAATTAAATATTAAATTTGTCATTAAAATTCCATTGAAATATGACTAAAGCAAAAAACTAAACAGAGACAACAAGATTAACAAGGTCTCATTCAGTCAAGTTATCAGATGAGCAGGGGTAGATAAATGTCTTTAACTTTTAGTAATAGCCAGCTACTGATTGGGTTTAAAGTTATCAGAAGGGGTAGATAAATGTCTTTAACTTTTAGTAATAGCCAGCTACTGATTGGGTTTAAAGTTATCAGAAGGGGTAGATAAATGTCTTTAACTGTTAGTAATAGCCAGCTACTGATTGGGTTTAAAGTTATCAGATGAGAAGGGGTAGATAAATGTCTTTAACTTTTAGTAATAGCCAGCTACTGATTGGGTTATCAGATGAGCAGGGGTAGATAAATGTCTTTAACTTTTAGTAATAGCCAGCTACTGATTGGGTTTAAAGTTATCAGATGAGAAGGGGTAGATAAATGTCTTTAACTGTTAGTAATAGCCAGCTACTGATTGGGTTTAAAGTTATCAGATGAGAAGGGGTAGATAAATGTCTTTAACTTTTAGTAATAGCCAGCTACTGATTGGGTTATCAGATGAGCAGGGGTAGATAAATGTCTTTAACTTTTAGTAATAGCCAGCTACTGATTGGGTTATCAGATGAGCAGGGGTAGATAAATGTCTTTAACTTTTAGTAATAGCCAGCTACTGATTGGGTTATCAGATGAGCAGGGGTAGATAAATGTCTAACTTTTAGTAATAACCAGCTACTGATGGGGTTTGAAGCTAATATTTTTAGTTATAGTTGTATGAATTCTTTAAAACATGAACAAAAAAGTAAAGACCTATTCAAAGCTTATGGTCCATGAGCAGGGGAAGTAGAGTTCACCTGTTTCAACATGTGGTCAGCTGACTTAACTTTCCTTAACTTGAGGTAGGCCAACCCATCACAGAGGGGTGGACTTAAGGACATCCAAGGATTCGAGCCTGGGATCCACTTAATCTAGTTAAACTCAAAAGCTCATGTGCGTTTTCAGAAAGTCATAAATAATTGACATCTTCAAATGATCTTCATTTGAAAAAAAAATGACAACGCCGTATATTGAGTTGAAGATGTGTAGGTCAAGCTAAACCTACCTAACACAAAGAATGAGAGTTGAAGATGTGTAGGCCAACCCAAATCTACCCCTGCCTAAGTCAAAGAATTAGAGTTGAAGATGTGTAGGCCAACCCAAACCTACCCTACCCAACAAAGAGTTGAAGCCAAAACTTACTGGCATGGCTGTGTGAGTGCTCATCTTTCCAGTTGATGGAGCTGTCTGGACCTTTGAGTAAATCATTCTCTCCATGGCTGTGGGGACTGTCAGGGATGTAGCCAGCTATAGAGTTGTGACTTGAGGAGGACGTGTATCTCAGAATATTGGACACTGAGATGCCAATGGCTATCCCTATAGCTAAAGTTGTTATACTCACTTTCCCAAAGCTATTGACTATTGAAGGCATCTTGTACAATGGTTTGCTATTTAGATTTCAAGCATGTTAGCCAGTCTCACTGCTCCCTGTAAAAGAGCAGAAATGAAAGAATCAATTAGACAGTTTTGTTTCATCTAATCAATTTATAAAGGGTCTAATGAAAGAATCAATTAGACAGTTTTGTTTCATCTAATCAATTTATAAAGGGTCTAATGAAAGAATCAATTAGACAGTTTTGTTTCATCTAATCAATTTATAAAGGGTCTAATGAAAGAATCAATTAGACAGTTTTGTTTCATCTAATCAATTTATAAAGGGTCTAATGAAAGAATCAATTAGACAGTTTTGTTTCATCTAATCAATTTATAAAGGGTCTCACCAACCATTTTAATAGCAAAGCCACATCGTTATTTATGATTTTGGAATAGCTGATAATTATTAGGGGTTATCCTTAAATTATATCAAGGTTTTTTGACGATTTTTACCTCCCCTCTTCCATCCGTCACAAAAGCCAGACCCCCTGAAATGATGTCACAGCTCAGCCAACAAGCGCCTCCCTCCCCCTCAAAATTGAATTTTTTTTAAAACAGATTTTTTTGTAACTGAGCTCGAACAACATAGGATATTTTAATCAAATTTCTATTAAAATTTATTAAAACGGTTTTCTAAATTGTGAAATAGTGGCTAAAATTCAGTTTCTAAAATTACTTTTAAAAAAATACATAATTATGTTGTCACACTATCTGGAAATCTCTGCCCCCTCCCCCTCATCAGATGTTACAAAATTACTGATCCCCCCCCCCCCCCCCCCCCACCAATATGTATTTACGGAAGACCCTTTAATAAAAATATTTTTTCTTCCACAGACAAGACATGGTCAGCGTGATGGTCAGTGTTATGTTGAGTTCACATTGGTTTTTAAATCAGTAGGCCTTGAGCATAGCACTGTAGGAACAGTTACTCAAAATTGACAATGACGTTATTTTTAGTTTTTCCCCCAAACAAGCAGTACCAAACATGTACTTGGAGTCATGGTGAGGTCACAAGAGCCATCATTGCTAGAAGGAGGGTTAGTCTAGTCCTCATAGTCACTTTTTGCAAGGATTTCATTATTAATTTGATTTTTGCTAAAGAATATATATTGTATGTTCATGATGGAGCATTACAGTTATATATAGAATCAAACTTTCTACAACCCTATATTACAGTTGGTGGTAGAACTACCACTATCACATTTTGTAGAGCAGAGGTTTCTCCAACTTGCACCCTCACAACTGGTGCATCTCCAACTTGCACCCTCACAACTGGTGCATCTCCAACTTGCACCCTCACAACTGGTGCATCTCCAACTTGCACCCTCACAACTGGTGCATCTCCAACTTGCACCCTCACAACTGGTGCATCTCCAACTTGCACCCTCACAACTGGTGCATCTCCAACTTGCACCCTCACAATTGGTGCATCTCCAACTTGCACCCTCACAATTGGTGCATCTCCAACTTGCACCCTCACAACTGGTGCATCTCCAACTTGCACCCTCACAATTGGTGCATCTCCAACTTGCACCCTCACAACTGGTGCATCTCCAACTTGCACCCTCACAACTGGTGCATCTCCAACTTGCACCCTCACAATTGGTGCATCTCCAACTTGCACCCTCACAATTGGTGCATCTCCAACTTGCACCCTCACAATTGGTGCATCTCCAACTTGCACCCTCACAACTGGTGCATCTCCAACTTGCACCCTCACAGACCCATATACGGATTTGAGATGGCCATTAAATTTTTTTTCATGAACACAACAAAAGCTGGCTTTCACACATTTTTTTTTAAATTTTAATCTGTGTTTCTCCCAAATTTAGTACCACAGGCTAACCGTGAAATAGTTTGCTACAAGGGTTATCCTTAAAATAGGTGATAATATTAAACTACTTGCCCGCGACCCTAGTCCTTTAATAACATTTATTAAGGTCCACCTTTAGACTACTCTGCAAGTTCACTGCAAAATCTAGGCGAGTTCAAATAAGCCTTAAAAAAAATCACTTGTAGCCTAAACTAAATTTTATACCAATCCTGAAATTAAAAAAAAAAAATGATGTAACACCTATGTTGAGTGACCCCTAGCTAGCATAGCAGTAGATGTACCATATACTGTTGCACATTTGGCGGAAAACTGCACATTAGGCAGAAAACAGATCAACAGTAAAAAGGCTCTAGAGTCTTAATACTAAAAACTATTTCTAGTATCTAGAATGATGTCAGATATGCCAGAAATCACATTACAAACAATGCAAAAAATTAACAAAAGCAACCATTTAATCAACAACAGGAAAGGCATCTGTTGGATTGGTACCCGCACCTTCCAAAATGGCAGCCACCCACAAGTCGACAACACTTCTGCTAGGTTTGGTGTTTTTAACATTAAATCTATCAAAAACAGTCATGACAGTGAATAGCCCCAATACGTTTTTTCCCAGTCGACTGGGAGTGGACACTTCATATTATTAAATTAAATAAGTCGTGTGTAGTAATTAAAGGTTTTTTAAGAAACACAGAAAAAAAAACTTGCAGAAGATGTGTGACAACTAGATTCTAGACTTAAAATAATTAGCAATACAAAATAATTAGCAAAACAGTATTTAAAATGCAACTAAAATCAATCTGTGCACATTTTTAAACATTATTAAAAATAATATGGCGCCAAATAAATGATGGTTTACAGTATTTTTGGTGGTTTTCATGCAGATTACGGCATGCTTTTACTGTTTTTTACTGCTATACCATACCGGAATAATAACCAATGCTATATCATAATTTTACCTAATAGTCAATAGAATATTAGAAATTTGGAATTAGAATCTCTCATTCAATGAGAAAAATGAAGATTATTGAATAGTCCTATCTTATATCTAAATCTAGTTATCAGCTAGGCCTATACTATTTAGATTTTCTCATTAAGTTTTTAATTAAAATTTTCTGTCACTTATCATGCATCATAACAAACCATATCACTTACTACTGGTTAATTTGAGACCAATTTAATGGTCTAGCTTACTCAGGGGCAAAAAAAAAAAGACCATAGATTTTTGCTATGAGTAATCAGTAAAAACAACTTGGGAAAAGTGTGATGGAAACTGTGAAGAGAGAATTTTTACACCGGTGTCCGATAATGGAATCTTCTTTAAAAAAGGAGTGTCAACTAAATATGGGACGGAGTAGTCTAGTGGTAGAGAGCTGGACTGCTAACCCGTAAGTCTCGAGTTCGAATACGGGTTCAAGTCAGCAGACCGTCCCTGAGTCCACCTAACTCTGATGGGTACCTAACTCACGTTAGGGAAAGTAAAGGTGGCTGGGCATAGTGCTGACCACACTTTCTCTTCATATGCCGAGGTCACAGAAACAAGTGAACTCTACTCCACTTGCCCGATAGACCGTCAGGTTTGAAAGGGAAACTTTACTTTTTTTTAAATAGTTAACTAAATACACACATGGCTGGCTAATGTCAATAATTGAATATGCTAACCCTGGTCCTACCATACACTTAGTCTTAAGCTTAATTTAATTTCGGTAATCTATCGTTTTGGGTACGTAAAATCGCCCGCGGCTAGTAATGTACGAAAAAGTTACCTCATTGTCAAGGCTTTAATAGAAGTATATTTTGATATATTTGTGTCAAATATTATAGATAAATGAATAATAAACCTAAATCAATAGCTAAATATATCAAAATAGGCAAGAAATTAACTTTTAACAGCAGTGTTTGTGAGCAGTATTTCCTATATAAACAGCAGCCATTTGTAAAATAGAGTTGCCTTCCCCTGAATCTTGCGCTATTAGTCAACAAAGAAAGAAGTGAAACAAGATGGCTGCTATAGTAAATGAGCATGGTTGCATCTGTTGGAAACATCGCTAGTCTTCATTTATTATTGAAAAGTTTTAATTCAATTGTTTGAAAACAGGTACATAAATGAAACAAGGAAACATTTTTGTATTTTTCAAAACATAAATCCTCCTCAAAATGTGAAATAATTATTAAAATTTAAGGAATCACCTGTTTTTCACATTACTATTCGCGGGCGATTTTACGTAGGCCTACCAAAAACGATAGATTACCTTAATTTCTAACCATAAAAGATAAAATTAGTCAAGATTACAATGTAACAATACTACACTAACCACCCAACACATACATTTTTTTAATTTTATGGAAGAGTCTATTATGATATCGTTACACCGGGGTCTGATGCTTTACTTTTATTTTAATAGAATCTGAATCTATCTTCTTTAAAAAAAAGGGGTGTTGACTGGGTGTTGGGTTTCATTAAATTTAATTATAAGAATTAAATTAGGCCTATTGTAGGCTATTCAATTGGATAAAAAAGACAAGAGAATCTAGATCTAGATGTAAAGAGCCTAGAATATCTTAATATATTATATAATATTACTTCATTATGCTTTGTTACTTGTAAGCTTCTTGCTTATTCGTCTTATTCAAGATTTCTACCAAACTCTTTAACAGATGTGAAGTAGGAAGTAGATCTAGTTAGAGTTACTTCCCTTTAATATTACCAGACATGAATGATAATACTAGATACCGTAACACAATGTATTTCAACGGTTTGCCCACATCTCAAATGGGGTGGGGTGGGGGCGGGGGGTTTGATACATTTAAAAAAGATAAGGAAAAAAAAGATTAGAGTGTGTAGAAGATCTGAAAAGAAGAAATTCGCACATATTTTATAAATCTGTGTCAGTTATTTCTGAACTAAAGAACATTTGGCCTGAACTTAAACTACTTCACGGCAATCCAAGGCATAGCCAAAGCCAAGGTTCAGTAGAACGTGCCAACCTAGATGTTTAAAAAAACAAAAGGAATTCAACAATCACCATACGAAGCCTTGTTTCGATGCAAAACGAAAGTGGGACTTAGCACTTCAAATCTACCAAGAGAGGCTCTCGATAATTTAGTTACTGAGGTAGCTCTTGAGAACAGTGAACAAGAAATGCAGGTTGCCATAAATGCAACGACATCCTCAGCTAACACATATGCTGCCGTGGCGGAACGTCCAGACCAGTTGCGTGACAATAATATGGCCAATAGATTATGTGTAGTTTGTGAAAAATATTGTAGTGCAGCCCATTCTTGTGGATCCTGTAGCAACGATGTCCATGCAATATGCGGAGTAGCCATAGCCAATGAAGCAGACGAAGGGTACGGGGGGAACACTACTTGCAGATTATGTCACAATAAAAAAGAAATCATGGACAACAGGTCAGCAGCTCATACTAGCTTGCAAACTCAAGGTTCTAAGATGCTAACAAAATCAAATACGTATTTTAAACAAACTAAAAAGGGGGGATAATGTTCTCATCCGTATACCAGATGTTGACAGAGGTCGCGGTGATCCCCGAAGCGTCATTGCAGTTGTCATGATCGTTGAGGGCGCTTTCTACAAGCTAGGAACGGAACATGGTGTTCTAAAACAACTATATGCTAGAAGTGATTTTTCAATTCTTCACGAAAAACTGCTCTCATTGTCGTCCGTTGGAACTGAGGAAAAGTCACTACGAACCATCGCATCTTCACAATCACTGACCGGCGGCCAAGGCTACATTTGCTGCAATTGCACAACCAAACGCACAACAAATCGCTGCAAGTGTAAAAATAACAAGTTACTATGTAGTTCTAAATGCCATAAAAGTTCAACTTGTAAGAAGTGATAATTTGGATTGAGACTTTAGTACAATAAAAAAATGTGAATGTTTCTGTCATTTACTTTAATTAATAATCAATAAAGATTTAATTTCAAGATCCTTATAGTATAAAAAAACCCAAATCTGCTCATGATCTTCTAATTCGGTCGGTCGTCCCTAGCCAGATGATCTTCTAATTAGGACCTTAAAAAAAAGGCCGAAATCAAGAGCCATTTCAGACTTTGGGCGGTCCATCCTGGCCAGTCCGCGGATTGACCGGCCAAAGGCCAAAAATAAGTTAAATTTCGGACTTTGACCGGTCAATGGGAGGCGATATTAACCAATGCGCGCATTGGTCGCCAATGCGTGCTTTGGCCGACTTCAGGCTTTGAACGTAACGTATATATATATATATATATATATATATATATATATATATATATATATATATATATATATATATATATATATATATATATATATAATCCTAGGGTTTAAATGGATATACATGTGTGGTTGAGATTTGAAATCCGTTTTATCTTTTGTTTTACTTTCATGTTTAGATTCCTTTGGTCGTAAAGTTTCTGGACTACTGATAAATATTGATAACATCCATGTAAATTGCAGATGGATATTTCTAATTTATACTCGACAATTTAGAAACAGAAAGAAAATAGTCATTAATGTCTCTTCATCAGACATTACGGGATATGGTTAGGCGAGGTTACGCAGGTTATGTAACTTTAAACTGTCTCTGAAATCAATAATAAATTTTAAATTATAATGAAGATTAATTTACTTATTTATAGCTACAATTTTTAAAATAGCAATCTCTCGTAATAGTCCGAGTCATCCCATTATAGATCGTTTTTAATAAGACTATCTCAAAAATGTTTAAATAGGATTCGTACAATTTTTAAAAAATGTAATGTAGGGGAAGGAATGATGAAATTATTTTTAATTTTAAGTTTGTGGAGAGTTGTTATCCTTATTTGTTTTAAATGTTGGTTGATTTCTATGTAAAACTTTTAACATACATTTTATAATATCTAAGAAAAATAACATCTTCTAAATGTTTTTTTTAAATCAAGAAAGAATAAAAGCAAAATTTCTAGAGTATTTTTGGTAAAGTATGATAAGACAATTCACTCTGTGATTAACTGAGGAAAATATTAGCTTGCCATATCCCTTACACCTCAATATTTTTAGATATTAAGGACAAATAACCCAATGTTTTAATGCTCTTATAAAAATGTAACACAATAATATATTTTAATAATTTGTGCTTTAAAAACTTTTTTTATTATACGAAATTTTTACAGCAAGTATTTACAGGAACATTTAGTTCGAGAGAACAAGTAAAGGGGTACAACCTTAAAGCATTAAAAATAATTACGCGATTACTTTCCTTTGACTATAAATTTTTTTTAATTTATGTATTTTTTTAGTTTTTTTTTTAGAGGGGAGAGTGCCTATTTTATTACATTTATTTACAATTAAAAAAAAATATTGTGATTATTTTTTTCCCCTTATAATTGTCGACAGATGTTTCTTGGTCGACGGCTTTTGCGCTTTCCTATATGGCTGGTAAGTAGGTCACCAACTAGTTCTACGGCTCAATAAAACCTGCATGAGCCATAGAACTGATTGGTGACCTACTTACCAGCCCTACAGAGTCCAACTTAATGCCCACTTAGTGAGACTGGTTGGTTTACGTAGTGTGCCATATCCAAACCAATCTTCTCTTCCTCACTTCCTCATCAGCAGAAAGTTTATCCGCTGTTTCCGAAAGGTGGGAGTTGCTGAAAGTGTCAGGCCAGTGGATCCTAACTATTCCTCTAAAAAAACTTTTATTTAAAAAAAAGGAATTTTTACAGCAAGTAGGCCCTATTTACAAGAAATTTAGTTCTAGAGAACAAGAAAAGGGGTACAACACTAGCATACGTTAACGCATTAAAAATAATTACGCTATTACTTCCCTTTGACCATAATATAAAAAAAAATATTTTAGAGGGGAGAGTGCCCATTTTATTACATTTATTTAGGCCTATAATTTTTTCTTTTATTTACAGGGCAGACGAGGACCGGTATCTGGCGACAGCAAGCCATCTAGATAGAAAATTATGGAAGCAAATCCAGAAACAAAATTAGGCTGAAATCGGAGTGAGCGGCCTAAATTTTTACCTTTCCTTTTCTTCATTTTAAATTTTAGCAAGGCCTAATAATTACGAGTGATCCCCCCTCATATTTCAAAAGGCGTCCATGGTGAATGAAATCTAAATACCGACACATTTATTTGTAACATTAGGCTAATAATTTTAATTTAACTAATTACTAGGGCCTAAAATAATTAGACCTAGATCTAGAGAATCTAGGTAATTTTAATACTCTTTTACAAAAGCTAAGTAATCTCACGATATTAGGCCTAATCTAATACTGCTAATAGCACCTAATACTATATATAGCCTAATAGTCTAATACTACTACTAATTAATATATTATTATTTAGGTAATCTATCGTTTTAGGTACGTAAAATCGCCCGCGACTAGTAATGTGAAAAACAGGTGACTCCTTACATTTTAATAATTATTTCACATTTTGAGGAGGATTTATGTTTTGAAAAATACAAAAATGTTTCCTTGTTTCATTTATGTACCTGTTTCTAAACAATTGAATTAAAACTTTTCAGTAATAAATGAACACCAGCGATGTTTCCAACAGATGCAACCATGCTCATTCACTATAGCAGCCATCTTGTTAAATTTTATTTTTATTATTTTTTATAGACTTATAGCGCAAGATTCAGGCGGAAGTCACTCTATTTTACAAATGGCTGCTGTTTATATAGCAAATCTTGCTTGCAGACACTGCTGTTTAAAGTTAATTTCGGGCCTATATTGATATATTTAGCCATTGATTTAGGTTTATTATTCATTTATCTATAATATTTGACACAAACATATCACAATATACTTCTATTACAGCCTTGACAATGAGGTAACGTTTTCGTACATTAATAGCCGCGGGCGATTTTACGTACCCAAAACGATAGATTACCATTATTTATTATTATTAATAATTAAGGTAATCTATCGTTTTGGGTACGTAAAATCGCCCGCGGCTATTAATGTACGAAAACGTTACCTCATTGTCAAGGCTGTAATAGAGGTATATATATTGTGATATATTTGTGTCAAATATTATAGATAAATGAATAATAAACCTAAATCAATGGCTAAATATATATAAATATATATAAACAGCAGTGTCTGAGCCATTTGTAAAATAGAGTGGCTTCCCCCTGAATCTCGCGATATAAGCTTATAAAAATAAAACTTAAACAATATTACTGCTATAGACTATAGTAAATGGACTAAATGAGCATGGTTGCATCTGTTGGAAACATCGCTAGTCTTCATTTATTACGGAAAAGTTTAAATTCAAGTGTTTAAAAACAGGTACATAAATGAAACAAGGAAAGATTTGTATATTTTAAAAAACATAAATCCTCCTCAAAATGTGAAATAATTATTAAAATTTAAGGAGTCACCTGTTTTTCATATTACAAGTCGCGGGCGATTTTACATACCTAAAACGATAGATTACCATAATTAATTAGATCTAGTATAATTTAAAAATTTAGGCCTAATGCTAAAAAAATAGTTAAAAATGCTAACAATAGGTTACGTGCAATCTATCATTTTTATTATTGTAAACTTATAGCTTACTGATGGACGCTTTTTATATAGCAAATCCTGCTTGCAAACACTGCTGTTTAAAGTTGATTTCCTGCCTATATTCAAAACTATATTGATATATTTAGCCATTGATTAAGGTTTATTATTCATTTATCTATAATATTTGACACAAATATATTATTATATATCACAATATATACTTCTATCAAAGCCTTGACAATGAGGTAAATGTTTTGTACATTACTAGCATCGGGCGATTTTACGTACCTAAAACGATAGATTACCTATTTTATTAATAAAATAATTAGAATCTAGTCTAAGTCTAGCTAGCTGCTAGCTAGGATGGTAAAATCACGATTTTCAAATATACAACAATTACCAGATAATTTACTATATCATGAGATTACCAATTTGCCAATTATCTATAATCAATAATCTATCTTTACTATTCTTTACGGATTCTTTAATCTTTTCATTCTTTAGATATCTAATTTCTAGTACTAGATTTATCTCTAGTCTAGAATCTAGATCTAGATCTACTTACTTAAATTAAACTACTTTTAACTTTAGTATTTGTGATTGTGACAATAATGTTCATTTGACATTTAGATTCTAGGTCAAATTTTAAATATTGATAAAATAGGCTAATATTATTAATTATTATTATTTATTTATTAATAGTAGGCTAATAATAGGCCTAGTAATTTTAATTTACTTTATTTAATTTAGTTAACCTAGTCTAATTTTGTTATTAGTTAAGTCTAATTCACTAGTGTCTAGATTTATTTGAATCAATGAATGTGTACTGTAATACAATCAGAGTTTCTTCCAGGCATCTCTTCGGGGGGGCTTTGCCCCCACGAAAAATTTTTACCGCCCCCCCGAACGAAATGAAATTTATATAATTTATATAGAAAATATATACTTTTAACAGTGTCCGCCCCCCCCCCGAAGATTTCAAGTGCCCCCCCCCCCCCTCCGGAGAAAAAAGTCTGGAAGAAACACTGAATACAATACACATTGGGTATCAATTGTACTTCTAGAATTAGTTAAATAGTTTGGTAATCTATAACTATTGTTTTAGGTACGTAAAATTGTCCGAGACTAATAATGTAAAAAAAAAAAAAGTGATTCATTAAATGTTTGTAATTATTTCACATATTTAGGAGGATTTATGTTTTGAAAGTTAGAAAAATCTTTCAAAGTTTCATTAATGTACATGGGATGGTATTTAGAATGGACCCGTTGAATCCTGGACAGATCGTCCCCCTGGCCTGGCCTATTTATTTAAATCTGCCCAAACCAACCCAAGTTATAATCTTAAATATTTATTTTAATCTGCCTAAACCAACCCAAGTTATAATCTTAAATATTTATTTAAATCTGATCTAAATCTTGGTAGGAAAATTTGTGAAATAAAGAAAGTGCAAACTTAAATTTCTTAAAACATTAGTTAGTGCACTCGACTTTTTATTCAGTAATCTGTCAATTTAATTGAATAATAAAGCAAATGCAATGTCTCTCATAGGCCTATATTTAACTATATTACTAATAAAAAGTAGGCCTATAATATATATATGCCTTTATGATCTGGTGCATAAATGCTGCTGTTCTGTTAACTGCTACTGCTAGTAGTGTTAGTTGACCAGTAGCTACTGCTAGTAGTGTTAGTTGACCAGTAGCTACTGCTAGTAGTGTTAGTTGACCACAGGCTACTGCTAGTAGTGTTAGTTGACCAGAGGCTACTGCAAGTAGTGTTAGTTGACCAGTAGCTACTGCTAGTAGTGTTAGTTGACCAGTAGCTACTGCTAGTAGTGTTAGTTAACTAGTAGCTACTCAGTTTTTAATAGTTTTATTCAAATCTTTCATCAGCCAAGATGAAAATGCCAGCTTGAAAATACAAGTCTACAATCAAACATGTCCAAACTTTCATTCAATATAGAAATACAGGGATTTATAAATGCACTGGGTAAGTCATTGACCTGCATACTTGTGACCCTCCATGATGTCTGGGTGAGTCATTGACTCGTGTACTTGTAACCCTCCCTGATGTCTGGGTGAGTCATTGACTCATGTACTTGTGACCCTCCCTGATGTCTGGGTGAGTCATTGACTCGTGTACTTGTGACCCTCCCTGATGTCTGGGTGAGTCATTGACTCATGTACTTGTGACCCTCCATGATGTCTGGGTGAGTCATTGACTCGTGTACTTGTAACCCTCCCTGATGTCTGGGTGAGTCATTGACTCATGTACTTGTGACCCTCCCTGATGTCTGGGTGAGTCATTGACTCGTGTACTTGTAACCCTCCCTGATGTCTGGGTGAGTCATTGACTCGTGTACTTGTGACCCTCCCTGATGTCTGGGTGAGTCATTGACTCGTGTACTTGTAATCCTCCCTGATGTCTGGGTGAGTCATTGACTCATGTACTTGTGACCCTCCCTGATGTCTGGGTGAGTCATTGACTCGTGTACTTGTGACCTTCCCTGATGTCTGGGTGAGTCATTGACTCATGTACTTGTGAGCCTCCATGATGTCTGGGTGAGTCATTGACTCGTGTACTTGTAATCCTCCCTGATGTCTGGGTGAGTCATTGACTCATGTACTTGTGACCCTCCCTGATGTCTGGGTGAGTCATTGACTCGTGTACTTGTAATCCTCCCTGATGTCTGGGTGAGTCATTGACTCATGTACTTGTGACCCTCCCTGATGTCTGGGTGAGTCATTGACTCGTGTACTTGTGACCCTCCCTGATGTCTGGGTGAGTCATTGACTCATGTACTTGTGACCCTCCCTGATGTCTGGGTGAGTCATTGACTCATGTACTTGTGACCCTCCCTGATGTCTGGGTGAGTCATTGACTCATGTACTTGTGACCCTCCCTGATGTCTGGGTGAGTCATTGACTCATGTACTTGTGACCCTCCCTGATGTCTGGGTGAGTCATTGACTCGTGTACTTGTGACCTTCCCTGATGTCTGGGTGAGTCATTGACTCATGTACTTGTGAGCCTCCATGATGTCTGGGTGAGTCATTGACTCGTGTACTTGTAACCCTCCCTGATGTCTGGGTGAGTCATTGACTCGTGTACTTGTAATCCTCCCTGATGTCTGGGTGAGTCATTGACTCATGTACTTGTGACCCTCCCTGATGTCTGGGTGAGTCATTGACTCGTGTACTTGTAATCCTCCCTGATGTCTGGGTGAGTCATTGACTCATGTACTTGTGACCCTCCCTGATGTCTGGGTGAGTCATTGACTCGTGTACTTGTAATCCTCCCTGATGTCTGGGTGAGTCATTGACTCATGTACTTGTGACCCTCCCTGATGTCTGGGTGAGTCATTGACTCATGTACTTGTGACCCTCCCTGATGTCTGGGTGAGTCATTGACTCGTGTACTTGTGAGCCTCCATGATGTCTGGGTGAGTCATTGACTCATGTACTTGTGACCCTCCCTGATGTCTGGGTGAGTCATTGACTCGTGTACTTGTAATCCTCCCTGATGTCTGGGTGAGTCATTGACTCATGTACTTGTGACCCTCCCTGATGTCTGGGTGAGTCATTGACTCGTGTACTTGTAATCCTCCCTGATGTCTGGGTGAGTCATTGACTCGTGTACTTGTGAGCCTCCATGATGTCTGGGTGAGTCATTGACTCATGTACTTGTGACCCTCCCTGATGTCTGGGTGAGTCATTGACTCATGTACTTGTAATCCTCCCTGATGTCTGGGTGAGTCATTGACTCGTGTACTTGTGACCCTCCCTGATGTCTGGGTGAGTCATTGACTCATGTACTTGTGACCCTCCCTGATGTCTGGGTGAGTCATTGACAGTGAGTACTTTTAGCACTATCCAGAAGGATATGAAACAGTACATTTGAAACTTCATATTTATTAGCTGATATCTTAGCAACACGTGGTTTAAATGAAACCAAAAGCAGTTACATTACTTTAGATTTTTAAACCTTTAACCACCAATGTATTCACAAAATGTTTGACCACCTCCTTATATTTTGCAACTCTAGCCAACCAACTCATTTTGTCTCACAATTGTCTCTTTTGTGCTAGACCAAATACATCATGTAGGCTGTCAGCTCTAACCACATACATCATGTAGGCTGTCAGCTCTAACCACATACATCATGTAGGCTGTCTGCTCTAACAACATACATCATGTAGGCTGTCAGCTCTAACCACATACATCATGTAGGCTGTCAGCTCTAACCACATACATCATGTAGGCTGTCAGCTCTAACCACATACATCATACTGTCAGCTCTAACCACATACATCATGTAGGCTGTCAGCTCTAACCACATACATCATACTGTCAGCTCTAACCACATACATCATGTAGGCTGTCAGCTCTAACCACATACATCATGTAGGCTGTCAGCTCTAACCACATACATCATGTAGGCTGTCAGCTCTAACCACATACATCATGTAGGCTGTCAGCTCTAACCACATACATCATGTAGGCTGTCAGCTCTAACCACATACATCATGTAGGCTGTCAGCTCTAACCACATACATCATACTGTTAGCTCTAACCACATACATTATGTAGGCTGTCAGCTCTAACCACATACATCATGTAGGCTGTCAGCTCTAACCACATACATCATGTAGGCTGTCAGCTCTAACCACATACATCATGTAGGCTGTCAGCTCTAACCACATACATCATGTAGGCTGTCAGCTCTAACCACATACATCATGTAGGCTGTCAGCTCTAACCACATACATCATGTAGGCTGTCAGCTCTAACCACATACATCATGTGCTGTCAGCTCTAACCACATACATCATGTAAGCTGTCAGCTCTAACCACATACATCATGTAGGCTGTCAGCTCTAACCACATACATCATGTAGGCTGTCAGCTCTAACCACATACATCATGTAGGCTGTCAGCTCTAACCACATACATCATACTGTCAGCTCTAACCACATACATCATACTGTCAGCTCTAACCACATACATCATGTAGGCTGTCAGCTCTAACCACATACATAATGTAGGCTGTCAGCTCTAACCACATACATCATGTAGGCTGTCAGCTCTAACCACATACATCATACTGTCAGCTCTAACCACATACATCATGTAGGCTGTCAGCTCTAACCACATACATCATGTAGGCTGTCAGCTCTAACCACATACATCATGTAGGCTGTCAGCTCTAACCACATACATCATGTAAGCTGTCAGCTCTAACCACATACATCATACTGTCAGCTCTAACCACATACATCATGTAGGCTGTCAGCTCTAACCACATACATCATGTAGGCTGTCAGCTCTAACCACATACATCATGCTGTCAGCTCTAACCACATACATCATGTAGGCTGTCAGCTCTAACCACATACATCATGTAGGCTGTCAGCTCTAACCACATACATCATGTAGGCTGTCAGCTCTAACCACATACATCATGTAGGCTGTCAGCTCTAACCACATACATCATACTGTCAGCTCTAACCACATACATCATGTAGGCTGTCAGCTCTAACCACATACATCATGTAGGCTGTCAGCTCTAACCACATACATCATGCTGTCAGCTCTAACCACATACATCATGTAGGCTGTCAGCTCTAACCACATACATCATACTGTCAGCTCTAACCACATACATCATGTAGGCTGTCAGCTCTAACCACATACATCATGTAGGCTATCAGCTCTAACCACATACATCATGTAGGCTGTCAGCTCTAACCACATACATCATGTAGGCTGTCAGCTCTAACCACATACATCATGTAGGCTGTCAGCTCTAACCACATACATCATGTAGGCTGTCTGCTCTAACCACATACATCATGTAGGCTGTCAGCTCTAACCACATACATCATACTGTCAGCTCTAACCACATACATCATGTAGGCTGTCAGCTCTAACCACATACATCATGTAGGCTGTCAGCTCTAACCACATACATCATGTAGGCTGTCAGCTCTAACCACATACATCATGTAGGCTGTCAGCTCTAACCACATACATCATGTAGGCTGTCAGCTCTAACCACATACATCATGTAGGCTGTCAGCTCTAACCACATACATCATACTGTCAGCTCTAACCACATACATCATGTAGGCTGTCAGCTCTAACCACATACATCATACTGTCAGCTCTAACCACATACATCATGTAGGCTGTCAGCTCTAACCACATACATCATGTAGGCTGTCAGCTCTAACCACATACATCATGTAGGCTGTCAGCTCTAACCACATACATCATGTAGGCTGTCAGCTCTAACCACATACATCATGTAGGCTGTCAGCTCTAACCACATACATCATACTGTCAGCTCTAACCACATACATCATGTAGGCTGTCAGCTCTAACCACATACATCATGTAGGCTGTCAGCTCTAACCACATACATCATGTAGGCTGTCAGCTCTAACCACATACATCATGTGCTGTCAGCTCTAACCACATACATCATACTGTCAGCTCTAACCACATACATCATGTAGGCTGTCAGCTCTAACCACATACATCATGTAGGCTGTCAGCTCTAACCACATACATCATGTGCTGTCAGCTCTAACCACATACATCATGTAGGCTGTCAGCTCTAACCACATACATCATGTAGGCTGTCAGCTCTAACCACATACATCATACTGTCAGCTCTAACCACATACATCATGTAGGCTGTCAGCTCTAACCACATACATCATGTAGGCTGTCAGCTCTAACCACATACATCATGTAGGCTGTCAGCTCTAACCACATACATCATGTAGGCTGTCAGCTCTAACCACATACATCATGTAGGCTGTCAGCTCTAACCACATACATCATGTAGGCTGTCAGCTCTAACCACATACATCATGTAGGCTGTCAGCTCTAACCACATACATCATGTAGGCTGTCAGCTCTAACTACATACATCATACTGTCAGCTCTAACCACATACATCATGTAGGCTGTCAGCTCAAACCACATACATCATGTAGGCTGTCAGCTCTAACCACATACATCATGTAGGCTGTCAGCTCTAACCACATACATCATGTAAGCTGTCAGCTCTAACCACATACATCATGTGCTGTCAGCTCTAACCACATACATCATGTAGGCTGTCAGCTCTAACCACATACATCATGTAGGCTGTCAGCTCTAACCACATACATCATGTTGGCTGTCAGCTCTAACCACATACATCATGTAGGCTGTCAGCTCTAACCACATACATCATGTAGGCTGTCAGCTCTAACCACATACATCATACTGTCAGCTCTAACCACATACATCATGTAGGCTGTCAGCTCTAACCACATACATCATGTAGGCTGTCAGCTCTAACCACATACATCATGTAAGCTGTCAGCTCTAACCACATACATCATGTAGGCTGTCAGCTCTAACCACATACATCATGTAGGCTGTCAGCTCTAACCACATACATCATGTTGGCTGTCAGCTCTAACCACATACATCATGTAGGCTGTCAGCTCTAACCACATACATCATGTAGGCTGTCAGCTCTAACCACATACATCATACTGTCAGCTCTAACCACATACATCATGTAGGCTGTCAGCTCTAACCACATACATCATGTAGGCTGTCAGCTCTAACCACATACATCATGTAGGCTGTCAGCTCTAACCACATACATCATGTAGGCTGTCAGCTCTAACCACATACATCATGTAAGCTGTCAGCTCTAACCACATACATCATGTAGGCTGTCAGCTCTAACCACATACATCATGTAGGCTGTCAGCTCTAACCACATACATCATGTGCTGTCAGCTCTAACCACATACATCATGTAGGCTGTCAGCTCTAACCACATACATCATGTAGGCTGTCAGCTCTAACCACATACATCATACTGTCAGCTCTAACCACATACATCATGTAGGCTGTCAGCTCTAACTACATACATCATACTGTCAGCTCTAACCACATACATCATGTAGGCTGTCAGCTCTAACCACATACATCATGTAGGCTGTCAGCTCTAACCACATACATCATGTAGGCTGTCAGCTCTAACCACATACATCATGTAAGCTGTCAGCTCTAACCACATACATCATGTAGGCTGTCAGCTCTAACCACATACATCATGTAGGCTGTCAGCTCTAACCACATACATCATGTGCTGTCAGCTCTAACCACATACATCATGTAGGCTGTCAGCTCTAACCACATACATCATGTAGGCTGTCAGCTCTAACCACATACATCATGTAGGCTGTCAGCTCTAACCACATACATCATGTGCTGTCAGCTCTAACCACATACATCATGTAGGCTGTCAGCTCTAACCACATACATCATGTAGGCTGTCAGCTCTAACCACATACATCATACTGTCAGCTCTAACCACATACATCATGTTGGCTGTCAGCTCTAACCACATACATCATGTAGGCTGTCAGCTCTAACCACATACATCATGTAGGCTGTCAGCTCTAACCACATACATCATGTAGGCTGTCAGCTCTAACCACATACATCATGTAAGCTGTCAGCTCTAACCACATACATCATGTAGGCTGTCAGCTCTAACCACATACATCATACTGTCAGCTCTAACCACATACATCATGTTGGCTGTCAGCTCTAACCACATACATCATGTAGGCTGTCAGCTCTAACCACATACATCATGTAGGCTGTCAGCTCTAACCACATACATCATGTAGGCTGTCAGCTCTAACCACATACATCATGTAGGCTGTCAGCTCTAACCACATACATCATGTAAGCTGTCAGCTCTAACCACATACATCATGTGCTGTCAGCTCTAACCACATACATCATGTAGGCTGTCAGCTCTAACCACATACATCATGTAGGCTGTCAGCTCTAACCACATACATCATGTTGGCTGTCAGCTCTAACCACATACATCATGTAGGCTGTCAGCTCTAACCACATACATCATGTAGGCTGTCAGCTCTAACCACATACATCATACTGTCAGCTGTAACCACATACATCATGTAGGCTGTCAGCTCTAACCACATACATCATGTAGGCTGTCAGCTCTAACCACATACATCATGTAGGCTGTCAGCTCTAACCACATACATCATGTAGGCTGTCAGCTCTAACCACATACATCATACTGTCAGCTCTAACCACATACATCATGTAGGCTGTCAGCTCTAACCACATACATCATGTAGGCTGTCAGCTCTAACCACATACATCATGTAGGCTGTCAGCTCTAACCACATACATCATGTAGGCTGTCAGCTCTAACCACATACATCATACTGTCAGCTCTAACCACATACATCATGTTGGCTGTCAGCTCTAACCACATACATCATGTAGGCTGTCAGCTCTAACCACATACATCATGTAGGCTGTCAGCTCTAACCACATACATCATGTAGGCTGTCAGCTCTAACCACATACATCATGTAGGCTGTCAGCTCTAACCACATACATCATACTGTCAGCTCTAACCACATACATCATGTAGGCTGTCAGCTCTAACCACATACATCATGTAGGCTGTCAGCTCTAACCACATACATCATGTAGGCTGTCAGCTCTAACCACATACATCATGTAGGCTGTCAGCTCTAACCACATACATCATACTGTCAGCTCTAACCACATACATCATGTTGGCTGTCAGCTCTAACCACATACATCATGTAGGCTGTCAGCTCTAACCACATACATCATGTAGGCTGTCAGCTCTAACCACATACATCATGTTGGCTGTCAGCTCTAACCACATACATCATGTAGGCTGTCAGCTCTAACCACATACATCATGTAGGCTGTCAGCTCTAACCACATACATCATACTGTCAGCTCTAACCACATACATCATGTAGGCTGTCAGCTCTAACCACATACATCATACTGTCAGCTCTAACCACATACATCATGTAGGCTGTCAGCTCTAACCACATACATCATGTAGGCTGTCAGCTCTAACCACATACATCATGTAGGCTGTCAGCTCTAACCACATACATCATGTAGGCTGTCAGCTCTAACCACATACATCATACTGTCAGCTCTAACCACATACATCATGTTGGCTGTCAGCTCTAACCACATACATCATGTAGGCTGTCAGCTCTAACCACATACATCATGTAGGCTGTCAGCTCTAACCACATACATCATGTTGGCTGTCAGCTCTAACCACATACATCATGTAGGCTGTCAGCTCTAACCACATACATCATGTAGGCTGTCAGCTCTAACCACATACATCATACTGTCAGCTCTAACCACATACATCATGTTGGCTGTCAGCTCTAACCACATACATCATACTGTCAGCTCTAACCACATACATCATACTGTCAGCTCTAACCACATACATCATGTAGGCTGTCAGCTCTAACCACATACATCATGTAGGCTGTCAGCTCTAACCACATACATCATACTGTCAGCTCTAACCACATACATCATGTTGGCTGTCAGCTCTAACCACATACATCATGTAGGCTGTCAGCTCTAACCACATACATCATGTAGGCTGTCAGCTCTAACCACATACATCATGTAGGCTGTCAGCTCTAACCACATACATCATGTAAGCTGTCAGCTCTAACCACATACATCATGTAGGCTGTCAGCTCTAACCACATACATCATACTGTCAGCTCTAACCACATACATCATGTAGGCTGTCAGCTCTAACCACATACATCATGTAGGCTGTCAGCTCTAACCACATACATCATGTAGGCTGTCAGCTCTAACCACATACATCATGTAGGCTGTCAGCTCTAACCACATACATCATGTAGGCTGTCAGCTCTAACCACATACATCATGTAGGCTGTCAGCTCTAACCACATACATCATGTAGGCTGTCAGCTCTAACCACATACATCATGTAAGCTGTCAGCTCTAACCACATACATCATGTAGGCTGTCAGCTCTAACCACATACATCATACTGTCAGCTCTAACCACATACATCATGTAGGCTGTCAGCTCTAACCACATACATCATACTGTCAGCTCTAACCACATACATCATGTAGGCTGTCAGCTCTAACTCTACTGTTTGACAGGTTCAATTGCTAGTTCTTTGCTGGGATCAGACATGGGGTAAGTCCATCCTTGCACTATATTACCACTTCCCTATATAACCGTGCACTATATTACCACTTCACCATATAACCTAGCTCTATATTACCACTTCCCCATATAACCTAGCTCTATATTACCACTTCCCCATATAACCTAGCTCTATATTACCACTTCCCCATATAACCTAGCTCTATATTACCACTTCCCCATATAACCTAGCTCTATATTACAACTTCCCCATGTAACACAAAATAAGAAATGAGCATTTGAATGTAAAAATTTAAAGATTACAGTTGATATTTTTCTACAAATTTTAGATTTTTAGTTTTCTACAAATTTTAGATTTTTAGTTTTCTACAAATTTTAGATCATTAGTTTATCTACAAATTTTAGATTTTTAGTTTTCTACAAATTTTAGATCATTAGTTTATCTACAAATTTTAGATCATTAGTTTATCTACAAATTTTAGATCATTAGTTTATCTACAAATTTTAGATCATTAGTTTATCTACAAATTTTAGATTTTTAGTTTTCTACACATTTTAGATTTTTAGTTTTCTACAAATTTTAGATCATTAGTTTATCTACAAATTTTAGATTTTTAGTTTTCTACAAATTTTAGATCATTAGTTTATCTACAAATTTTAGATTTTTAGTTTTCTACAAATTTTAGATCATTAGTTTATCTACAAATTTTAGATTTTTAGTTTTCTACAAATTTTTGATCATTAGTTTATCTACAAATTTTAGATCATTAGTTTATCTACAAATTTTAGATCATTAGTTTATCTACAAATTTTAGATCATTAGTTTATCTACAAATTTTAGATTTTTAGTTTTCTACAAATTTTAGATCATTAGTTTTTCTACAAATTTTAGATTTTTAGTTTTCTACAAATTTTAGATCATTAGTTTATCTACAAATTTTAGATCATTAGTTTATCTACAAATTTTAGATTATTAGTTTTCTACAAATTTTAGATCATTAGTTTTTCTACAAATTTTAGATTTTTAGTTTTCTACAAATTTTAGATCATTAGTTTATCTACAAATTTTAGATCATTAGTTTATCTACAAATTTTAGATTTTTAGTTTTCTACAAATTTTAGATCATTAGTTTATCTACAAATTTTAGATTTTTAGTTTTCTACAAATTTTAGATCATTAGTTTATCTACAAATTTTAGATCATTAGTTTATCTACAAATTTTAGATTTTTAGTTTTCTACACATTTTAGATCATTAGTTTTTCTACAAATTTTAGATTTTTAGTTTTCTACAAATTTTAGATCATTAGTTTATCTACAAATTTTAGATCATTAGTTTATCTACAAATTTTAGATTTTTAGTTTTCTACAAATTTTAGATCATTAGTTTTTCTACAAATTTTAGATTTTTAGTTTTCTACAAATTTTAGATCATTAGTTTATCTACAAATTTTAGATCATTAGTTTATCTACAAATTTTAGATTTTTAGTTTTCTACAAATTTTAGATCATTAGTTTATCTACAAATTTTAGATTTTTAGTTTTCTACAAATTTTAGATCATTAGTTTATCTACAAATTTTAGATCATTAGTTTATCTACAAATTTTAGATTTTTAGTTTTCTACAAATTTTAGATCATTAGTTTTTCTACAAATTTTAGATTTTTAGTTTTCTACACATTTTAGATCATTAGTTTATCTACAAATTTTAGATCATTAGTTTATCTACAAATTTTAGATCATTAGTTTATCTACAAATTTTAGATTTTTAGTTTTCTACAAATTTTAGATCATTAGTTTTTCTACAAATTTTAGATTTTTAGTTTTCTACACATTTTAGATCATTAGTTTATCTACAAATTTTAGATCATTAGTTTATCTACAAATTTTAGATCATTAGTTTATCTACAAATTTTAGATTTTTAGTTTTCTACAAATTTTAGATCATTAGTTTATCTACAAATTTTAGATCATTAGTTTTTCTACAAATTTTAGATCATTAGTTTTTCTACAAATTTGAGATCATTAGTTTTTCTACAAATTTTAGATTTTTAGTTTATCTACAAATTTTAGATCATTAGTTTATCTACAAATTTTAGATTTTTAGTTTTTCTTAGCAAGATCTGAGTGAGCAAGAATGGTGTTTTAATATTCCTTGAAAAGGCAGAGATTTATGTTGAGAATGTTCAAACAAATAGGGGCAGGTGTTATGTAATGATTGAAGGAGTCTAGAGTAGGTGGTGTTATGTAATGATTGAAGTGTAGGTGGTGTTATGTAATGATTGAAGTGTAGGTGGTGTTATGTAATGATTGAAGTGTAGGTGGTGTTATGTAATGATTGAAGGAGTCTAGAGTAGGTGGTGTTATGTAATGATTGAAGTATAGGTGGTGTTATGTAATGATTGAAGGAGTCTAGAGTAGGTGGTGTTATGTAATGATTGAAGGAGTCTAGAGTAGGTGGTGTTATGTAATGATTGAAGTGTAGATGGTGTTATGTAATGATTGAAGTGTAGGTGGTGTTATGTAATGATTGAAGTGTAGGTGGTGTTATGTAATGATTGAAGTGTAGGTGGTGTTATGTAATGATTGAAGTGTAGGTGGTGTTATGTAATGATTGAAGTGTAGGTGGTGTTATGTAATGATTGAAGTGTAGGTGGTGTTATGTAATGATTGAAGGAGTCTAGAGTAGGTGGTGTTATGTAATGATTGAAGTATAGGTGGTGTTATGTAATGATTGAAGGAGTCTAGAGTAGGTGGTGTTATGTAATGATTGAAGTGTAGGTGGTGTTATGTAATTGAAGAAGTCTAGAGTAGTTAGTGTTATGTAATGATTGAAGGAGTCTAGAGTAGGTGGTGTTATGTAATGATTGAAGTGTAGGTGGTGTTATGTAATGATTGAAGTGTAGGTGGTGTTATGTAATGATTGAAGGAGTCTAGAGTAGGTGGTGTTATGTAATGATTGAAGGAGTCTAGAGTAGGTGGTGTTATGTAATGATTGAAGTGTAGGTGGTGTTATGTAATGATTGAAGGAGTCTAGAGTAGGTGGTGTTATGTAATGATTGAAGGAGTCTAGAGTAGGTGGTGTTATGTAATGATTGAAGGAGTCTAGAGTAGGTGGTGTTATGTAATGATTGAAGGAGTCTAGAGTAGGTGGTGTTATGTAATGATTGAAGTGTAGGTGGTGTTATGTAATGATTGAAGTGTAGGTGGTGTTATGTAATGATTGAAGTGTAGGTGGTGTTATGTAATGATTGAAGTGTAGGTGGTGTTATGTAATGATTGAAGTGTAGGTGGTGTTATGTAATGATTGAAGTGTAGGTGGTGTTATGTAATGATTGAAGTGTAGGTGGTGTTATGTAATGATTGAAGTGTAGGTGGTGTTATGTAATGATTGAAGGAGTCTAGAGTAGGTGGTGTTATGTAATGATTGAAGTGTAGGTGGTGTTATGTAATGATTGAAGTGTAGGTGGTGTTATGTAATGATTGAAGGAGTCTAGAGTAGGTGGTGTTATGTAATGATTGAAGGAGTCTAGTTAGGTGGTGTTATGTAATGATTGAAGTGTAGGTGGTGTTATGTAATGATTGAAGGAGTCTAGTTAGGTGGTGTTATGTAATGATTGAAGCAGTCTAGTTAGGTGGTGTTATGTAATGATTGAAGCAGTCTAGTTAGGTGGTATTATGAAATGATTGAAGGAGTCTAGTGTAGGTGTTATGTTAATTTACAGTCAAACTGTTTCAGCATCAAGTGTATTGACCAAGGTGAAGGACATTTGTTTACTTCGGATGTTGAAACTCTACTTTCACAACTTGATATAGAGGTAAAACAATTCGATAAGCTGTTTGACAGCATCCTGCTATAGAGGTGGTGATTGAGGTCTAATTGTGTTTGACAGCATCCTGCTATAGAGGTGGTGATTGAGGTCTAATTGTGTTTGACAGCATCCTGCTATAGAGGTAGTATTTGAGGTCTAATTGTGTTTGACAGCATCCTGCTATAGAGGTGGTGATTGAGGTCTAATTGTGTTTGACAGCATCCTGCTATAGAGGTGGTGATTGAGGTCTAATTGTGTTTGACAGCATCCTGCTATAGAGGTGGTATTTGAGGTCTAATTGTGTTTGACAGCATCCTGCTATAGAGGTGGTATTTGAGGTCTAATTGTGTTTGACAGCATCCTGCTATAGAGGTGGTGATTGAGGTCTAATTGTGTTTGATTGAGGTCTAATTGTGTTTGCCAGCATCCTGCTATAGAGGTGGTGATTGAGGTCTAAATGTGTTTGACAGCATCCTGCTATAGAGGTGGTGATTGAGGTCTAATTGTGTTTGATTGAGGTCTAATTGTGTTTGACAGCATCCTGCTATAGAGGTGGTGATTGAGGTCTAATTGTGTTTGACAGCATCCTGCTATAGAGGTGGTGATTGAGGTCTAATTGTGTTTGACAGCATCCTGCTATAGAGGTGGTGATTGAGGTCTAATTGTGTTTGACAGCATCCTGCTATAGAGGTGGTGATTGAGGTCTAATTGTGTTTGACAGCATCCTGCTATAGAGGTGGTGATTGAGGTCTAATTGTGTTTGACAGCATCCTGCTATAGAGGTGGTGATTGAGGTCTAATTGTGTTTGACAGCATCCTGCTATAGAGGTGGTGATTGAGGTCTAATTGTGTTTGATTGAGGTCTAATTGTGTTTGACAGCATCCTGCTATAGAGGTGGTGATTGAGGTCTAATTGTGTTTGACAGCATCCTGCTATAGAGGTGGTGATTGAGGTCTAATTGTGTTTGATTGAGGTCTAATTGTGTTTGACAGCATCCTGCTATAGAGGTGGTGATTGAGGTCTAATTGTGTTTGATTGAGGTCTAATTGTGTTTGACAGCATCCTGCTATAGAGGTGGTGATTGAGGTCTAATTGTGTTTGACAGCATCCTGCTATAGAGGTGGTGATTGAGGTCTAATTGTGTTTGATTGAGGTCTAATTGTGTTTGACAGCATCCTGCTATAGAGGTGGTGATTGAGGTCTAATTGTGTTTGACAGCATCCTGCTATAGAGGTGGTGATTGAAGTCTAATTGTGTTTGACAGCATCCTGCTATAGAGGTGGTGATTGAGGTCTAATTGTGTTTGACAGCATCCTGCTATAGAGGTGGTGATTGAGGTCTAATTGTGTTTGACAGCATCCTGCTATAGAGGTGGTGATTGAAGTCTAATTGTGTTTGACAGCATCCTGCTATAGAGGTGGTGATTGAGGTCTAATTGTGTTTGACAGCATCCTGCTATAGAGGTGGTGATTGAAGTCTAATTGTGTTTGACAGCATCCTGCTATAGAGGTGGTGATTGAGGTCTAATTGTGTTTGACAGCATCCTGCTATAGAGGTGGTGATTGAGGTCTAATTGTGTTTGATTGAGGTCTAATTGTGTTTGACAGCATCCTGCTATAGAGGTGGTGATTGAAGTCTAATTGTGTTTGACAGCATCCTGCTATAGAGGTGGTGATTGAGGTCTAATTGTGTTTGACAGCATCCTGCTATAGAGGTGGTGATTGAAGTCTAATTGTGTTTGACAGCATCCTGCTATAGAGGTGGTGATTGAGGTCTAATTGTGTTTGACAGCATCCTGCTATAGAGGTGGTGATTGAAGTCTAATTGTGTTTGACAGCATCCTGCTATAGAGGTGGTGATTGAGGTCTAATTGTGTTTGACAGCATCCTGCTATAGAGGTGGTGATTGAAGTCTAATTGTGTTTGACAGCATCCTGCTATAGAGGTGGTGATTGAGGTCTAATTGTGTTTGACAGCATCCTGCTATAGAGGTGGTGATTGAGGTCTAATTGTGTTTGACAGCATCCTGCTATAGAGGTGGTGATTGAGGTCTAATTGTGTTTGACAGCATCCTGCTATAGAGGTGGTGATTGAGGTCTAATTGTGTTTGATTGAGGTCTAATTGTGTTTGACAGCATCCTGCTATAGAGGTGGTGATTGAGGTCTAATTGTGTTTGACAGCATCCTGCTATAGAGGTGGTGATTGAGGTCTAATTGTGTTTGACAGCATCCTGCTATAGAGGTGGTGATTGAGGTCTAATTGTGTTTGACAGCATCCTGCTATAGAGGTGGTGATTGAGGTCTAATTGTGTTTGATTGAGGTCTAATTGTGTTTGACAGCATCCTGCTGTAGAGGTGGTGATTGAGGTCTAATTGTGTTTGACAGTATCCTGCTATAGAGGTGGTGATTGAGGTCTAATTGTGTTTGACAGCATCCCGCTATAGAGGTGGTGATTGTGGTCTAATTGTGTTTGACAGCATCCTGCTATAGAGGTGGTGATTGTGGTCTAATTGTGTTTGACAGCATCCTGCTATAGAGGTGGTGATTGAGGTCTAATTGTGTTTGATTGAGGTCTAATTGTGTTTGACAGCATCCTGCTATAGAGGTGGTGATTGAGGTCTAATTGTGTTTGACAGCATCCTGCTATAGAGGTGGTGATTGAAGTCTAATTGTGTTTGACAGCATCCTGCTATAGAGGTGGTGATTGAGGTCTAATTGTGTTTGACAGCATCCTGCTATAGAGGTGGTGATTGAGGTCTAATTGTGTTTGACAGCATCCTGCTATAGAGGTGGTGATTGAAGTCTAATTGTGTTTGACAGCATCCTGCTATAGAGGTGGTGATTGAGGTCTAATTGTGTTTGACAGCATCCTGCTATAGAGGTGGTGATTGAAGTCTAATTGTGTTTGACAGCATCCTGCTATAGAGGTGGTGATTGAGGTCTAATTGTGTTTGACAGCATCCTGCTATAGAGGTGGTGATTGAAGTCTAATTGTGTTTGACAGCATCCTGCTATAGAGGTGGTGATTGAAGTCTAATTGTGTTTGATTGAGGTCTAATTGTGTTTGACAGCATCCTGCTATAGAGGTGGTGATTGAGGTCTAATTGTGTTTGACAGCATCCTGCTATAGAGGTGGTGATTGAAGTCTAATTGTGTTTGATTGAGGTCTAATTGTGTTTGACAGCATCCTGCTATAGAGGTGGTGATTGAGGTCTAATTGTGTTTGACAGCATCCTGCTATAGAGGTGGTGATTGAAGTCTAATTGTGTTTGATTGAGGTCTAATTGTGTTTGACAGCATCCTGCTATAGAGGTGGTGATTGAGGTCTAATTGTGTTTGACAGCATCCTGCTATAGAGGTGGTGATTGAGGTCTAATTGTGTTTGACAGCATCCTGCTATAGAGGTGGTGATTGAGGTCTAATTGTGTTTGACAGCATCCTGCTATAGAGGTGGTGATTGAGGTCTAATTGTGTTTGACAGCATCCTGCTATAGAGGTGGTGATTGAGGTCTAATTGTGTTTGATTGTGGTCTAATTGTGTTTGACAGCATCCTGCTATAGAGGTGGTGATTGAGGTCTAATTGTGTTTGACAGCATCCTGCTATAGAGGTGGTGATTGAGGTCTAATTGTGTTTGATTGTGGTCTAATTGTGTTTGACAGCATCCCGCTATAGAGGTGGTGATTGAGGTCTAATTGTGTTTGACAGCATCCTGCTATAGAGGTGGTGATTGAGGTCTAATTGTGTTTGACAGCATCCTGCTATAGAGGTGGTGATTGAGGTCTAATTGTGTTTGACAGCATCCCGCTATAGAGGTGGTGATTGAGGTCTAATTGTGTTTGACAGCATCCTGCTATAGAGGTGGTGATTGAGGTCTAATTGTGTTTGACAGCATCCCGCTATAGAGGTGGTGATTGAGGTCTAATTGTGTTTGACAGCATCCCGCTATAGAGGTGGTGATTGAGGTCTAATTGTGTTTGACAGCATCCCGCTATAGAGGTGGTGATTGAGGTCCTACAGTCCCACAAACAACAGCATGGCTGCAGCATCAAGACCTGTCTCTACATGCTGACACATTTAGCTCAGGCTGTCCTACATTTAGAGCTGTTGGTGAGTTCATACATGCTGACACATTTAGCTCAGGCTGTCCTACATTTAGAGCTGTTGGTGAGTTCATACATGCTGACACATTTAGCTCAGGCTGTCCTACATTTAGAGCTGTTGGTGAGTTCATACATGCTGACACATTTAGCTCAAGATGTCCTAACACATTTAGCTCAGGCTGTCCTACATTTAGAGCTGTTGGTGAGTTCATACATGCTGACACATTTAGCTCAAGATGTCCTAACACATTTAGCTCAAGCTGTCCTACATTTAGAGCTGTTGGTGAGTTCATACATGCTGACACATTTAGCTCAGGCTGTCCTACATTTAGAGCTGTTGGTGAGTTCATACATGCTGACACATTTAGCTCAGGCTGTCCTACATTTAGAGCTGTTGGTGAGTTCATACATGCTGACACATTTAGCTCAGGCTGTCCTGCATTTAGAGCTGTTGGTGAGTTCATACATGCTGACACATTTAGCTCAGGCTGTCCTACATTTAGAGCTGTTGGTGAGTTCATACATGCTGACACATTTAGCTCAGGCTGTCCTGCATTTAGAGCTGTTGGTGAGTTCATACATGCTGACACATTTAGCTCAGGCTGTCCTACATTTAGAGCTGTTGGTGAGTTCATACATGCTGACACATTTAGCTCAGGCTGTCCTACATTTAGAGCTGTTGGTGAGTTCATACATGCTGACACATTTAGCTCAGGCTGTCCTACATTTAGAGCTGTTGGTGAGTTCATACATGCTGACACATTTAGCTCAGGCTGTCCTACATTTAGAGCTGTTGGTGAGTTCATACATGCTGACACATTTAGCTCAGGCTGTCCTACATTTAGAGCTGTTGGTGAGTTCATACATGCTGACACATTTAGCTCAGGCTGTCCTACATTTAGAGCTGTTGGTGAGTTCATACATGCTGACACATTTAGCTCAGGCTGTCCTACATTTAGAGCTGTTGGTGAGTTCATACATGCTGACACATTTAGCTCAGGCTGTCCTACATTTAGAGCTGTTGGTGAGTTCATACATGCTGACACATTTAGCTCAGGCTGTCCTACATTTAGAGCTGTTGGTGAGTTCATACATGCTGACACATTGAGCTCAAGATGTCCTAACACATTTAGCTCAAGCTGTCCTACATTTAGAGCTGTTGGTGAGTTCATACATGCTGACACATTTAGCTCAAGATGTCCTAACACATTTAGCTCAAGCTGTCCTACATTTAGAGCTGTTGGTGAGTTCATACATGCTGACACATTTAGCTCAAGATGTCCTAACACATTTAGCTCAAGATGTCCTACATTTAGAGCTGTTGGTGAGTTCATACATGCTGACACATTTAGCTCAAGATGTCCTGACACATTTAGCACAAGCTGTCCTAACAAATTGAGCTCAAGCTGTCCTATCACATTGAGCTCAAGCTGTCCTGACACATTTAGCTCAAGCTGTCCTAACACATTGAGCTCAAGCTGTCCTGACACATTTAGCTCAAGCTGTCCTAACACATTGAGCTCAAGCTGTCCTAACACATTTAGCTCAAGCTGTCCTAACACATTGAGCTCAAGATGTCCTAACACATTGAGCTCAAGATGTCAAAACACATTGAGCTCATAACTTTACTCTCTTAAAGGGGGTGTCACCAGACAGGTCCCTGCCAGTGATTGAAGCTGTCATGCATGAGTTGTGTCAACACGTCAAAACTCTGGCAGTCCCAGTCAACTTCTCCCCACCTCTGGTCACGACAGGTAAACAAACACACACAGGGTAAACAAATGTCTCACACACGCAGGGTAAACAAACGTCACACAGGGTAAACAAATGTCTCACACACACACAGGGTAAACAAATGTCTCACACACACAGGGTAAACAAATGTCTCACACACACACGCAGGGTAAACAAATGTCTCACACACACAGGGTAAACAAATGTCTCACACACACATGGGGTAAACAAATGTCACACAGGGTAAACAAATGTCTCACACACACAGGGTAAACAAATGTCTCACACACACACGCAGGGTAAACAAATGTCTCACAGGGTAAACAAATGTCTCACACACACAGGGTAAACAAATGTCTCACACACACACACAGGGTAAACAAATGTCTCACACACACATGGGGTAAACAAATGTCTCACACACGCAGGGTAAACAAATGTCTCACACACACAGGGTAAACAAATGTCTCACACACACATGGGGTAAACAAATGTCACACAGGGTAAACAAATGTCTCACACACACAGGGTAAACAAATGTCTCACACACACACACAGGGTAAACAAATGTCTCACACACACACATGGGGTAAACAAATGTCTCACACGCGCAGGGTAAACAAATGTCTCACACACACACACAGGGTAAACAAATGTCTCACACACACACAGGGTAAACAAATGTCTCACACACACACATGGGGTAAACAAATGTCTCTCACACACACACACAGGGTAAACAAATGTCTCACACACACACACACAGGGTAAACAAATGTCTCACACACACACAGGGTAAACAAATGTCTCACACACACACATGGGGTAAACAAATGTCACACACACATGGGGTAAACAAATGTCTCTCACACACATGGGGTAAACAAATGTCACACACACATGGGGTAAACAAATGTCTCACATACACAGGGTAAACAAATGTCTCACACACACTCATGGGGTAAACAAATGTCTCACACACACATAGGGTAAACAAATGTCTCACACACACACACAGGGTAAACAAATGTCTCACACACACACATGGGGTAAACAAATGTCTCTCACACACACACACAGGGTAAACAAATGTCTCACACACACACACACAGGGTAAACAAATGTCTCACACACACACATGGGGTAAACAAATGTCACACACACACATGGGGTAAACAAATGTCACACACACACATGGGGTAAACAAATGTCTCTTACACACATGGGGTAAACAAATGTCACACACACATGGGGTAAACAAATGTCTCACATACACAGGGTAAACAAATGTCTCACACACACACATGGGGTAAACAAATGTCTCACACACACACATGGGGTAAACAAATGTCTCACACACACACATGGGGTAAACAAATGTCTCACATACACATGGGGTAAACAAATGTTACACACACATGGGGTAAACAAATGTCTCACACACACACACAGGGTAAACAAATGTCTCACACACATGGGGTAAACAAATGTCTCACACACACAGGGTAAACAAATGTCTCACACACACATGGGGTAAACAAATGTCACACACACAGGGTAAACAAATGTCTCACACACACACAGGGTAAACAAATGTCTCACACACACACAGGGTAAACAAATGTCTCACACACACAAGGGTAAACAAATGTCTCACACTCATACAGGGTAAACAAATGTCTCACACACACATGGGGTAAACAAATGTCTCACACACACACACACACACAGGGTAAACAAATGTCTCACACACACAGGGTAAACAAATGTCACACACACAGGGTAAACAAATGTCTCACACACACACAGGGTAAACAAATGTCTCACACACACAGGGTAAACAAATGTCTCACACACACACATGGGGTAAACAAATGTCTCACACACACACAGGGTAAACCATAGTCTTACACACACACAGGGTAAACAAATGTCTCACACACACAGGGTAAACAAATGTCTCACACACACATGGGGTAAACAAATATCACACACACACACACAGGGTAAACAAATGTCTCACACACACATGGGGTAAACAAATGTCACACACACGCATGGGGTAAACAAATGTCTCTCACACACATGGGGTAAACAAATGTCACACACACACACACAGGGTAAACAAATGTCTCACACACACACAGGGTAAACAAATGTCTCTCACACACACATGGGGTAAACAAATGTCTCACACACACATGGGGTAAACAAATGTCTCACACACACATGGGGTAAACAAATGTCTCTCACACACATGGGGTAAACAAATGTCACACACACATGGGGTAAACAAATGTCTCACACACATGGGGTAAACAAATGTCACACACACACATGGGGTAAACAAATGTCTCTCACACACATGGGGTAAACAAATGTCACACACACATGGGGTAAACAAATGTCTCACATACACAGGGTAAACAAATGTCTCACACACACTCATGGGGTAAACAAATGTCTCACACACACATAGGGTAAACAAATGTCTCACACACACACAGGGTAAACAAATGTCTCACACACACACATGGGGTAAACAAATGTCTCTCACACACACACACAGGGTAAACAAATGTCTCACACACACACACAGGGTAAACAAATGTCTCACACATGGGGTAAACAAATGTCTCTTACACACATGGGGTAAACAAATGTCACACACACATGGGGTAAACAAATGTCTCACACACACACATGGGGTAAACAAATGTCTCACACACACACATGGGGTAAACAAATGTCTCACACACACACATGGGGTAAACAAATGTCTCACATACACATGGGGTAAACAAATGTCTCACACACACACATGGGGTAAACAAATGTCTCACACACACACATGGGGTAAACAAATGTCTCACACACACACACACAGGGTAAACAAATGTCTCACACACATGGGGTAAACAAATGTCTCACACACACAGGGTAAACAAATGTCTCACACACACATGGGGTAAACAAATGTCACACACACAGGGTAAACAAATGTCTCACACACACACAGGGTAAACAAATGTCTCACACACACACAGGGTAAACAAATGTCTCACACACACAAGGGTAAACAAATGTCTCACACTCATACAGGGTAAACAAATGTCTCACACACACATGGGGTAAACAAATGTCTCACACACACACACACACAGGGTAAACAAATGTCTCACACACACAGGGTAAACAAATGTCACACACACAGGGTAAACAAATGTCTCACACACACACAGGGTAAACAAATGTCTCACACACACAGGGTAAACAAATGTCTCACACACACACATGGGGTAAACAAATGTCTCACACACACACAGGGTAAACCATAGTCTTACACACACACAGGGTAAACAAATGTCTCACACACACAGGGTAAACAAATGTCTCACACACACATGGGGTAAACAAATATCACACACACACACAGGGTAAACAAATGTCTCACACACACATGGGGTAAACAAATGTCTCACACACACACAGGGTAAACAAATGTCTCACACACACATGGGGTAAACAAATGTCTCACACACACATGGGGTAAACAAATGTCTCACACACATGGGGTAAACAGATGTCTCACACACACAGGGTAAACAAATGTCTCACACACATGGGGTAAACAGATGTCTCACACACACAGGGTAAACAAATGTCACACACACACAGGGTAAACAAATGTCTCACACACACACACAGGGTAAACAAATGTCTCACACACACATACACAGGGTAAACAAATGTCTCACACACACACAGGGTAAACAAATGTCTCACACACACAGGGTAAACAAATGTCTCTCACACACACATGGGGTAAACAAATGTCTCACACACAGGGTAAACAAATGTCTCACACACACATGGGGTAAACAAATGTCTCACACACACACAGGGTAAACAAATGTCTCACACACACAGGGTAAACAAATGTCTCACACACACACAGGGTAAACAAATGTCTCACACACACAGGGTAAACAAATGTCTCACACACACACATGGGGTAAACAAATGTCTCACACACACAGGGTAAACAAATGTCTCACACACACACACATGGGGTAAACAAATGTCTCACACACACATGGGGTATACAAATGTTACATAAACAGAAGGTAAATATTTTACTGCTGACAGATTAATATCTTTTTCCTTTAGAAATCTGTAGACAAGATATAAAAAAGTCACCCAGTCACTCATGTGAGACCACTCAAAAGTCACCCAGTCACTCATGTGAGACCACTCAAAAGTCACCCAGTCACTCATGTGAGACCACTCAAAAGTCACCCAGTCACTCATGTGAGACCATGAAAAAGTCACCCAGCTATTCATGTGAGACCACTCAAAAGTCACCCAGTCACTCATGTGAGACCATGAAAAAGTCACCCAGCTATTCATGTGAGACCACTCAAAAGTCACCCAGTCACTCATGTGAGACCATGAAAAAGTCACCCAGCTATTCATGTGAGACCACTCAAAAGTCACCCAGTCACTCATGTGAGACCATGAAAAAGTCACCCAGCTATTCATGTGAGACCACTCAAAAGTCACCCAGTCACTCATGTGAGACCACTCAAAAGTCATCCAGTCACTCATGTGAGACCACTCAAAAGTCACCCAGTCACTCATGTGAAATCCCCCAAGACCTCAAGTCTCAAATAAAAATCATAGACACAATGTTGAATTCACTGGGTGATCGTCCAATCCAAATTGCTCATGGCAACACCAAGATCAAACATGCAACTAATGTTGGGCCAGGGTTGTTGGGACGTTGTGTAAACAGCAAGTCAGGGGCCACACTTAGACAACTGACACTCCCACTGGAAGCTTCTGCTTTGGTTGGTTGCTATGGTGATGTCATGTCAACAGTAAAAGAAGTTTGTGAAAATCAGTATAAAATAACAAATATCAAAAGGTTAATTTGTTTGACATTTAATTTTTATAACACTCTTAAATTTTAATAATTTGTAATGTAAGATTTAGAATTAAATTTGTAAAAGTCACTAGACGACCCAATTTCCCATTGGAAATTGGACTCTGCAAAAAAAAAATGTATATAAATACAAATAAATCTAATTAGAAGTAAAATAACTGCATAAATACTTGAAAAAGTTGTATAGGGTTAAAATGTGTTTCCCTTTCAGGCTCAACTTAAAGTTTGTTTTGAGTTTATCAGTTCCTGCATCCCAGCCTTCACTAGCAGATCCCATATCTATTTATAGAGGCCTAGTCATTCCCTGTAACTCTGGTCAAGCTGACCTCTTCAGTTGGGGCCTCACAAGACCTGCCCTGGTACAGTTCAATCTGGATATCCTACCTGTGTGTTGTGTGTTGTTCTTTGTGGATATCTTACCTGTGTTGTGTGTTGTTCTTTGTGGATATCTTACCTGTGTGTTGTGTGTTGTTCTTTGTGGATATTTTACTTGTGTTGTGTGTTGTTCTTTGTGGATATCTTACCTGTGTTGTGTGTTGTTCTTTGTGGATATCTTACCTGTGTTGTGTGTTGTTCAATCTGGATATCCTACCTGTGTGTTGTGTGTTGTTCTTTGTGGATATTTTACTTGTGTTGTGTGTTGTTCTTTGTGGATATCTTATCTGTGTTGTGTGTTGTTCTTTGTGGATATCTTACCTGTGTTGTGTGTTGTTCTTTGTGGATATCTTACCTGTGTTGTGTGTTGTTCTTTGTGGATATCCTACCTGTGTGTTGTGTGTTGTTCTTTGTGGATATCTTACCTGTGTGTTGTGTGTTGTTCTTTGTGGATATTTTACTTGTGTTGTGTGTTGTTCTTTGTGGATATCTTACCTGTGTTGTGTGTTGTTCTTTGTGGATATCTTACCTGTGTTGTGTGTTGTTCAATCTGGATATCCTACCTGTGTGTTGTGTGTTGTTCTTTGTGGATATTTTACTTGTGTTGTGTGTTGTTCTTTGTGGATATCTTATCTGTGTTGTGTGTTGTTCTTTGTGGATATCTTACCTGTGTTGTGTGTTGTTCTTTGTGGATATTTTACCTGTGTTGTGTGTTGTTCTTTGTGGATATCTTACCTGTGTATGTGTTGTTCTTTGTGGATATCTTACCTGTGTTAAATGGTTGTTCTTTGTGGATATTTTACCTGTGTTGTGTGTTGTTCTTTGTGGATATCTTACCTGTGTTGTGTGTTGTTCTTTGTGGATATCTTACCTGTGTTGTGTGTTGTTCTTTGTGGATATCTTACCTGTGTTGTGTGTTGTTCTTTGTGGATATCTTACCTGTGTTGTGTGTTGATCTTTGTGGATATCTTACCTGTGTTGTGTGTTGTTCTTTGTGGATATCTTACCTGTGTTGTGTGTTGTTCTTTGTGAATATCTTACCTGTGTTGTGTGTTGTTCTTTGTGGATATCTTACCTGTGTTGTGTGTTGTTCAATCTGGATATCCTACCTGTGTGTTCTTTGTGGATATCTTACCTGTGTTGTGTGTTGTTCTTTATGGATATATTACCTGTGTTGTGTGTTGTTCTTTGTGGATATCTTACCTGTGTTGTGTGTTGTTCAATCTGGATATCCTACCTGTGTGTTGTTCTAGGCCATTTCAATGTGGATATCCTAGTGTGTGTTTACACAGTACATATGCATTTACTTTTATCTTTAAAAATGTTGAAAACGGCCAACTGCTAGCTAGCCCTTTTATATTTGAGATCATGATTGAATCATCTATTGAACTCTGACCTTTGTTTCAACAGCTGCTGAACTGTGACCTAACCTGGACCTACCAGCACAAAGGCTATAGACCATTACTTGAGAAGACAAGTGTGGCCTTGACCTTAGCTGATATAAGGTCATCCAGCTTTGATGAAAGGACTTGGTCACGCTGTGTTGTTTCAAACTTACAAAAGGTCAGTTTTTTTACCCAGGTGTCAGTCCTCTGGTCAAGAGGCCAAGTGACCCATTCTGGTGCCCGGGGAACTTCCAATTTGGCGTCCATCCATCCCCCCACTATATATATATATATATATATATATATATATATATATATATATATATATATATATATATACACACACACATAAAATACCCCTCTTACGCAGATCATAATTCATTTGCAACAGTAATTTTTATCAAATAGCAGACCTAGAATTATAGGTATAATTTTATGTATAATGATAGTACAGGTAGAGTAGTGGTATGACAATGTGTGAGGTACCATAGAGTTCCAGATACATTATGGTCATCTGTCCAATAGTGGACAAGTGATAGGCTACACAACAATAAATGATAGAATCACTGAAGGTACAGTGAGACTTGGTTGACTTGATGACTTGGTTGACTTGATGACTTGGTTGACTTGATGACTTGGTTGACTTGATGACTTGGTTGACTTGATGACTTGGTTGACTTGATGACTTGGTTGACTTAATGACTTGGTTGACTTGAAAACGTGGTTGACTTGATGACTTGGTTGACTTGATGACTTGGTTGACTTGATGACTTGGTTGACTTAATGACTTGGTTGACTTGAAAACGTGGTTGACTTGATGACTTTGTTGACTTGATGACTTGGTTGACTTGATGACTTGGTTGACTTGATGACTTGGTTGACTTGATGACTTGGTTGACTTGATGACTTGGATTTAGCAGATGAGCTCTGCCTTCTTGCATATGGTCAACAAACAAATGCTGAATCAACTGTTCTGGTTGAAGAAGCAGAAAAAAAAGGTGCACTCCACTTCTGGTCATGTCTTTAGAACAATTTCCTAAAGAGTAACTCACCGTTTTCTTTCATCTGTTAAGTTGCACAAAGTAACACAGCAGTTATCATGTTGTACAGAAGTGCTTGTTTAGCAGTGTGTGTTGAATGGTTGATAGCAGTGGTATTGTGGGTTTGTGGCTTGACTGCTGGTCTAGACTTGACTGTCTGCTGGTCTAGACTTGACTGTCTGCTTGTCTAGACTTGACTGTCTGCTGGTCTAGACTTGACTGTCTACTGCTCTAGACTTGACTGTCTGCTGGTCTAGACTTGACTGTCTGCTGGTCTAGACTTGACTGTCTGCTGGTCTAGACTTGACTGTCTGCTGGTCTAGACTTGACTGTCTGCTGGTCTAGACTTGACTGTCTGCTGGTCTAGACTTGACTGTCTGCTGGTCTAGACTTGACTGTCTGCTGGTCTAGACTTGACTGTCTGCTGGTCTAGACTTGACTGTCTGCTGGTCTAGACTTGACTGTCTGCTGCTCTAGACTTGACTGTCTGCTGGTCTAGACTTGACTGTCTGCTGGTCTAGACTTGACTGTCTGCTGGTATGTTTCAGCTAAATGTCAAGTTGCTGCTGGTGAGAGGGTCAGCCAGCCCCCTGTTGATTGACCAGTGTACTGAGCTGGGTGTGCTGGTTTTGACCAATGTCCCAAGCAAGGTCATCAACAGCCTTGCTTCTCATTATGGTGTGGACATGGTCAGTTATCTGGATCAGGCTTGCCAGGTAAGGGTGTTGTCCTACAGCCTCTAGATGTCCTACAGCCTCTAGATGTCCTACAGCCTGATTTCCTACTAATGTTTCTGTAACTAATGTGTGTCACCTGTCTTTCTGTACAGGCCAATGTTTTACCTCTGTGTCTACATGAGATGGTAGAGAACCAGCCACTAATGTTTCTGTAACTAATGTGTGTCACCTGTCTTTCTGTACAGGCCAATGTTTTACCTCTGTGTCTACATGAGATGGTAGAGAACCAGCCAGAGGACGCCAGACAAAGGCTGGCCATGGTCCCCAATGTTGGCAGTTATCAGGTCAGCCATCTTGTGACCTCATCTTGTGACCTCAGACAATCTTGTTACAGTATAAAATTGACCTGGATGTGACCTCAGACAATCTTGTTACAGTATAAAATTGACCTGGATGTGACCTCAGACAATCTTGTTACAGTATAAAATTGACCTGCGTGTGACCTCTCCTCAGACAATCTTGTTACAGTATAAAATTGACCTGCGTGTGACCTCAGACAATCTTGTTACAGTATAAAATTGACCTGCGTGTGACCTCAGACAATCTTGTTACAGTATAAAATTGACCTGGATGTGACCTCAGACAATCTTGTTACAGTATAAAATTGACCTGCGTGTGACCTCAGACAATCTTGTTACAGTATAAAATTGACCTGCGTGTGACCTCTCCTCAGACAATCTTGTTACAGTATAAAATGACCTGCGTGTGACCTCAGACAATCTTGTTACAGTATAAAATTGACCTGCGTGTGACCTCAGACAATCTTGTTACAGTATAAAATTGACCTGGATGTGACCTCAGACAATCTTGTTACAGTATAAAATTGACCTGGATGTGACCTCTCCTCAGACAATCTTGTTACAGTATAAAATTGACCTGGATGTGACCTCAGACAATCTTGTTACAGTATAAAATTGACCTGGATGTGACCTCAGACAATCTTGTTACAGTATAAAATTGACCTGGATGTGACCTCAGACAATCTTGTTACAGTATAAAATTGACCTGGATGTGACCTCAGACAATCTTGTTACAGTATAAAATTGACCTGCGTGTGACCCCTCCTCAGACAATCTTGTTACAGTATAAAATTGACCTGGATGTGACCTCAGACAATCTTGTTACAGTATAAAATTGACCTGGATGTGACCTCTCCTCAGACAATCTTGTTACAGTATAAAATTGACCTGGGTGTGACCTCAGACAATCTTGTTACAGTATAAAATTGACCTGCGTGTGACCTCTCCTCAGACAATCTTGTTACAGTATAAAATTGACCTGGATGTGACCTCAGACAATCTTGTTACAGTATAAAATTGACCTGGATGTGACCTCAGACAATCTTGTTACAGTATAAAATTGACCTGGATGTGACCTCTCCTCAGACAATCTTGTTACAGTATAAAATTGACCTGGGTGTGACCTCAGACAATCTTGTTACAGTATAAAATTGACCTGCGTGTGACCTCAGAAAATCTTGTTACAGTATAAAATTGACCTGCGTGTGACCTCAGAAAATCTTGTTACAGTATAAAATTGACCTGCGTGTGACCTCAGAAAATCTTGTTACAGTATAAAATTGACCTGCGTGTGACCTCTCCTCAGACAATCTTGTTACAGTATAAAATTGACCTGCATGTGACCTCAGAAAATCTTGTTACAGTATAAAATTGACCTGCGTGTGACCTCAGAAAATCTTGTTACAGTATAAAATTGACCTGCGTGTGACCTCTCCTCAGACAATCTTGTTACAGTATAAAATTGACCTGCATGTGACCTCAGATAATCTTGTTACAGTATAAAATTGACCTGCATGTGACCTCTCCTCAGACAATCTTGTTACAGTATAAAATTGACCTGGGTGTGACCTCAGACAATATTGTTACAGTATAAAATTGACCTGGGTGTGACCTCAGACAATCTTGTTACAGTATAAAATTGACCTGGATGTGACCTCAGACAATCTTGTTACAGTATAAAATTGACCTGCGTGTGACCTCTCCTCAGACAATCTTGTTACAGTATAAAATTGACCTGGATGTGACCTCAGACAATCTTGTTACAGTATAAAATTGACCTGGGTGTGACCTCAGACAATCTTGTTACAGTATAAAATTGACCTGAATGTGACCTCAGACAATCTTGTTACAGTATAAAATTGACCTGCGTGTGACCTCAGACAATCTTGTTACAGTATAAAATTGACCTGCGTGTGACCTCAGACAATCTTGTTACAGTATAAAATTGACCTGGATGTGACCTCAGACAATCTTGTTACAGTATAAAATTGACCTGGATGTGACCTCAGACAATCTTGTTACAGTATAAAATTGACCTGCGTGTGACCTCTCCTCAGACAATCTTGCTCAAGTCAAGCTGTGCCATGTCAGCCCAGCTGACAGAGGAGAGATTATGGAAGAGCCTGCACAGGGTGTCCAATGCCCTGCAGGATGGCTGGGTCTTACCTGGGGGTGGGGCTACAGAGTTGTTGTGTGCTGACTTCATCCACCACAAACTTCAGGCCATGATGCTGCAGGCGGAGGGTATGTGCCACTCCACCCTTAGAGGTTTGGGTAACTTACTTGACAGATGTACACTATACAGGGAGACAGGTGTACAGGGAGATAGGTGTACACTATACAGGGAGACAAACAGGTGTACATTACACTAGAAGACAGACAGGTGTACATTACACTATAAGACAGACAGGTGTACAGTACACTAGAAGACAGACAGGTGTACAGTACACTAGAAGACAAACATGTGGCTCCCTGATTGTGACCTGCTGTTTCAGGGCCCCCCGCTGACAATGTGGTGGTCATTGAGGAGCTGGCTAAAGTCTTCACAACATTCTCACAGACAGTTGCACACAACAGCCTGGCCAGCAGCCCCCACTTTGACAATCTCCAGTCCAAACTGGCAGTGTGGGAAACAGTTGGCAGCATTGTGTCAATCTTAGTGCACTTAGGTTGTTTGGTGGACACAGGACTGGCCCCTCATGATGCATGCTTGTGAGGATTCTTCTACAATTGTATTGACCTACATTTATGCTCAACTTTTGTATATGTTATATCCACATGCGACTTGAATCAAGTCAACTTTTGTTTATGTTATATCCACTAGTGACTTGAATCAAGTCAACTTTTGTTTATGTTACATCACATGTGACTTGAATCAGAACAATGTCAAGACATACCAACTATTAGTATTAGGTTTTCGACTGAAAAAAATCAAAAACTTCTAGTGCATGAATTAGCTAGTTTATTTCTTCATAAAACACATGGTCATGTAGAGCATGAGAAAATATCACAGAAAATCAAAGCAAACATGAGCAGAATAAAATCAAATAAAACAATTGTATAATGAACTGATTTGTGACTAGTGCGTAATCAAATAAACAATAATTGATTGTAAAATGAACAAATGAATTGAAGTGGCAAAAATCAAATAAGATGGGTTAAATTAAGAAATTGCTGGGAGGTGCAATAATCAAATGAAACTTGTTTAATTAAGAAATTGATTGCTGGGAGGTGCAATAATCAAATAAGACTGGAATAAGTAACTGAATAATGGTGTGATAATAAAATAAAACTGGTATAAGTATAAGCAACTGAATTGATGGGAGGTGCAAAATTGTAAGCAACTGATACTCTCCTATCATCACTAAAAACAAAAAAATGTTTTAACAAAACAAACAATGAGACATCCAGTGTTTGGCAAGAGGACAGTTTATAATGATACAACAAAAATGTTCTAGCCAAGTGGAACAGTAGTTAGATCTACATTAACTAGCTATCTACTGTTCTAATTCAATTGATCCTCTAATTATCTACAAAAAATGGAGGGTCTATAAGCATCACAAACAATCTTTTCCACTCATTTGTGTTGGTTAAACAGCAAATTGAAACATTTTTCTCAACTCTAACTTTGACTAGTTCCCATAATTGTTGCCAGAATTCTTCAAGTACCATCAAACTGAAGAAAAAATTTGCAGAGTTTAGGTGTGGCTATTGTACCAAAGTTTCATCCAATCAAAAGAAAAAAATTTCTAAGTGGAGCATCCGTCAACAAGATTCACTTTTGAGCATATGACAACCACAACCAATCAAACATATTACAGGTCTTAGGAATATGACAAATTATACACATTTTAATGTTTACATACCTAAGCTCTACAGAAAAAACTAGAATTTATTTAATACACATTTGCTGAGCTGTGTAAATCTCAATGATTGGAGAGATGACATTTGCTGAGCTGTGTAAATCTCAATGATTGGAGAGATGACATTTGCTGAGCTGTGTAAATCTCAATGATTGGAGAGATGACATTTGCTGAGCTGTGTAAATCTCAATGATTGGAGAGATGACATTTGCTGAGCTGTGTAAATCTCAATGATTGGAGAGATGACATTTGCTGAGCTGTGTAAATCTCAATGATTGGAGAGATGACATGTGCTGACCAGCTCAACTATTCCCATGGCATAAGGGAAAGTAAAATAGGAATATCTTGAACTCAAATAAAATGCACTTAAAATTACACACATTTTCTTTGGACTGGATTTCTTATCAAATATCCCTGACAATAGCCTTGCCAAGCAAAAGCCCTCCGTAAGGAGATTCCCCATGTCTTGACGAGGAATTGAGGCAGTGAACAAGATCCTTATAAACACATGGACGGAAAATTGAAATTGAGAGTTTAACACAAAAAACACAAATATAACTCAGTTTTTTTACATTAATAATAGCATTAATAAAATACAAATAGGTTTTGGATACAATAATCAAATGTCTACATGAAATTAGCTCAGTTTTTGAATATGAACAAAACCCTGATTTAAAAATGGTCCAATTTTTAAACTCATGAAAGTCTACGTGACATATAAATCAGTTTTTCAATATGAATTAAAATGAAAAATCAGTTTCAAAAATGAAAGTATGTCTATTCTAAAATCCACAACAAGAGTGGATTTGAGTTGAGTCAAGCAAAAATGTTACAATTAGTCAAAGCTATTTGTAAAATGACTAGACTCATTAGAAACAACATGGGCTGTCTAATCAGCTCTAATTACAGAAGGCGACTAAAAGTTGCTGGCAGCATTAAACAGGTCAAAACTAAGGTGAGGGGAAAACAAATTTCAATCCAGATTAACCCTATAGCAACTCAAAACAAATTTAAATCCAGATTAACCCTATAGCAACTGTCAAAACAAATTTAAATCCAGATTAACCCTATAGCAACTCAAAACAAATTTAAATCCAGATTAACCCTATAGCAACTGTCAGGTTTTGATATGAAACTTTTCATTTTTTTTTAAAAAAGGCAAATAATGCTTGTGTAGAGGTTGACCTATTTTAGTTTTCCTGCTTATTTCCTCAATCAATGGTCAAATATAGAACAATCCATTCTGGTAAATGGCATAAGGATCTGGTGCGTCATTCTTGTCAACAAAAAAGGGGATGATTTTTTCTGTATCACATACTAACATGTTGAACAATCAGCCCTTGACTAACACACTGAATAATTCCTGATCAACTGGTAACAGGGATCCACTTGGTAACAGGGATCCACTGATCAACTGGTAACAGGGATCCACTTGGTAACAGGGATCCACTAATCAACTGGTAACAGGGATCCACTAATCAACTGGTAACAGGGATCCACTAGGTAACAGGGATCCACTAATCAACTGGTAACAGGGATCCACTAGGTAACAGGGATCCACTAATCAACTGGTAACAGGGATCCACTAATCAACTGGTAACAGGGATCCACTTGGTAACAGGGATCCACTGATCTACTGGTAACAGGGATCCACTGATCAACTGGTAACAGGGATCCACTAATCAACTGGTAACAGGGATCCACTAGGTAACAGGGATCCACTAATCAACTGGTAACAGGGATCCACTAGGTAACAGGGATCCACTAATCAACTGGTAACAGGGATCCACTAATCAACTGGTAACAGGGATCCACTTGGTAACAGGGATCCACTGATCTACTGGTAACAGGGATCCACTGATCAACTGGTAACAGGGATCCACTAGGTAACAGGGATCCACTAATCAACTGGTAACAGGGATCCACTAGGTAACAGGGATCCACTAATCAACTGGTAACAGGGATCCACTAATCAACTGGTAACAGGGATCCACTAGGTGACAGGGATCCACTAATTAACTGATATCAGGGATCCACTAATGAATGTCCCACAAAGAGTTTCAAAAAGTCAAGGATATCCAGATTAGAGGAATCCAATCATTCCTATGTGACCTCAATGCCCAAATGATAAATAGAACTGTGTGAAAGTCAAATTTATCTGGCACATAAAAGTAAAGATTCATAGATGAAGTAGAGTTCATTTTTGCGTGACCTCTGCATAAACTCATTTGGTCAGGCTAAAAATATAATAAAGTTGGTTTAGTAAAAGATAAAGAAATGCACTAAGGATATCAAATTGTTCTGATACGCCTAGTGCTTAATTAAATGATGTGCGTATTTAATAATAGCTAAGTCAAAATTGTACATAATAATATTAATAAACATAATAAAATGTTTGTATTTACATAAAAAAGATGGTGTTGAGCATTGAAAAAAATGATTTCTATTAATAGTAATCATCCATAACTAGACAAACAGTAGAGTTGGATGTTGCAATGATCCATAACTAGAGAAACAGTAGAGTTGGATGTTGCAATGATCCATAACTAGACAAATAGTAGAGTTGGATGTTGCAATGATCCATAACTAGAGAAACAGTAGAGTTGGATGTTGCAATGATCCATAACTAGAGAAACAGTAGAGTTGGATGTTGCAATGATCCATAACTAGACAAATAGTAGAGTTGGATGTTGCAATGATCCATAACTAGAGAAACAGTAGAGTTGGATGTTGCAATGATCCATAACTAGACAAATAGTAGAGTTGGATGTTGCAATGATCCATAACTAGACAAACAGTAGAGTTGGATGTTGCAATGATCCATAACTAGACAAATAGTTGAGTTGGATGTTGCAATGATCCATAACTAGACAAACAGTAGAGTTGGATGTTGCAATGATCCATAACTAGACAAATAGTTGAGTTGGATGTTGCAATGATCCATAACTAGACAAATAGTAGAGTTGGATGTAGCAAATCAAATGATCCCATCATAAACAAAACCTATTGTTATTAGTTGTGAAAATTTTTTCTCTCCTTCCAGTTCTAGATTGAATGGAGGACTTGCCAAGATACTTGAATTTGGATGAGAGCTGATTTCTCCTAATTTGAATGGAGGTCTTGCCAAGATACTTGAATTTGGATGAGTGCTGATTTCTCCTAATTTGAATGGAGGTCTTGCCAAGATACTTGAATTTAGATGAGAACTGATTTCTCCTAATTTGAATGGAGGTCTTGCCAAGATACTTGAATTTAGATGAGCGCTGATTTCTCCTAATTTGAATGGAGGTCTTGCCAAGATACTTGAATTTAGATGAGAGCTGATTTCTCCTACTTTGAATGGAGGTCTTGCCAAGATACTTGAATTTAGATGAGAACTGATTTCTCCTAATTTGAATGGAGGTCTTGCCAAGATACTTGAATTTAGATGAGCGCTGATTTCTCCTAATTTGAATGGAGGTCTTGCCAAGATACTTGAATTTAGATGAGAGCTGATTTCTCCTACTTTGAATGGAGGTCTTGCCAAGATACTTGAATTTAGATGAGAACTGATTTCTCCTAATTTGAATGGAGGTCTTGCCAAGATACTTGAATTTAGATGAGAGCTGATTTCTCCTACTTTGAATGGAGGTCTTGCCAAGATACTTGAATTAGATGAGAGCTGATTTCTCCTACTTTGAATGGAGGTCTTGCCAAGATACTTGAATTTAGATGAGAACTGATTTCTCCTAATTTGAATGGAGGTCTTGCCAAGATACTTGAATTTAGATGAGCGCTGATTTCTCCTAATTTGAATGGAGGTCTTGCCAAGATACTTGAATTTAGATGAGAGCTGATTTCTCCTACTTTGAATGGAGGTCTTGCCAAGATACTTGAATTTAGATGAGAACTGATTTCTCCTAATTTGAATGGAGGTCTTGCCAAGATACTTGAATTTAGATGAGAGCTGATTTCTCCTACTTTGAATGGAGGTCTTGCCAAGATACTTGAATTTAGATGAGAGCTGATTTCTCCTACTTTGAATGGAGGTCTTGCCAAGATACTTGAATTTAGATGAGAGCTGATTTCTCCTACTTTGAATGGAGGTCTTGCCAAGATACTTGAATTTAGATGAGCGCTGATTTCTCCTAATTTGAATGGAGGTCTTGCCAAGATACTTGAATTTAGATGAGCGCTGATTTCTCCTAATTTGAATGGAGGTCTTGCCAAGATACTTGAATTTAGATGAGAGCTGATTTCCTTTATTCTTGTGAATGTGCATTTGCACTGCTGTTAAAAAAGATTAAAGCTAAATAAATAAAGGCCAATGAGCCCAAGAAAAGATCACAGTAGGTAAAAGATCACGTCCTAGGTAAGCTTGACCTCTCCCTCAAACAAAAGATGACAGTAGGTAAAAGATCACGTCCTAGGTAAGCTTGATCTCTCCCTCAAACTCCTCCAGAGACTTCTCCCTCTGGTAGCAGTCTGGCTCACTGAATGGAGTCCCAAAGGTGCTGAAGGTCAAGGCCCGTGTGCTCATGTTCTTCCTGCTGACCTGCACGGCGTCACTGACTGCCATGCTGGGGCAGTGGTTGAAGAAGTTGTATGGCGCCAGCAGGATCCTGCACTGGTTGCTGGTGGTGCTGATGCTGGGCACGTCCTCCGCATGCGGGATGTGGTAGATGCCAGAGGTCAGCCACACAACCAGGTCTGTGTCTACAATGGTATCATTGTCCTCTAGGTAACGGGAAAAGTCAAGGACTGGGTCAAACGGATCACCTTGAGCATAGATAGAAGAACTGCTGTCCTCCGTGTCTTTGTACTTGGTAACTGCCATCTGAAAACAAAATTACGGGCTTTACGACAAATGCTTTTCTTACGTCAGTATTCATTATAGATTGGTTAGTCAGTATTCATTATAGATTGGTTAGTCAGTATTCATTATAGATTGGTTAGTCAGTATTCATTATAGATTGGTTAGTCAGTATTCATTATAGATTGGTTGGTCAGTATTCATTATAGATTGTATCAATTTGCTTACACTTAAAGAATAGAAATGTAAACTTTAAGGAAATATTTTTAAAAATTGAAAATTGTCGTGAAATGAAGCAGCTGAGTTTTGGGAAGGAAAAAGTAATGTAGGAATAAAGCTGACCTGATACTTAGCCCATGATGCGGCATTGGTGACTGATGAATCTTGCAGCAAGAACTTGCTTTTGGCCTCATTGATAATCCTATATCCCCTGTGTGAATGATACTTGTTCTCTGCATCTCTGTTGAAGAGGATGTGGTGCTGGGGCTGATCAAAGTTGTACAGCACGCTGGCTTCACTCTCGTCTGTCTTGAGCACAGGCTCAAACCTCAGCTGGGTCTTGTTGACAGAGCCTTCGTACCAGAAGCTGGACCCTGATTCAGTCATCATGTCCAGAGTCTGGTACCTGTTGGCTGGTGTCTCAATGTCAAGGTCAATTTTCCAGTGGAAGAGATGCTGATGGAGATTACCCCTGACTGTGTCATGCACACGGTTCCCATAAGGTCGCTGCCCTGAGAGGTCAAAGGACGCCTGTATGTAGCCCGTCAAGGAGATCTTCAGCTCTATAGTGCCATCCAGGTGGAAGATGTAGTCCACGATGTAGTCGCAGCTCCAGAGGCTGACGATGGACCTGACCACCAGGCTGCTGGCCACCAGACCCCCGTAGGAATGGAACTCTCCATTGCGGTTGTGAGAGTAGTGTCTGCGTAGGGGCATGCTAGACGTCTGCTCAAATACACAGATAGAATGTCTGTGGTGCAGTGGTTGGCCAGTGTTGGCAAAGTGATAGGAATCTCTGAAGGTGGCCGTGGCTGGGCAGTCAATGCCAGGCACCAGTTCATACGAGGATGCCCCTAGCAGCCAGGAGATGCCATAGAGCCCCAACCAGGCTGTCTCAGGACTGTAGCCTGTGTAGAATGCTGTCACGTCTTGTAAAGATATTTCATAGGCTATTGTGTCTCCCTGAAAGTAAACATCAACTATTTGTAGACCTGTGTCTGTCCGCATGTGATAATTGAAGCTCCAGCCAAAATATTTGATGTATTGGCCATCAACAGAGTACCTGTGGCCCTCGGGCTCAATGAGGCGAGGGCCACGAAGTGGTGTGTCAAATGACTGATGCCCTCTCTTATTGAAGCTGGAAAACTGGGCATCTATATGATCCATTTTGGGAGTGATTTTTCTTATGCTGCCCTCATTATATCTGTCAATCAAATCTTCAATTTCATAAAAAAGTTGACCATTGTAAATCACCCGACTGACTGACCACAAGGCCGTGTCTGAGCTTTGATGATCAACTTGGATAGCAAAGCCTAGCGGATGCAGGTAAAATCCAACAGTTTCCCTGTAGGCCCAAAACCAGGAGACCCTCTCCCCACTCCCAGTGCCTCTGGGGGCAAAGTCCTCAAACCTGAGACAGTCCAGATGAGATGTACAGTTGCTGTAGCTCAGGCCATAGCTCTCCTTAAACAGCCTGTGCAGGGGCTCTACCACACTGGAGAGAAAAACTTTGAGCTGAGTCCTCTCTATGGCGTCCACAGGCCGACTAGTGAAAGGGATTGGCACACGACGGTAGGAGGGGCTTGTCACAAGCTTGTGGTACTTAGGCTGAGGGAGCGGGCCCACCAAATACTCCTCCACTCGAGGGGGATCTGTGTTCCCCCTGTAAACTGTGACTTTGGATGCTCTTTGTGGCTTTCTATCTACTCCTTTTCTGAACTTGAGTACAGAATCCTTTAAAGGAATTTGCAGAGAAATCATAAAAATATAGCTTGAGTTGAGTGTAGCATTTTGATAGGGCATCAGACCTAAACGTTTTTGGGCAAGTAGATAGTCTCTGACCGCAGTCATTTCTCTGGGAGTGAGGTCACTGAAGAGACCTGGAGCATCCAGGTTTCTGGCGGTACTGGCCAGGCCGGGGGAGCAGTATGGAGGGGTGGTCTTGATGACCACTGCCACTGCTAGAGCTATGGTCAAGAGTACGACCAAACTGGACATGAGACCAGCCAGGACACGGACAACGAGCCAGGTTCTCCAGGGGATGACCACAGCTGATGGCCGTCTCACTGCCCTCTTTGGAACTACAGCAATCTTTTCCTCCATCATTGGCTGAAATTAGGATAAGATAAATACAGTCATTGGAGAGATAACATACACAAAACTAGGTACAGTCATTAGAGAGATAAGACACACAAAACTAGGTACAGTCATTAGAGAGATAAGACACACAAAACTAGGTACAGTCATTTGAGATAAGACACACAAAACTAGGTACAGTCATTGGAGAGATAAGACACACAAAACTAGGTACAGTGATTGGAGATAAGACACACAAAACTAGGTACAGTCATTGGAGAGATAAGACACACAAAACTAGGTACAGCCATTGGAGAGATAAGACACACAAAACTAGGTACAGTCATTGGAGAGATAAGACACACAAAACTAGGTACAGTCATTTGAGATAAGACACACAAAACTAGGTACAGCCATTGGAGAGATAAGACACACAAAACTAGGTACAGCCATTGGAGAGATAAGACACACAAAACTAGGTACAGTGATTGGAGAGATAAGACACACAAAACTAGGTACAGCCATTGGAGAGATAAGACACACAAAACTAGGTACAGTCATTTGAGATAAGACACACAAAACTAGGTACAGCCATTGGAGAGGTAAGACACACAAAACTAGGTACAGTCATTTGAGATAAGACACACAAAACTAGGTACAGTCATTGGAGAGATAAGACACACAAAACTAGGTACAGTCATTTGAGGTAAGACACACAAAACTAGGTACAGCCATTAGAGAGGTAAGACACACAAAACTAGGTACAGTCATTTGAGATAAGACACACAAAACTAGGTACAGTCATTGGAGAGATAAGACACACAAAACTAGGTACAGTGATTGGAGATAAGACAAACAAAACTAGGTACAGCCATTGGAGATAAGAGAGACATTTACATCAACTACTTAGAGACATCAAAGCTAGCGGCATAAAAGCCCAGTATCAAGGGAAGAATATGTACTCACCATGAGTTCACATCACAATTAAGTTAAGGCAACTTTGATTCCTCTGTTAGTCATCACAATTAACTAAAGGCAACTTTGATTCCTCTGTTAGTCAACCTGCTGCTCATGTCTAGGTTACCTACATTCAAACACAACAAAATAAACAACACACCAAGTTATCTATAATAATCAATACACCAAACTATTTATATAAAAAAAATTCATAAAAAATATTTTAATAACAAGCTTTTATTTAATAATGCACTAAAAAGTAGAAAATAAATAATTTTCTTTAAATATATAATATTATAATAATACACTACTATTTAAATAACTATAAAGAAAACCAAAGGTCACTTCATTATCTATTATATACTTTTACTAATATTTAGGAAGAGACCCACACTTTTCTTTATAGTTATTTAAATAGTAGTGTATTATATATTGAAAGGGTGGCACACAACATTCATTGATTAAACCTAGCAAGGGGCCATAAGCAGCACCCCTGCAGTAGTGTAACCTGGGGCTCCAGAGAGTGCCCTGCTACGCCCCTGACACCTGGGCGGTCGCCAAAATGTGTTTGATCTCACTAAAACTGAGAGTGATTAATGAACACTCACGGCTTTCATACAGCACGCTGTAGTGTAAGCAAACCTCTGCCCCCACAAATATGATTCAAGAAATGTAGCGCAGGCATTGTTTACATTTTAAAAACTCAGTTTTAGAAAACAAGGTCACGCGTCTAAGAATATAGGATTGGTAATGCATTGATGAAACCCTCTTAAAATATTTCATCAGACTTTCTTCCTGCATATACACGCGGTGACTGGCACGCTAGTATTAAATACAACAAAATAAACCACCAAATGCCTACATTAATACAAAACAATCAATTAATGTAAAGTTTATGGTTTTTAAAAAAATTTAAGATCTGGTCAAGTTCAATCAAAATAATAAAAAAAACTGACTGCCGTCTATTGACTGTAACTTTGTAATTATTACCCCAGTTCACTAGAACCAAGCCAATACCCTCAAAGAAAATTATAAAACACAACATGGAAGTAATTTTGTGTACTGTCTGTTGACCCTAAAGGGTCAACCATAAAAGATGTCACACTACTAGGGGGAGGTTCAAAATGTTTTGAATTTTGCATTTTTTAAATTAATATTATAAGCTCAATTTTAGCTGGTATTTGTGTTTTAGGAAGCTGTTTTTGGAAATTGTATTAGAAATATTAGATTACAGTATGTCATCCAATACCCAACAATTTTACTTCATACATCACCTGTCCCCCAACAAAATAATTGTACACATCACTCTAGCCCCCATTAATTTATAAAATTTGCAATCTGAAATACACCAGACCCATTGTTTCTGCCCTCCCCCCCCCCCCCTCCTTCCTAACTAAATATAATTTTTCTACTAGCAAATATATACTTTGCCAATGTAGAAATTTTCAAGAGAAACTTACTAACTAATGGTTGTCAAACATCCACTCTGTGTGCTGGTGCCCAATGAGTGGCCACTTTCAGCCTCATTTCTCTGTCTTCTGAAATACACAGGCAATAATGGCAGCAATGGCAATAATGGCAGCAATGGCAATAATGGCAGAAATTCTATGGCCACCTCACTACATGGTCACTTTGAGATATGGACTCCCAGCTACACACTGACAACACAGCTACACACTGACAACACAGCTACACACTGACAACACAGTTACACACTCACAACACAGCTACACACTGACAACACAGCTACACACTAACACAGTTACACACTGACAACACAGCTACACACTGACAATACAGCTACACACTGACAACACAGTTACACACTCACAACACAGCTACACACTGACAACACAGCTACACACTGACTGATAGCTACATACTAGTACATACTGACTACACGAGTAAACAGCTACACACTGACTAACAGCTAAACAGCTACACACTGACTAGCAACTACACACTGACTACACGAGTAAACAGCTACACACTGACTAACAGCTACACACTGACTACACGACTAAACAGCTACACGTTGACTAACAGCTAAACAGCTACACACTGACTACACAATTAATTACTCACTGACTGACAGCTACTCACTGACTAGCAACTACTCACTGAATACACGACTACACACCAGCTACTCAAGTCATCAATGACAAAAACGTTACTCACTGACTACATCAATGACAAAAACGTTACTCACTGACTACACATTGTGTGGGAGCACAAAGAACAACATGAACACGGTTACCCGAGGATGATTCGGCAGCTGCCGAGTTCAAGCGAAGGGGCAAATAACTCACCTCCCCCCCCCCCCTTATTTAATAACTTGATATTAGAAAATAAAAGAGACGAATCGATTAGTAAGTGAGGGAAGAATGTCCACAGACACACACAACAATCATTCCAGCTATTTAGTTTTAAAATTATAATACTGCTATTTTTGGCTGTTCATAACAGTTTACATAATATTTTAGCCTACAAAATTAGCTCGCGATAAAACAGGTCATTGCAGACGTGCAGCAAATATAGATTTATACACACCGCAAGTGGCGCGTGCAGGAGTAAAAGAGGGCACACAGCTGGAAGTGTGGACATGGCTCTGCCAGAAATATAAACTCGCGTCGAAAAAAATGCGTGTCTTATCTAGCGAGCACAGTGTCGTGCGGACTGCATGAATTAGCCTACATGACCAATAGACTTAATGTTGTTGATAAAATTAGACATTATGTTTTGAGTAGGACTCCGCAAATTAATAATTAAATTATTTCTTGTGTTTAAAAATAGCACTTGTATCTGAATATAAGTAACCAGTACAAGATGCGCAACCTTAATTAACTTTATTTTTTACAAGCTTTTCTTTAACTTGCTTTCACGGTCTGTCTGTCGTGCATAGTGTTTAATAATGTGAGTAGGCCTATTAATAATTAAGGGGTCATCCATAAATGACGTCACGCTTTTTTTTGACGATTTTTATCCCCCCCCCCCCTTTTACGTCACACACCCTCAGAGCCGGCGTTAGGGGGTGGCAAACGGGGCGGTCGCCCCAGGCCCCGCGCTTGAAGGGGCCCCGCGCTTCAGCAATGCCATTGTTGACTGAATTAGTTTGTAAACTTAAATAATCTTTGCTGAATTAAATTTAAAAAAAAAACCAACTAAATGGCCGAAATTGTTGGATGTTAAAACTAAGGCCACGGCTGATGTTAGTGAGTTATCCTCTACATGGACTGGTACAGACCGTTATTCGATACGAAGACATTTGTGTCACACAACCAATGGCACGGTCGACTCGCAATTGTCCTGAGGTGACTAGAGATGGCGGTCGCGAATTAGCCCCCGACCTGACATGGGAGGTAAAATCGGGAAAAACGTAAAAAGATACCCTATTGTTTGCGGACCGTTGAAGACGTTTTTTTTTTAGTGAGCAGGCGGGGGTGTCTGTAGTAAACAGTCAGTGACCTGATGATGGCTTGCAGAGGAGGAGGGGGGGGGGGAGAGCGGATGGGGACATGTCCCGGACATCCAGAGTATTTATCCCTAAAATCATAATTTATACACTGTATGGGCATCTTTTGTGTAACATCTTTTATGCATATTCACCACGATACGTTTGATAGGCATCCATACAGTAATTATGTTCATATTTATTTTATATATTGCCAGGTCATCTTTAAATACATTATACTTGTATTTATTTTTATATTTTTGAAGGGCATTTATACAGTAATTATGTTCATTTTCATTTTGGTAAACTTTAACGGTATTCGTAAAGTGATTAAGCACATGTTTATTTTAATTAATTGTAGGGACAGTGGCGTAGCGAGGTCGGGTGTCACCCGGTGCGGCACTTAATGGTGTCATCCCCCCCTTTCCCCAGGCGTAGCGACCCTTCCCGGGAAAAAAATTTCAAATTGTCGATTTGCACCCCCCCCTCCTCAAACTTTTGATTTGCACCATCCTCAAGTTTTCGATTTGCACCCCCCCCCCACCTCAAACTTTCGATTTGCACCCCCCTCAAGTTTTTCTCTATATATTTTGCTATTTTTTGCCTTGGTGTCACCCCTCTAAAAGGTGTCACCAGGTGCGATCCGCAACCCCCCGCCCCTTCCCCCCCCCCCCCCGCTACGCCTCTGTGTAGGGATATTCAGTATAATAGTTAAGGCCATAGTGATTCTTGTTTTAAAATAGTGTAGGCACACTAAACAAATTATAAAGTCTATACTGTTTGATACATCGGGCCGAGACTGTTTTATGGTAAAGTTCTCCTGATTTCTAAAACGTCTAAATTACCGGCAGTCCGAGCATGCCATCGCGAAACTCATAAATGACATGAAGCTGGCTGTCACATGGTTCACTTTCTAATTATAGACACGGACCTTCTCTTGTGAGAACGCGGTCTTAACCTGTAATGTAATACGTGGACGCTCTATACACACGCACCTTCTCTTGAATGGCTGCGGTCAGAGATCCAGTAACGTAGTACCCGAACTGATTTTTTTTAGGGTTTGGCATCCCATAGATTTAAATGTACAGTTATCCTTCACGGGCTTCACCTCACCCCACCAACTGTCACCCCCCCCCCCCCAGTGTTCCACCTTACTGAGCGTCCGTGATTACATTTGAGAGTCATTTCCTTTGGATATCTATAGTCTGTAAACAGTTTTTCACGATTCAAGCTTATTCCGAAATCTATCAATGTTTTGCTATTTTCCCCGGCATCCACACACTTTGAATGCCCCTGAGAAAATATCGATACTATCACCTGCCACTGTGGACCGATTTAACGTTGCTTCAAAGTGCCCGAAGGTATTAAGTCAGCCAAACAGTGCCTTCAGTACATTTGGAGTATTCGGGATTCCTTTCCCAATACGGCGATCGCCTACAGAATCTTGCTAACAGTTCCAGTCGTTTGTGAACGTACTGGTAAGATTTTAATAAATAAACATTAATGTAAAAAAAAATCAGGTTTGAAGCTGACGTTCATCGTCTCTTTAATGCGTGTATCAAACTTATATCTGTTTTATTTTTTACTTTTCAAACAAAAAGCCCAGAAACAAGCAACGTTTCAAAAGCACTTCTAAGTAAACAAATTATTTGTTAATCAGTGTCTTAATGTTAATACGACATTGATAAACAGCTTAAAAATACCATATATATCGTTATAAATATTAATTCGCGTTGAGAAGAAAAAAAAACCGCCTCACTGTACATGTTTTATTTAATTATACAACAATGAAAAAAATATAAGGCCATAGGCCCCGCGTACCCCTAACGCCGGCTCTGCACACCCTACTGTGATGGATTGGAATCACTGACGAGAAGCCACATTGATTGTTAACAGTAGTTTATTCACACCATGAGGAAAGAGAGAGAGGGCGGAAGTCACGAGACACTTATATGCATAAACATGTAAGGGATATCACTCAAGATAACAATATAAATATAATACTAATACAGAAGAGTGAGTTCCCTTGACTGCACAAGTCTCACTATATTACATCCCTTTACCCTTAGTAAACACAACACATCTCTCAATAGAACAATTTACAGTATCCTAAAATCACCAATGAGAAATTATATTGTAACATGAACACTATGGTAGATTACATCCTTACAAACAATGCACAATATGTTACAACATAATTAAAATACAAACAATGATGTCAAAGTCCTTTTGACTTTTAAAATCATAGGTCTAACTTATTTGGGACTTTGATTGTCCTGTTTGACCTTCTCAGTGGCTTTTGATTTGGTGACTCAATATTCTGATATTGACTCGTTTGGTTGACGAGTCCTACTGTCAAATCTAGCTCGACATAGAAACTTTGATGGGGTAGGCGCATGGTGGTCTGTTAGCAATTTGCTCAGCTCGTTAAAGCTCTTGGTAGTTAGACTAGCTGGTGCGCATAAGTCCTTTAGTAGCCTAAATTGTTGAGGCCCTATGACTGTTAACAAAACAGCTCTCTTTTTGGCTTCTATCGTCACGTCGTTTGCTTCAAGGTAAAAACTTAACCTATCTAGGTAATCCTGAATGGTTTCATCATTCGAATCAAATTCTTTTATTTGGCCATACAGCGCCATTATTCTAGAAATACTTAGCCAATATGCTCTAGCAAACCTCTTTTTTGCGTAAGTAGGTGCTCTTTCTAGTGGATTATTTATCTTCGTCGCCAAAGTGATGGATTGGAATCACTGACGAGAAGCCACATTGATTGTTAACAGTACTTTATTCACCACCATGAGGCAAGAGAGCGAGGGCGGAAGTCACGAGACACTTATATGCATAAACATGTAAGGGACATCACTCAAGATAACAATATAAATATAATACTAATACAGAAGAGTGAGTTCCCTTGACTGCACAAGTCTCACTATATTACACCTACAACCCCCCCCCCCCCCCTCCTCCTCTCAAAATTGCAGTTGAATTTTTTTTAAACATCAATATTTTTCCAAAATCTTGTCTGAACTCTGTCAAAATAGAGTATTTTAATTTATTAAAACTGTTTTCTAAAACGCAAAATAACGTCTAAAATTCGTTTTCTAACATTGCTTTTTTATAATGCTAAAGTGTGACGTCGCACCATCTGACCCCCCCCCCCCCTCCCCCTCATCACATACCGTCACAAAATTACGGACTCCCCCTACGAGTGTGGCGTCATTTATGAACGACTCCTAAAACTTCGACCGTTTCTAACGGACAAGTTCCGATGGCAGTGCAATGTGACATCAAATCGAATAGGATGCTTAAAAAAATTACACTATGCAAATTGAATGTTACTATGACAAGTGTCCTTGAATTTTTTTTCTTCCATAGTCGCAACAACGCTTGACACTAGACACCAGAATATATATGGGAACAGGGCATTACCACCCCCCTCCCGTCAATTCCCCCTCCCCCCGCCCAGCAGGACATTACCCCCCCCCCCCCCCCCCCCCCCCGTCGTAGTTTAAGGTTCAGCAAGGGTTAGAGCTAGGGTTTGAGTTTGGGCTAGGTCTAGTGTTAGCACTAGGGATAGGGCTAGATATGGGCTAGGGTTAGTGTTAGGATTAAAATCAATGTCTAGAGTTGGGTTTGGTTTTATTTTTAGGGTGAGGTGAATTTTTTTTTTTTGTCTTTGTCTGAAGGTTAGGATTGAGGTAATATATTGGTATAGAGTTGGAGTTAGAATTAGGATTTCTATCTTGGTGGATGGGGGGGGGGGGGGGAGAGGAGGGGCTGTAATTCCCCAGGGGGTAATTGCTCCAGGGGGGGGGTAATGTCCTGTAGGGGGCCCAAAACATTTTTTTCTTTCTAATTCCGCGACTGTTTAAGAGTATTCTCATCAACTTCCCAAAGTTTCAGGGCAATCGGATGAAAGCTGCAGTAATATGCTGCGAACTAAATGGGAAGGCTGGCACAAAATTTTAAGAAAATGTCATCAATACTCTATTGATCATGACGCATGGCCCTTTTTTATTTAACTTGCTTCCTCTGTCTGTCGTCATAGATCCAAACAGCCGAGCGAAATTTCGGGCACTTCGAACTGACAGATTCTTTTCAAAGTTGGCATGTGGGTCAAGACTTGAAGACAATGCATTCTGACATCAAAATTGACTTAATTGGAAACCTAATTAATTTATATTTTCTGAAATTAGAAGGTAGTCTTATCCTACTATTCCGCAATATAATACGTGCATTATCATCTTCATTAAGTGTGCAATAGTTTTTAGTCATTCGACTTTATTGTATTTAAAAAAAATTTAAGTAGGCCTACTGAAAAAAAATGCATTAAAAACGTTTTAATAGAAAGCTTTTATGTAATAATGCACTAAAAAGTAGAAAATAAATGATTTTCTTAAAATATTTGATAATACTCAACTATTTAAATAACTGTTTGCGAAGGTTTTTCCCTTGCACACCTTTCTGGGATCCGGTCGACTTAATTCATACTAATGTGATACGGCATACTTATTTCATGAGTAGAATAAGAACTTGCAAGACGTTATTTTGTCCCACACAGGGTTGAGATAGTTCGCCCACGTTTTAAACATTTTTCATCAAGCTAAATTATTTTCTAATATATTTTTAGAGCAAATTTTTATTTTACATAAGTGGAACAACAGAACACATACAAAAGGATAAACTGTATTTCTTGTGAAGCTTCTTACTATTTAAATGTAATTATATTTGAAGCTCTTTTCATGCATTTAAATTGTATGTTTATTTAGAGAAGCTGATTTAAGGGAATTAGATATTTTACCCGCTGTCAATTGACTATTTTTAGAAAGATGTAGCCCGCAGTCCTTTCTCCTGAACAAAGATGGACCTATCTGGGTTGAAGCAAAAATAACCAGAGAAAATGTGGGCTAAAATATTAATTTATACAAACATATGATAAAATACAGTGTATTTAAATATTTTTTTTTGTTAAATTAGGATACAGAGAAAAAGCTGAATACACAAAATAACAAAAAACTGAACGAATGGCAAAAATATTTTCATAATTCTTTAATCCAATGATTAAAGCAAATTTGTCTAAGTCTTAACGAAATCAAGTCTACTTCTCTTCTGTTCAAACAATACAATGCAAACAAGAAAAGTTTATTTAGTAGAAACACGAGTCCTGCTGTTCCAGGAGAAGTTAGCACCATACGACTTCTTGGGCAGTTTGGTTTTCTTCTTTTCCTCTTCTACAAACCAACTCCATCCTGAAAATGGTGGGAACACAAGAAGTGGTTAGTCTACACAAGTATATAAGTGGTTAGTCTACACAAGTATAGAAGTGGTTAGTCTACACAAGTATAGAAGTGGTTAGTCTACACAAGTATAGAAGTGGTTAGTCTACACAAGTATAGAAGTGGTTAGTCTACACAAGTATAGAAGTGGTTAGTCTACACAAGTATAGAAGTGGTTAGTCTACCCAAGTATAGAAGTTGTTAGTCTACACAAGTATAGAAGTGGTTAGTCTACACAAGTATAGAAGTGGTTGATTTACACAAGTATAGAAGTGGCTAGTCTACCCAAGTATAGAAATCCTGTTCCAAAGGAGAACCTTGTCATCTGGTAAAGTAATTTTTGACAGACTTAAACAACATTGTTTCAGAAGTACGAATGAGGAGATGGAGATGGCTGGGTCATGTCCTTCACATGAACAGAAGAAGACTCCCCAATGTGGTGCTTAAGTGAACTCCGCCTGGAAAACGAAAGAGAGGAAGGCAACTGGGAACATGGAGGAGAGAGATGGAAGAAGAAGTGCAGGCTACTGGCAAGAATCAAAGTGGCTCACCCAAGACTGGGATGGCGGAGATTTGTGGCTGCCCTATACTCCACAGGGAGTGATGAGGATTAAGGAAGGAATTGCAATTGTACACCAAAGCTGATGTTCACTTAAATATGGTGAATCACAAAGTTACATTTAAATATGGTGAGTCACAAAGTTACATTTAAATATGGTGAGTCACACAGTTACATTTAAATATGGTGAATCACAAAGTTACATTTAAATATGGTGAGTCACAAAGTTACATTTAAAAAGCCCTACCATTTTTCTCACAAAAGGCGATGGCATCTTCTTTGCTGCAGAAGTTGACTTCAGTGTTTGACAAAGGGTCCCCTCTGAAAAACAGTGGGCAAATATTATTTGATAAGAGGGGTCAATGATCAAGGTTTAGGGAGAAGTCTTTCTCTTGTCATCTAGGTGGATAGTGTAGTCTTGTCTAAGTTGTTCTGCCCTGGGAATGTTAGTTATGTAGTCATGTCTTGCCTAAGTTGTAAATGATGACTAAAAAAACTTTCAAATTGTTAAAATGGAAATCTGCCAAAATGTGAGATCTTGACCTAGAGTAAAACTTTATCTAGTGAGTAGTACCGTCAGACCTAGCGTAATCATCCAATAGAAAAGAAATGCACATATTCAACCTAGAAGTGATAGACTAAGCATAATACTCAATTTAAATAAGAATGAGTAGAATAGGCATCAGCTATTTCTGTAGAGGTCATTGCCGGTTTTTTTTTCTGCAGTTTAAAATCTTCTTTAAAAATCTGCAAAAATCATAAGAAAAATGAGTGGAGTCAAACTGAAAAGTCATAGGATTAAACCAGGGGTCTCCAAACTTTTTAGTCTGAGGGCTGTATTAACTATCAAATTTCAGTTCGGGGGCCAGTTCTTCCAGGGATGTCTTTGATATTTCTGGGCAAAGTTCCTCAGCCATCACCAACAAACGGTTTTTCCGTGGACAAAAAGATCTCCGCGGGCCGGATGAGAGGATATCGCGGGCGGCATCTGGCCCGCGGGCCGTAGTTTGGAGACCCCTGGATTAAACAAGCAAAGTAATTACTGTGCTGTGATTGAAAAGGTCAAATGGTGGTGGATGATTAACAGTTCAACACAATCAATAGTAGAAAGGGTAGGCCTCTCTAATTGCTGGCTTGAATAATATCTAAGACAAGACAATTTATGCTATCTAAGGGTGATTTATTACTGTTATATGAGGTAATTTATTACTCTTATATGGGGTAATTTATTACTCTATATGAGGTTATTAATCTACATATATATATAAAACAAAGAGGTCGGATGCCCGATTGGCCACTTCCTGACACCGCAAGCGCTTCAAATTTGGCAGGCTCCTGCCTCTGGATGATAGAACAGAAAAAAATTCCCCTGAAATTGTAGACAGACCCTCGGAGGTAGCAAAAAAATCTATTCAGGAAAACTCTGGAAAGGCTTTAGACATGACCGGTCCAAATTTTCCCTATATAAACATTGTTAATTTGGTGAAAAATGATGACTAGTTTAGGAACTTTGGCTCTGTAAATCTGGCTCATTTTATCCATAAACCTGGGTAAATGAATGGACCGTATGGGGTAACAAGTGACCATGAGTTAAATTCTCCTTATATGAGCTATGTATCCAATTAAACTTTTGCCCCCTGATATTTTGTGAGGTTGTAGAAAAAAACCTATGGATGTCAGAAAAAACTCACCATCTGGAAAAATCGATAAAGTGGTCAAAACTGACCAGTCCTATTTCCCTATATAATCATTGTAATTTATGTGAAAAACAGGGTAATTTCAATCAAGAATTTTAGGCTACTTAACCTCTGTAAATCCGGCTTATTTTTTGCATTCACCTCTATACTAGGCTGTATGGAAAAACCTCAATGAGATCTAAAAAATGACAGCGAGTGAAATTCTCTTTATATAAGCTATATATGCCCAGGCGCCTCAGTTGCCCTAACATGAGTTATCCATACCATCCTGAATTGTCACCATTGAATGTTCACTACATCCCAAAATACATGTCTGTTAAATGTTTACTTACGTAGAGATCCATCCCATCAAAGGATTCTCCCATCTTTCTCTTTCATCAAACTCCATGCGCCACCTGCGTGTGTTATAGCTGCCAGACTGCATGGCATTGCGAGCTGGGACAAAAATTCTCACTGTCCGTGTTTTGATGTGTTCTTCAGGAACTCCACTGATAGCTGAGATGTCGATCTTGAAAAAAGTTTTTAGTTTTAAGACAGCAGAAAACAAATTATTTCAAGTGTGGTGCATGAACATACAGCTAGAATAAAGCATACAAACACAGGATGAGTAAAGCACAATTATATTTTGTATTTTAAACTTGTAAACGCCTATGAGAAGACTACATGACTGGTATTTTTAAAATGCGTCAGTTACTTTTAAGTTGACTGCATGAAAATATTTTTTCCCATAACTGTTAAGAGAGAATATGATTAATATAAAAAAACAACATCTAAATATAATGCCATTGTGAAGGCTGCCATGCACACAAAACAAACAGAGCTTTCAATGCCAGCAATTGGGAGATAACAGACCTTCTCATTGACAGTGATGGTGATGTCTTTGTTTGTTGATTCCTTGTTCTCCACTTCTGAGCCACTTGAAACTGTTACATTAGAGCTAGCCCTGGCCATTTTATATTAAAATGTATTTTTAAAAAAAAACAACTAGCAATCAAAATCACAAACAACAATAAAAAGATAATTTTTTACAACTAGAGTCTAACAGCATTGGCGGGTTCAGCCCTGAGCTTTTATGGAGGCAACCCAGTCTCTCATAGACTACAGGAATAAACATTAAAATGGGATAGTGTGGTCAGCACTATGCCCGGCCGCCTATGTTTCCCTAACATTAAAATGGGATAGTGTGGTCAGCACTATGCCTGGCCGCCTATGTTTCCCTAACATTAAAATGGGATAGTGTGGTCAGCACTATGCCAGGCCGCCTATGTTTCCCTAACATTAAAATGGGATAGTGTGGTCAGCACTATGCCAGGCCGCCTATGTTTCCCTAACATTAAAATGGGATAGTGTGGTCAGCACTATGTACGACCGCCTATGTTTCCCTAACATTAAAATGGGATAGTGTGGTCAGCACTATGTACGACCGCCTATGTTTCCCTAACATTAAAATGGGATAGTGTGGTCAGCACTATGCCTGGCCGCCTATGTTTCCCTAACATTAAAATGGGATAGTGTGGTCAGCACTATGCCTGGCCGCCTATGTTTCCCTAACATTAAAATGGGATAGTGTGGTCAGCACTATGCCTGGCCGCCTATGTTTCCCTAACATTAAAATGGGATAGTGTGGTCAGCACTATGCCTGGCCGCCTATGTTTCCCTAACATTAAAATGGGATAGTGTGGTCAGCACTATGCCTGGCCACCTATGTTTCCCTAACATTAAAATGGGATAGTGTGGTCAGCACTATGCCTGGCCGCCTATGTTTCCCTAACATTAAAATGGGATAGTGTGGTCAGCACTATGCCTGGCCGCCTATGTTTCCCAAACATAACTCCAACCTGGGATCAGAACTAAAAAAAATGCCAGTTCTGTGGGTTTATAATGTATCCCTAGTCTAGTATTCATTGGTATGAGGCATTTTGATGAAAATACAACAAATAGTTTGCAATGAAAAAAAGTTGGGTTGTTTAAAATCAATATAGCCTATATTAACTTTATGTCTAAAGTCTTTATTACTGGTAAAAGAATTCCAAGTCAGGGTAGGCCTATATTCATGTAATTGGCAAGTGAACTGAATTCATATTTGAATTTCTTGATTATTTAAAAAAAATTTTTTTAGATAGTTCATTGTATTATAATAAACATTAGGAATGTAAAGATTGGTGTTGTATTACTTTAAAATTAGTTTAACTAGTGAGAATTGCTTACTTCTTTAATTTGGCTACTACTAGATTTTTTAATATACTCTATAGATTCTAGTATAATCTAGTATGCTTATATACTAAGTAGATCTAGTAGATTGCGACTAGACTACTAAGAATAATTGAACTAAGAGTACACTGTATTACTTTTACACAATTCTAAACTTTTAAGTCTTTTAAGTCTTTAAAAGTGGATCCAGCAAGCTAGTAGAATTCTAAATCAAGATCTAGAAGGGTGTTGGTAAACTAAATGGCAAGGCGGTAAATTGTGAGACATACCTGCGGAATCAAGGGTAAAGAGCGAGACACATTTTGTGAGAAATTTTTTTGTTTCAAGATTTTGGTGGTTTGGTTTTTCACCAGATGTGCGAGAAGAAAAGTTATAAACTAAACAAGTAAATACATCATGAGTGTTGTAGGCCCATGTGTGTTGTTCTGTTTAAAAATAATTTTCTTGATCTGGTTTAGATTTCTTTTTTTTTTAAATCTGAACATCGACGCTCCTATGATCAGCGGGATAAAAATCACAGAGATCTTTGCATTTTACTCCCACCTGGGATAAGTATCAAGCGTGGGTAAACCTTAAATTGCGAGACAAAAATGTTTGGCAGTTCTCGCACCCTTCTTGCAATTTACCCCCTCGCGTCTCACAATTTACCAACAACCCATATTTCCAACAACAATGTTTCCAACAGATGCAACCATGCTCATTTACTATAGCAGCCATCTTGTTCAGTGTTTCTTCCAGACTTTTTTCTCCGGGGGGGGGGGGGGGGGGCACTTGAAAATTTAGGGGTGGGTAGACTTTCTACGGGGGGGGGGGGGGGGGGGAGCGGACACTGTTAAAAATAGATGCCTGGAAGAAACTCTGATCTTGTTTAAATTTTATTTTTATAAACTTATAGCGCGAGATTCAGGGGGAAGCCACTCTATTTTAAAAAAGGCTGCTGTTTATATAGCAAATCTTGCTGTTTAATCATTTATCTATAATATTTGACACAAACATTTAATATCACAACATACTTCTATTAACTATTAAAGCCTTGACAATGAGGTAACGTTTTCGTACATTGATAGCCGCGGGCGATTTTACATAGATCTAGTTATTCTAGGCCTACCCAAAACGATAGATTACCGTAATAATAACTTTATATAACTTATTATTATAATTATTAGTATTAGGCATATTATTGTTAGGCTATAGCCTATAGGCCTAAGTAATACATACAGTAATAATAGTAATAAGTAATAAGTTAATGTAAGTAAGTAGTAAAGTGTAGATTTAGTAGTGAAGATTCTATTATCGGTATCAAAAATCCCCCCTTTCTTTTAAAATTAAATCAACCTTGATCCTATTAAGCGGCTTGATAGACGAAGATGTTGAAAAATCTTCGACGACAAATTTGTTGCCATTTTTCACTGTTGTGTTTAATATTGTGCTTCACCTTGAAAAGCGGGAGATAATTCTCACTTACTTTTAGACGTACTCTTCATTAAAAAGAATGCATTTGGTCAACTCTATTTACTAGAATCTAGATTTAGTGACTTAGTCTGATTTAGGCCTTAGAAAATCTCGATCTTCTAGATCTAAATCTAGATTCTCGATCTAGAGTCCAGACCTAGAATCTAGATCTAGATCCTATTCTAGATCGGTCTAATCCTGATCTATAGATCTACATAGATTCTAGATCTAGTATACTTGATCTAGCTTAATGAATGATGATGTTCATAATGTTAGCTTCTTAATAAAAATAGCATCGGGCACTATTTTAATTCATGAATTGAATAGGCCTAGGCTAGGCCTAATTTAATTTTTATAATTTCTTATGATGTAGACTCTAGGCCTACTAAAATAAATAGTAAATACTTTACTTTAACTTACTTAACTAATAACTAATTAACTATAGTACTATACTATAACTATACTACACAAAGTGAATATTATGTTATGTAATATGTAGGCCTATGATATTTAGTTAGGCCTACATGTACAGAATCTAGAATACTAGATCTAGATCTAGAATCTAGTACTTATACTTATGATATACTTAACTAACTAATAACTAGATTCTAGTTCAATCTGGATCTAGATTCTAGATCTAATTGTAAATTAATAAGAAAGAAGTAGGGCCTAGGCCTAAGAAATAGACTTTTTCACTCTAGTCTAGCAAAACAGGTACAAAAAAAAATGAATTCAATAAATCTAGAAAAGTAATTTATTTAAAATATAATTTTCTTAGACCAAGATTCACTAGCAGCAGTCACGCTGAGAGAGAGAGACTCATCCACTAACTATCTGAGTCTCTAAAGACTCCACCACTCTAGATCTGGTAAAATAAAAATGACAGACCCTCCGTTTACAATCCGCATAAGATCAGAAAACAATCAGGATATGGACTGGATGGTGAAACCAGACGAAGTTACCTTTTTGCAAACATTAGTAAGCAAAAAAACTAATACAAACTTTTAAATTTAAAAGTAGGCTCTATGGTCCTATTTAGTATTTATTTTGTCAGCCTGATTTTTGTCATTATGCTTATTAAAGTTTAAAGAGCTACAGCCTTTAAGGGGGGTGGGGAGCTGCCACATCTGACTAGTTTTATTTAACCTTGAGGTCTGACGCATCCAAAGGCAACATTTTACTTTATACAATGATAACAAACGATCAACGTAATGAATGTGTTAGTTAAAAATAAAATAATTAAACAACTAATTAAAACTCTGCATCCTTTTGCCTATGCTGTCTATAATTGTGCTGTTATTCAGTTCACTTAAATCATCAATATCTGTTGAGAAAAGCTACAAGTGTGTCACAGCACTGATTGAATAAACTTAGCAAGTGATTTCAGGAGATCATGTCCTTACACTAGTGATTTAGGTAATGTTAGGTGATTCTTGAAGGATTTATGAGATCATGTTCTTTCACTATTATATGTCACATTATATTCAGGTTTGAATTCCTGCCTCATTTGCATATGAATGCAATGAGCATTGTTTACAGCTATGTCAAACAAATCAAGAAATATGTTTGACCTTTGACCCATTTCACATGTAACCTTCTGATCCATGAGATAAGCAGTTTGGGAGTATGTGTTGTTAAACCAGTGTCAGATAGTACCACAATAATAGAATCACAAGGTGGAATGTAGAAAGTATGAGTAGGTCACAAGGTGGAATGTAAAAAGTATGAGTAGGTCACAAGGTGGAATGTAGAAAGTATGAGTAGGTCACAAGGTGGAATGTAGAAAGTATGAGTAGGTCACAAGGTGGAATGTAAAAAGTATGAGTTGGTCACAAGGTGGAATGTAGAAAGTATGAGTAGGTCACAAGGTGGAATGTAGAAAGTATGAGTAGGTCACAAGGTGGAATGTAAAAAGTATGAGTTGGTCACAAGGTGGAATGTAGAAAGTATGAGTAGGTCACAAGGTGGAATGTAGAAAGTATGAGTAGGTCACAAGGTGGAATGTAGAAAGTATGAGTAGGTCACAAGGTGGAATGTAGAAAGTATGAGTAGGTCACAAGGTGGAATGTAGAAAGTATGAGTAGGTCACAAGGTGGAATGTAAAAAGTATGAGTAGGTCACAAGGTGGAATGTAAAAAGTATGAGTAGGTCACAAGGTGGAATGTAAAAAGTATGTGTTATACCAGTGTCAGATGGTACCACAATAATAGAATCACAAGGTGGAATGTAAAAAGTATGAGTAGGTCACAAGGTGGAATGTAAAAAGTATGTGTTATACCAGTGTCAGATGGTACCACAATAATAGAATCACAAGGTGGAATGTAAAAAGTATGAGTAGGTCACAAGGTGGAATGTAAAAAGTATGAGTAGGTCACAAGGTGGAATGTAAAAAGTATGAGTAGGTCACAAGGTGGAATGTATAAAGTATGTGTTATACCAGTGTCAGATGGTACCACAATAATAGAATCACAAGGTGGAATGTAAAAAGTATGAGTAGGTCACAAGGTGGAATGTAAAAAGTATGAGTAGGTCACAAGGTGGAATGTAAAAAGTATGAGTAGGTCACAAGGTGGAATGTATAAAGTATGTGTTATACCAGTGTCAGATGGTACCACAATAATAGAATCACAAGGTGGAATGTAGAAAGTATGTGTAGGTCACAAGGTGGAATGTAGAAAGTATGTGTAGGTCACAAGGTGGAATGTAGAAAGTATGTGTAGGTCACAAGGTGGAATGTAGAAAGTATGAGTACATAACCCTCGAGTAACACTTTTGCAGACATTTTCCACATTTCAAATTATTTTTTTCTTCCAGATTTTCATGATGTGTGTATTCTATTAACACACACTGAAATATGTCCTTTTCCTGTGCTTTCTTATGTAGCAATAGTGAATTAAAGAGGTTATTTCATTGTAAACTTCACAGCATAATTGCTCAAGTGTTTTAGTCAGTGTAATATTCTAGTCCACACTTCTGTTTTCTCGCGGGGGAGAAGTTGAATTGGCTCAAGTAACCATTCTGTACTCTTAAAAGTCAAGTTTATGGATAGTAAAACACAGCTGTACTGCTAAAAGTCAAGTTTATGGATAGTTTTACTGCTAGAAAAAACCTACCTCACCATGTTGCACCAACATAATTTTTAACATTATTTTACAGGAGGTCTTCTCACAAATAATGCCACATGCCTCTCATACAGCCTTTGAATGTGAGTTTTTTTTTTTAAAGAAAAGTTTACATAGTGATTAGCCACATGTGATGTAGTTGGTATTTAGCCACATTGAGTGTGGTTGGTATTTAGCCAGATGTGATGTAGTTGGTTATTAGCCACATGTGATGTAGTTGGCAGTTAGCCACATTGAGTGTGGTTGGTTATTAGCCACATGTGATGTAGTTGGCAGTTAGCGACATTGAGTGTGGTTGGTATTTAGCCAGATGTGATGTAGTTGGTTATTAGCCACATGTGATGTAGTTGGCAGTTAGCCACATTGAGTGTGGTTGGTATTTAGCCAGATGTGATGTAGTTGGTAGTTGGCAACAAATGCTGTTGCTGGTATTTAGCAACACATATCTTAAGAGTACTTGAACTTAGAAAACAAACCTGTTGATTATTTAACCAGAGCTATAATGACTAAGAATAACCCATTAAAATAGTTAACATGATTAACACTTAAGCAGCTATTAAATTTTGAAAAATATGAAAATTGAGTATAACATTTTAGAGATTCACTTTTACCATATATTGCTTTTGTAGATGAGGATGAAGATGGCGACAGAATTACTGTTCGATCTGATGATGATATGAGAAATATGTTTTATAACGTAAGTTATGTGCACTGGTTTTCTGTTTCCATGTTGGCTGAGAGGTTGCCTGGTGTCAGGTTGAATAGGCCAGCTCTGTCAGTGTTTAGCAGCCTTTTGTATTTGTATTATTCACTTTAGATAGCAGCAAGACTGTCCTGTAAGCAGAAGTTGATTTAGTTAGAGCTAAATCTAACACTATTATAATCTGTTTCCAATACTTGTTTTAAAGTACTTCAGTGAGTTGAGTGATGAAGATCGAGCTAGAGGACTTTTTCCACCCTTGATAATTTTCCCCAAACGTGAGTCTTTTTGGTTTTTAATAGTTTATAAGTTTTTGCTTTATGGTACTGTTTAATGATGTCAACATCACTGTACTGTTTAATGATGTCAACATCACTGTATTGTTTAATGATGTCAACATCACTGTATTGTTTAATGATGTCAACACCACTGTATTGTTTAATGATGTCAACATCACTGTATTGTGTAATGATGCCACCATCATAGGCCTTTGGTGACAAACAATGGAGATATCACTTATCAACTCTGTTACAGAATTCCACTTTTCTAGTTGAGAAAAATTTGCAGCTGATTGACAATTTTATTCTCTTAAAATAAGAAATCTGAAAGCTTTTCTGCTGATCCATTTTGTTTTGTTTTGCCAACAATGAGAAGGCCAACGGATTTTAAGCATAGTGTATGAAAACAGCTCAACTAGTAGTCCACTTTCCAAAAATTGTAAAATTTCAAACAATGCTCTGTTGTGTTCAAATAATCAGATAGTAGGGGGAGGGGGGTGACACCAAATAATAAATGCTAAATTGTTGGACGGGGTGTTGACACCATCAGTTACTGTACCAGGTGACACCCAACCTAGTGACACCACTGATATATCTTACTGTTGCTTTTTAAAATTTGGTTACCATAATTTATCAGGGCAGAATTTTATAAAAACTTGCGGTTTAATTTTACATTGTAAATAATTCCAGACCCAAAGACACCACAGAACAGAAATATTCATGGTTTGAAAGTAAGTGTAGGCATGTGTTTATTACATAATATATGGTACTGTTGCCTGTATTCTACTATCACGTATTTCAATTGTAGTCATGTGTTTGTAGTCTATAACATACATGATACAACTGCTTCAATTCTACTATCTCAACATATTTTTTTTTGCAAACTCATCATACATAATTTAGACCTGTTATAGACGATTGCATTATAAGATCTAAAATGATATAGTTTTTGGTGTAGCCAATCTTCAGAGGTTGATGAATTATGCTAGGTGAATTTTCAATAAAAAGGATTACTTAATTTAATATTTAAACTGTACATAAATATCAGATTCTTGGGGTTTTTAATACTTGTATAGAGCACGTAATTAATTTTTTAAATAAAAACCAGAGAGCTAAAGATATGTTGAATGAAAATGTCAGAGAGCTAAAGATATGTTGAATGATTTTGCTGCAGATCAGAACCGGCAGTCAGACAGAGGAAAAGGCTGAGACGCAGCATCCTGTGGCAAGGTTAGTCGTTTTACACTGATACATTATCCTGTGGCAAGGTTAGTCATTTTACACTGATACATTATCCTGTGGCAAGGTTAGTCGTTTTACACTGATACATTATCCTGTGGCAAGGTTAGTCGTTTTACACTGATACATTATCCTGTGGCAAGGTTAGTCATTTTACACTGATACATTTTTACTGCTCTAACTAGCTTAGTTGTGGGGGCAATATTCCATCAGACATGAAGTTTTAAACTACACATTGGGATATGTAAAGTTACAGTTTTAAGTTCAAACTACACATTGGGATATGTAAAGTTACAGTTGTTGAGAATATACCTCTGTATTGCTGGTAGATTCTGATATTACCTAGACCAGTTTCTATGAATGATGTGCTTTTGTTCCAGACCTAATGGCATTGAGAGGATTCTCAGCTGTGGGAATATCACCAAAGAATCATTACATTACGCTGAAATATTAGGCTTAGGAAATGGAGGGAAGGTCTATAGGTAAGCTTTAAACTTGCTCATCTCCTTCCACCTTAAAGTGATAGTTGTCCAGATGTTGACCCCATTAATGTAATAAAGTTGTCCAGATGTTGACCCCATTAATGTGATAAAGTTGTCCAGATGTTGACCCCATTAATGTGATAAAGTTGTCAAGATGTTGATGCCATTAATGTGATAAAGTTGTCCAGATGTTGACCCCATTAATGTGATAAAGTTGTCAAGATGTTGATGCCATTAATGTAATAAAGTTGTCCAGATGTTGACCCCATTAATGTGATAAAGTTGTCCAGATGTTGACCCCATTAATGTGATAAAGTTGTCCAGATGTTGACCCCATTAATGTAATAAAGTTGTCCAGATGTTGACCCCATTAATGTGATAAAGTTGTCCAGATGTTGACCCCATTAATGTGATAAAGTTGTCAAGATGTTGATGCCATTAATGTGATAAAGTTGTCCAGATGTTGACCCCATTAATGTGATAAAGTTGTCAAGATGTTGATGCCATTAATGTAATAAAGTTGTCCAGATGTTGACCCCATTAATGTGATAAAGTTGTCAAGATGTTGATGCCATTAATGTGATAGTTGTCCAGATGTTGACCTCAATAAACTCCTGTTGTTAACTAACAGAACTTGTCATATGTTGATATACTTGCTTTATATTTCAGGGCTATTCATAAACCTACGAAGCAAGTTTTGGCTGTCAAGGTAAATCTTAACCTCTACCAGTCTAATTCTTATTTTACCCCCCCCCCCCCCCCCGTCTGGTATTTGCTAACTTTTGTGTCCTATGTGTTAATTATCTTCTCTGTCCTTCTTTTAACTTGAGCCCACCTGAGTAAACAGCACAGTGGAATATAAGGATGAGCCTCATTCTTGTGGTTCTTGTACACTAAACCAATGTTGTCACAGTGCTCTAGATCTTGTACACTAAACCAATGTTGTTACACTAAACCAACTGTAGATCTTGTACACTGGCGTTAATCATAACCATAAACAATGATATCTTTTAGTTTCAAGACAATAAAATATATCAAAGCTAATAAGTGACCATGAAAAAAATTGTTATCTTTCTACAGGAAATATTATTAGACATAACAGTAGAAGTACAAAAACAGATCATTTCAGAACTGGAAATCCTGTACAAGGTGAGTGTCTTGTTGCTATCAAGTTTTTCTTCTCTTATTCAGGGCAATGAATTATGCTTTGGATGTTGATAAAAGCAATGTCGCAGTGCTCAAATAAATCCCCACTATAAAAATGATGACTATGTGATCATTCAATGAGCTAAATGACATCTTTCCTCTTGTCCCTAGTGTATCAGTCACTGAGCTAAATGACATCTTTCCTCTTGTCCCTAGTGTATCAGTCACTGAGCTAAATGACATCTTTCCTCTTGTCCCTAGTGTATCAGTCACTGAGCTAAATGACATCTTTCCTCTTGTCCCTAGTGTATCAGTCACTGAGCTAAATGACATCTTTCCTCTTGTCCCCAGTGTGATTCCCGCATGATAATATCCTTCTATGGTGCTTTTTTCTACGAGAACCGCGTGTCTATATGTACAGAATTTATGGATGGTAGGTTTTAAAATTTTACTGTGTAAATGTACTTTACTAGTAACTAGTGATGGTCTTCAAGTATTCCAACAAATTGCACAGAAATATTCAAGGATTGTTTTACTTGTCATTAACATCTGTAGGACTATTTTAAGGACATTTCATCCATCTAATCTACTCATTCATAAAAAGAGTGAAAAGGGCTATTTAAGACTTTCATAAACTGACCAGCTGGCTAACCCTGTGTTGTTGTCTGTAAGTTGACCAGCTGGCTAACCCTGTGTTGTTGTCTGTAAGTTGACCAGCTGGCTAACCCTGTGTTGTCTGTAAGTTGACCAGCTGGCTAACCCTGTGTTGTCTGTAAGTTGACCAGCTAGCTAACCCTGTGTTGTTGTCTGTAAGTTGACCAGCTGGCTAACCCTGTGTTGTCTGTAAGTTGACCAGCTGGCTAACCCTGTGGTGTTGTCTGTAAGTTGACCAGCTGGCTAACCCTGTGTTGTTGTCTGTAAGTTGACCAGCTGGCTAACCCTGTGTTGTTGTCTGTAAGTTGACCAGCTGGCTAACCCTGTGTTGCTGTCTGTAAGTTGACCAGCTGGCTAACCCTGTGTTGTTGTCTGTAAGTTGACCAGCTGGCTAACCCTGTGTTGCTGTCTGTAAGTTGACCAGCTGGCTAACCCTGTGTTGCTGTCTGTAAGTTGACCAGCTGGCTAACCCTGTGTTGTTGTCTGTAGGTGGCTCACTGGACTGCTACATGCCAGTCCATGAGAGGGCGCTGGGCCAGATTAGCCTGTGTGTTATAGAGGGCATGCTCTACATGTGGAACCTGAAAATTTTACATAGAGGTGAGGAGGCCATCAAACCATTTTAGTTATTTAGGTCCAGTGTGGAACGGTTTTGAGCTAGTTAAAAGTGTAGACAGAGGCCATCAAACCATTTTAGTTATTTAGGTCCAGTGTATAACGGTTTTGAGCTAGTTAAAAGTGTAGACAGAGGCCATCAAACCATTTTAGTTATTTAGGTCCAGTGTATAACGGTTTTGAGCTAGTTAAAAGTGTAGACAGAGGCCATCAAACCATTTTAGTTATTTAGGTCCAGTGTGGAACTGTTTTGAGCGTGTGTGTATTTCAATTTACATTCTGAATCCTGGGTAAAACTGTGAATTCTCATGGACTTTTGACCCAATCCTTGCACAGCTATTACCCTTGAAATCAATGTTAATTTAGATTTAAGGTATCTAATGCTAAGTGACTAAAAAACTATTTGACAAGTGACATAATTGACAATGTTCTTAACCTGCAGATATCAAGCCATACAACATACTAGTCAATACTGCAGGTCAGGTGAAATTATGTGACTTTGGGGTCAGCACACAGGTAATATTTAAATTTACTGATTTTGGGGTCAGCACACAGGTAATATTTAAATTTTGTGACTTTGGGGTCAGCACACAGGTAACATTTAAATTTACTGACTTTGGGGTCAGCACACAGGTAATATTTAAATTTGGTGACTTTGGGGTCAGCACACAGGTAACATTTAAATTTACTGATTTTGGGGTCAGCACACAGGTAATATTTAAATTTGGTGACTTTGGGGTCAGCACACAGGTAATATTTAAATTTACTGATTTTGGGGTCAGCACACAGGTAATATTTAAATTTGGTGACTTTGGGGTCAGCACACAGGTAATATTTAAATTTAGTGACTTTGGGGTCAGCACACAGGTAATATTTAAATTTGGTGACTTTGGGGTAGCACACAGGTAACATTTAAATTTGGTGACTTTGGGGTCAGCACACAGGTAACATTTAAATTTACTGATTTTGGGGTCAGCACACAGGTAATATTTAAATTTACTGATTTTGGGGTCAGCACACAGGTAACATTTAAATTTACTGACTTTGGGATCAGCACTTAAAATATTTTGATGCACTAGTCAAATGTTATGCTGAGAGAGAGTTACATCCCCTGATTTGTTTTGTCCCCAGCTGGAGAAATCTATAGCCTCATCATTCCTGGGTACCAATGTTTACATGGCCGTAGGTTGAGCACATTGTCTCTCTTACTTTCATTTTAATGACAAACTTGAATGACCTTAATCATCAAACTAATTGACTTTGTCACTTAAGTGTGATCAGAAATGTGAATAATCTGAATGATCCATACATTGAGTTTGTAACTTGAAATCATCACTTCATTACCATCAAGTTGAATGGGTGTAAAAAAGGAAAGCACCCCCTGTGTCCATATCTACCTGTTTCAGTTGATATTTCTTGTTTCAGCCTGAGAGAGTTCAAGGTCATGACTATGGTAAACCTGCAGAAGTCTGGAGTTTTGGTGTCACTTTGTTTGAGGTAGCCGCTGACATTTTCCTAGTGCCATTATATACCTGTGGTATCAATATGAGACCATTATATATTTGTGGTATCAATATGAGACCATTATATACTTGTGGTATCAATATGAGACCATTATATACTTGTGGTATCAATATGAGACCATTATATACTTGTGGTATCAATATGAGACCATTATATACTTGTGGTATCAATATGAGACCATTATATACTTGTGGTATCAATATGAGACCATTATATACTTGTGGTATCAATATGAGACTATTATATACTTGTGGTATCAATATGAGACCATTGTATACTTGTGGTATCAATATGAGACCATTATATACTTGTGGTATCAATATGAGACCATTATATACTTGTGGTATCAATATGAGACCATTATATACTTGTGGTATCAATATGAGACCATTATATACCTGTGGTATCAATATGAGACCTTTATATACTTGTGGTATCAATATGAGACCATTATATACTTGTGGTATCAATATGAGACCATTATATACCTGTGGTATCAATATGAGACCATTATATACTTGTGGTATCAATATGAGACCATTATATACCTGTGGTATCAATATGAGACCTTTATATACTTGTGGTATCAATATGAGACCATTATATACTTGTGGTATCAATATGAGACCATTATATACTTGTGGTATCAATATGAGACCATTATATACTTGTGGTATCAATACGAGACCTTTATATACCTGTGGTATCAATATGAGACCATTATATACTTGTGGTATCAATATGAGACCATTATATACTTGTGGTATCAATATGAGACTATTATATACTTGTGGTATCAATATGAGACTATTATATACTTGTGGTATCAATATGAGACCATTATATACTTGTGGTATCAATATGAGACCATTATATACTTGTGGTATCAATATGAGACCATTATATACTTGTGGTATCAATATGAGACCATTATATACTTGTGGTATCAATATGAGACCATTATGTACTTGTGGTATCAATATGAGACCAATATATACTTGTGGTATCAATATGAGACCATTATATACTTGTGGTATCAATATGAGACCATTATATACTTGTGGTATCAATATGAGACCATTATATACTTGTGGTATCAATATGAGACCATTATATACTTGTGGTATCAATATGAGACCATTATATACTTGTGGTATCAATATGAGACCATTATATACTTGTGGTATCAATATGAGACCATTATATACTTGTGGTATCAATATGAGACCATTATATACTTGTGGTATCAATATGAGACCATTATATATTTGTGGTATCAATATGAGACCATTATATACTTGTGGTATCAATATGAGACCATTATATACTTGTGGTATCAATATGAGACCATTATATACTTGTGGTATCAATATGAGACCATTATATACTTGTGGTATCAATATGAGACCATTATATACTTGTGGTATCAATTAGAGACCATTATATACTTGTGGTATCAATATGAGACCATTATATACTTGTGGTATCAATATGAGACCATTATATAGTTGTGGTATCAATATGAGACCATTATATACTTGTGGTATCAATTAGAGACCATTATATACTTGTGGTATCAATATGAGACCATTATATACTTGTGGTATCAATATGAGACCATTATATACTTGTGGTATCAATATGAGACCATTATATACTTGTGGTATCAATATGAGACCATTATATACTTGTGGTATCAATATGAGACCATTATATACTTGTGGTATCAATATGAGACCATTATATACTTGTGCTAACAATGTGACACTATTTCATGCAGTGACACCATAACTTGCTGTAATGTAGTCCCCTAACCCTCCCCTGAAATCCCCTAACCCTCCCCTGAAATCCCCTAACCCTCCCCAAAATCCCCTAACCCTCCCCAAAATCCCCTAACCCTCCCCAAAATCCCCTAACCCTCCCCAAAATCCCCTAACCCTCCCCAAAATCCCCTAACCCTCCCCAAAATCCCCTAACCCTCCCCAAAATCCCCTAACCCTCCCCAAAATCCCCTAACCCTCCCCTGAAATCCCCAAACCCTCCCCCAACTCCCCTTACCCCCTTCACCATTGTTGCTCCTCCAACCTAAGAGAAATTTTTGTGTTGCATATTTCAGCTGGCCACTGGCAAGCTGCCTTTTCTAAGTGTAGGTAGTTTTGTTCATCTTCGCCTTCCACAACCAAATAGTTGATGTGACAAACACATGTAAAAAAAAAAACATCTTAGCTTTCAATTTAAAAACAGCTCATGTCATTAAAATCTTAGGTTTAAAAAAAAAATAACTTAAAATCTTCTTTAAAATTGCTCTTTAAGTGTTGCATGTGTTTTTAAACTAATCTCTTTATTCAAATTTTAGATGAAATATTCAGCTGACAATTCAATTAGCCTTCAACCCATTCAGCTGATGAATCTGATAATAAACGAGGTAAAAAATTGTTTGTGCAAGTCACTGGGGTTTTAACGGCATCAAGTTGCAGACTTAAATTCTTCATTTAAAGGCAATAGCTGGGGACAGAAAAGTTAAAGACAAATAGCTGGGGACAGAAAAGTTAAAGACAAATAGCTGGGGACAGAAAAGTTAAAGACAAAAGCTGGGGACAGAAAAGTTAAAGACAAATAGCTGGGGACAGAAAAGTTAAAGACAAATAGCTGGGGACAGAAAAGTTAAAGTTAAAGACAATAGCTGGGGACAGAAAAGTTAAAGACAAATAGCTGGGGACAGAAAAGTTAAAGACAAATAGCTGGGGACAGAAAAGTTAAAGACAAATAGCTGGGGACAGAAAAGTTAAAGACAAATAGCTGGGGACAGAAAAGTTAAAGACAAAAGCTGGGGACAGAAAAGTTAAAGACAAAAGCTGGGGACAGAAAAGTTAAAGACAATAGCTGGGGACAGAAAAGTTAAAGACAAATAGCTGGGGACAGAAAAGTTAAAGACAAAAGCTGGGGACAGAAAAGTTAAAGACAATAGCTGGGGACAGAAAAGTTAAAGACAAAAGCTGGGGACAGAAAAGTTAAAGACAAATAGCTGGGGACAGAAAAGTTAAAGACAAATAGCTGGGGACAGAAAAGTTAAAGACAAAAGCTGGGGACAGAAAAGTTAAAGACAAAAGCTGGGGACAGAAAAGTTAAAGACAAAAGCTGGGGACAGAAAATTTAAAGACAATAGCTGGGGACAGAAAAGTTAAAGACAATTGCTGGGGACAGAAAAGTTAAAGTTATAGACTATAGCTGGGGACAGAAAAGTTAAAGTTAAAGACAATAGCTGGGGACAGAAAAGTTAAAGTTATAGACTATAGCTGGGGACAGAAAAGTTAAAGTTAAAGACAATAGCTGGGGACAGAAAAGTTAAAGTTAAAGACAATAGCTGGGGACAGAAAAGTTAAAGTTAAAGACAATAGCTGGGGACAGAAAAGTTAAAGTTATAGACTATAGCTGGGGACAGAAAAGTTAAAGTTAAAGACAATAGCTGGGGACAGAAAAGTTAAAGTTAAAGACAATAGCTGGGGACAGAAAAGTTAAAGTTAAAGACAATAGCTGGGGACAGAAAAGTTAAAGACAATAGCTGGGGACAGAAAAGTTAAAGTTAAAGACAATAGCTGGGGACAGAAATGTTAAAGACAATAGCTGGGACTTGAAAAGATTGTTTTGATTTTAATGTTGAATTCTGTTTGACCTTTCAGCCAACCTTAAGACTTCCAGAAGAAAATTTTTCCTTGGAGTTGATTGATTTTGTTCAGAGATGGTCAGTTTATTTGCCTAATGTCCAGTTGTGGTATGTCTGACTGTGGCCTAATGTCCAGTTGTGGTATGTTTGACTGTGGCCTAATGTCCAGTTGTGGTATGTCTGACTGTAGCCTAATGTCCAGTTTTGGTATGTCTGACTGTGGCCTAATGTCCAGTTGTGGTATGTCTGACTGTAGCCTAATGTCCAGTTGTGGTATGTCTGTTAGTCATCTAGCCAGTTAGTCATCCAGCCAGTTAGTCACCTAGCCAGTTAGTCATCCAACCAGTTAGTCACCTAGCCAGTTAGTCACCTAGCCAGTTAGTCACCTAGCCAGTTAGTCATCTAGCCAATTAGTCATCTAGCCATTTAGTCATCTAACCAGTTAGTCATCTAGCCAGTTAGTCATCTAGCCAGTTAGTCATCTAGCCAGTTAGTCATCTAGCCAGTTAGTCATCCAGCCAGTTAGTCATATAGCCAGTTAGTCATCCAGCCAGTTAGTCATCTAGTCAGTCAGTTAGTCATCCAGCCAGTTACTCATCTAGCCAGTTACTCATCTAGCCAGTCAGTAAGTCATCTAGCCAGTTAGTCATCCAGCCAGTTAGTCATCCAGCCAGTTAGTCATCCAGCCAGTTAGTCATGTAGCCAGTCAGTCATCCAGCCAGTTAGTCATCTAGCCATATTTGAGTCCTGTTGTCCAGTTGTTCTCACACTCTCATCATGTCTTCCACTTGATGTTCCCCTCACAGCCTACAGAAAGTTCCTGACCTAAGGCTCTCAGAACAAGACCTTCTGGTATGTGATGATATCCACTTACATACTCTCATTTCTAAGCTTAGATAAGACGACTTTAATCAAACAATTCACTCTCATTTCTTAGCTTAGATAAGACGACTTTAATCAAACAATTCACTCTCATTTCTAAGCCTAGATAAGATGACTTTAATCAAACAATTCACTCTCATTTCTTAGCTTAGATAAGACGACTCTAATCAAACAATTCACTCTCATTTCTAAGCTTAGATAAGATTTTAGTTTGATTTATTAACTTTTTTTCCATCCCCACCTAAACAGACACTGTAAAATTACTGACACTTATTTTCTCTCATTTTTAAGAGCCATCCTTTTATGAAAAAACAAGATCATATAGACCAGTCCATCATATCAGAAATGGTATCTCAGAGAAAAAACAAGATCATATAGAGCATTCATATCAGAAGATGAAAGTGGAGGCAACTATAGTGAGGCAGGTGTTGGAACCCCCAAGGGTAAAGTGGGACAGCCTAAACAATCCTGGATAAGGACAGTGGAAGGAGAAGCCTGAGCTGGCCCAAAGTCCTGTGGGGGGGTGGTGCTCCACAGGGACTTGAAAAGGTCAAGTCATCCTAGCAGAGATGGTTCCTCGGAGAGAAAAACTAAGTGCCACTAGATGCTATCATATCCATTCTGTATTTTTGTTTAAATATTTTTACAATGTTGAGTTACAGGTTAAAAGATGAATGAAATAATTACTGTGCATTGATTGAGTTGTATATATCTAGTAGTTAAGGTATAGACTGAATTGATAGTCAACTAGATTGGGGCCAACCACAGGGTTACTATAGTTACATAGGCAACTTCTTCACACTTTACCTCAAAGTTTTTCAATTAAATTAAGTGTGGCTAACAGTGTATTTATTCATGTAAATTTTAATTGATAAAATATTGGGAAAAAAAAATTTGTGATTGAAAAATGTCTTTGAAATTTGAAATTGTTTTATTTTTAGTTGATATAATATGTGAACATGTAATTGTAATATGGGGTGGTAATTTATGTCATAAGTACTTGAAGTGGTAGTGTATGTGATGTGGTGATAGAGTATGTGTTGTTTACATACTTTGGCAGTTTATCAATGACACCTCCCCTCCTCCCACATTGTTCTATTATACAATTCAATTTTCATACATTTGCCTTAAAGAACTGAAACATTTTACAATTGTAGATGTCAAGGCTTAAGTTGAGAAGACTCCATGGAATTTTATTTATCTTCCATGGTGTTTGAAATGTGTTATTCTGAGACTGTGTAGCAACATTTTTTTGATGGTTGGTTCTCCTACCAGCCTGAAGGTTTGATCAGATGTATCAAATGTGGGCTGGTGTGAAGGTTTGATGACATGTACAAATGTGGGCTGATGTGAAGGCTTGATGAGATGTACAAATGTGGGCTGGTGTGAAGGTTTGATGAGATGTATCAAATGTGGGCTGATGTGAAGGTTTGATGAGATGTATCAAATGTGGGCTGGTGTGAAGGTTTGATGAGATGTATCAAATGTGGGCTGGTGTGAAGGTTTGATGAGATGTACAAATGTGGGCTGATGTGAAGGTTTGATGAGATGTACAAATGTGGGCTGGTGTGAAGGTTTGATGAGATGTATCAAATGTGGGCTGATGTGAAGGTTTGATGAGACGTACAAATGTGGGCTGATGTGAAGGTTTGATGAGATGTATCAAATGTGGGCTGGTGTGAAGGTTTGATGAGATGTACAAATGTGGGCTGGTGTGAAGGTTTGATGAGACGTACAAATGTGGGCTGGTGTGAAGGTTTGATGAGATGTATCAAATGTGGGCTGGTGTGAAGGTTTGATCAGATGTACAAATGTGGGCTCATGTGAAGGTTTGATGAGATGTATCAAATGTGGGCTGATGTGAAGGTTTGATGAGATGTACAAATGTGGGCTGATGTGAAGGTTTGATGAGATGTATCAAATGTGGGCTGATGTGAAGGTTTGATGAGATGTATCAAATGTGGGCTGATGTGAAGGTTTGATGAGATGTATCAAATGTGGGCTGATGTGAAGGTTTGATGAGATGTATCAAATGTGGGCTGATGTGAAGGTTTGATGAGATGTATCAAATGTGGGCTGATGTGAAGGTTTGATGAGATGTATCAAATGTGGGCTGATGTGGTTTGATGAGATGTATCAAATGTGGGCTGGTGTGGTTTGATGAGATGTATCAAATGTGGGCTTGAAAGCCTCTATATGGCCTGGTGTTTATTCATTATGTTGATGAGGCCAGCTCTTAAAATCTTCCACATATCTTTTTTTGTTGAACATAAATTACAGCTACACAATCTTTCTGTTTCTGTCTCTTTTTTTTATGCCACGCATAGCTGGATACACAAAGATCAGAAGTAATTATGATCTCTTCTATACATCTGACTACTCTAAAAGCATGATCTCTTCTATACATCTGACTACTCTAAAAGCATGATCTCTTCTATACATCTGACTACTCTAAAAGCATGATCTCTTCTATACATCTGACTACTCTAAAAGCATGATCTCTGCTATACATCTGACTACTCTAAAAGCATGATATCTTCTATACATCTGACTACTCTAAAAGCATGATCTTTTCTATACATCTGACTACTCTAAAAGCATGATCTCTTCTATACATCTGACTACTGTAAAAGCATGATCTCTTCTATACATCTGACTACTCTAAAAGCATGATCTCTTCTATACATCTGACTACTCTAAAAGCATGATCTCTTCTATACATCTGACTACTCTAAAAGCATGATCTCTTCTATACATCTGACTACTCTAAAAGCATGATCTCTTCTATACATCTGACTAAAAGCATGATCTCTTCTATACATCTGACTACTCTAAAAGCATGATCTCTTCTATACATCTGATTACTCTAAAAGCATGATCTTTTCTATACATCTGACTACTCTAAAAGCATGATCTCTTCTATAGATCTGACTACTCTAAAAGCATGATCTCTGCTATACATCTGACTACTCTAAAAGCATGATCTCTACTATACATCTGACTACTCTAAAAGCATGATCTCTGCTATACATCTGACTACTCTAAAAGCATGATCTCTTCTATACATCTGACTACTCTAAAAGCATGATCTCTGCTATACATCTGACTACTCTAAAAGCATGATCTCTTCTATACATCTGACTAAAAGCATGATCTCTGCTATACATCTGACTACTCTAAAAGCATGATCTCTTCTATACATCTGACTACTCTAAAACTAAAAGCATGATCTCCTCTACACATCTGATTACTCTAAAAGCATGATCTCTTCTACACATCTGACTACTCTAAAAGCATGATCTCTTCTACACATCTGATTACTCTAAAAGCATGATCTCTTAGTGATGGATCTACTACACTTGATAAGAATAGGTGTTTAATTAATATGACAAGATCTATATGCAAAAAAACAAAGTATGTGTGTCTGATTATGTAACTGTTTGCCTTTTATGCATTACTAAACCTTTCATCCGATGGCTATGAAACTTTGGGAAGTTGTTTAGAATACTCTTGGGGAGGTATCTGCTGAAAAAAAATTTTCAAATTCGCAGGAGTGGCGCCCCGACATAGTGCGAATTAATTCTGCTCTATATATGGAATATAAAAATAAAAGTCGATGGCGGTTTGACACCATTAATCTGATCGCCATAAAATTTTGGGGAGTTGATTAGAACATTCCAGGGGAGATTTCTACACAAAAAAAATTTTTTTTTTTGCTTTCATAAGGTGGATGCGATGTTTCTCTATACACGGTATATAAAAAATAGTTGGATGAGGTACAACATTGTTCATCCGAGTGCCATGAAACTTCGGGTAGTTGATGAGAATAATCCCAAGAAGGTTTCTGAGAGAGAAAAAAATGGGCCTCGCTCTGGAGGGTGCCATTTTTTTCAGTCCATGGTTTGGCGCCCAAAGTTCCAGAGCGGCTATCTTAGCACTTCTTATCCGTCAATTGGGCGTCCTGCATAGCGGTAAGGGCTACTACTATATTCAGCGTTAAAACTTCAACAGGTGCAACCATCGGCGCCCTGTAGATTGTACGACCCAAAGTGCCCCGGGGTCCCCTGCGCCTACGTTCTTTTAGAAAAAAGGCTATACACTAAAGACACAATGGGCAACAATAAATCTTTGACTATTTTGAACCAGGCGCTGCGTCATTGCAGGGTTTCTATTTTGAGCTCTGGGCTTTCCTGTGAGCGCGATGGCGCCTAAGTTCGTTCTTCACAGTGCAATAGATAATGGATAAGATGGGGCGTTACAGTCGCTCACTAAATTGAATCAGGCGTGTCCATCGTGTCCAAATTTTGTTTTTGAATATTCAGATAAGTTAACCAAGGTTCGATTATTAACTTGGCTGTTTCCTTTTGTCCATAAAATAAACCGGGAGTGATCTCCCCTAAACTTTCTAGAATATTCATATATAACACTACGGGGATGGCAACTCGGGATATAGACTTGATTTTTTTATTACTTAAACTTTTTTAAAAAATTTAACCATCTCGTAGAAAAAATAATTGCGCACCAATTGAACGCCAAACAAAATGTGTATAATAGGGCAGAATATTATTAGTACTTTATAAATTCACATGTTTTTTTTTTCAGAAATCGGAAATAGCACAAATCCCTAATTTTTAGCACAATTTCCTTACAGGAATTGCGATTATTAACTCGTCATTTCTGGATGGATGGATGTGCGCAGCTTTGAGTCGTATCTCCTCCTCAACGAAGCAATATCGAGGACTAGTTTCAAAAATAAATATGTTAAGCAAGTTCCGAGGATGATTGTGGGCCAAAAAAATTCCCGGAATTCCTTCCTGGATTTCCCGGAAAAGCCAAAAAACCTCAAAAAATGCAGTTTTTTGCCCATATCTCGGCAACCAGACCACTTAGCGACTTGAAACATTTACCAATCGATTCCTGCCATAATTTAGAACAATATTGCCGAAGAAAGTTTTCAAAAATATCCTTTCGTTCGGTCACAAAAAATTAAGAACATTTAAACTGAGCATCGTGTAGGCCTAGGATTAGTAGGATGATATTTACTTTTTAAACTGAGCATCGTGTAGGCCTACTCGTTAAAATGAAACTATTTCCGTTGATATAGGTTAATATAGTTGTCTTTTTTTTAGCGCAATATTAACTTGTTTACTTATTAATTCAAACGTTATTTTTGTACCCTATTAATTTATTTATAATTTATATGAGAGTGATACTGATCGGGAGTTACAATTACAAGGTTTTGTTTCGCTAGGCCTAATCATTTTTTTTCACATTTTTTAAAAACAAACTTGATCACTATCTATTTTTAGATAACATAAGGAAATTGCGCTTAAATTGTCACTAGACTTTTTATTAACTTGTTTCATTAATGGATGACCCCATAAAGTATTTAAGTACAACACCAGGAGGCTATATAACATAATAAAAGCTTAAGTGAAGAGTTTAACCTGCACGTCAATTAATTATAGTTTGGCTACATAATGTAAGCTACATACTGTAGCATAAACAACACCATCAGCCTACATTAAATTGTTTAACTTCACACATTTAGGCTACATAATATACTTTATGGAAGCATAAATAGTAAGGTATTTTTAAATTTTTGGCAAAACGGACAGCAGTCGCATAATTTAAAAAAAACAAAAAACGCCTGAACACAGAAACGCGGTTGATACAGGGGGGGGGGGGGCATATGTCCCCGGGCGCCGACCTTAGGGGCGCCAAAATAGGTTGGAAAAATAAATTGAAAGGTCGAGGGGGTTGCAAATTGAAAATTTTGTCCCCGGGCGTCGGGAAGGTTCGCTACGCCTCTGGGTTGATACTAGGCTTTGGCACTCAAGCACCAGAAGGTTTAAACTAGCAGGGATCTTTCAACTACCCCCCTCCCCCTGTACACTATGCCGCCACCGTTATTACACATTGTTCTTTTTGTCTAATTTTTAATTACACTCTCGTGTGCTAAGACCTTGGCTCAAAACGTTCATTGTGAATATATTAAAAGCCTTTTTCCTAAATTTTTAAAAATATGAGAATTATTTCATTTATATCACACAAATATAAAGTTCATTTAACTTGTTCGATTTTTTTGGTGGGGGGGGGGGGCATAAGTAGGTCTTTTTCTTTAATACTTGTTCGGTCTTAAGAGTATTAATTAATTGAAAAGGGTTACAGCGTAAACAAATATGTGACTTTTTTAGCCAAACCTTTAGGTCGTTGGTTAGAAGTTTTAGGGAACAAATATAATAAAGGCTTTACACTGTACATTGCAGTCTACATCTACTTAATGTACAGAAAGTTCAGCATCTGTTGCATTATATCCTTTTCTAGCAGAGACATAGCTTCCCATTCCGGCGTCCAGGGTGAACCCCTCAATTTATCATGCATTTTTTCACGTTCGTGGAATTAAAGGAGCCGCCCTCACCATCTGCTAATTTATATAACATGCATAATATTTTGTATGACTAGTTGAGGTTTTTAAATATGGTCCCTGGCAACTGGAGGACGTAACACACCCGTACACAATATTGAATAGAAACAACATTTATAATATAACTTTCAAACTGGTTTCTCTAACATTTCTTTTTTACTTTGTGTTTGTTGAGTTATTGTTATTCATATTCTAATGGTAACTAAAGGTTATCACTTAAAATTTAAAAGGCAGTTGGCTAACAAAAATATTGAATTGTTCAAGTAATTAACTACTAAAAAAACAGATAAAAACATAAACATAGTTCAAACATAGATCTCAGAGGGCACCGTTTGACAAAAAATAAATGTATGACTACATTCCATTTTGCTGACAGGGAACGTTTGTTTTCTTTGTCATATCACGGACAGCCCCTAAGAACAATTACACACTGAGTTGCGGGACCAAACTTTTACCCACCCAGCAACTGTGGCGCCGAAGACCGTTCATGTTGCAGTTTAATCAATTCCCTGACACCCCCCCCCCCCCCAATTAAAGACGCTATTCAAAACGAATGCAGACGTCAAAATGCTCATGGGGAAGCTCGGGTCGTACCTTGTCACATGACCGCTGGGGCGCGGCAGTTGTTCTGGCTCGATTTTAATCAACGATCATAGTAACACATCGTATGCATAATATTTGACGCTCCATAGAACGACTGTAGACGGTCGCCAAGCTTTACGAAGGCCTGGCGCACCGATGTATATGTTACGGTCAAAGCCCGAAGTGCGGCCAATGTGCGCATTGACCGGTTCTCTTGGCCAAAGCCCGAAGAGCTTAGCACTGAGAGCGTATTTCGTACATTGGCTGGCCAATGCGCGCACTGGCCGGGACGTACTGGCCAAAGTCTGAAGCGCTTTAACTTCACAGCGTATTTCGTATATTGGCCTGGCACTAAGTTGTGATCGCGTTTTTATTATTCTGGGTGCGGTTTCATTGTGAGTAACTTGTGAGAACTTAAACTAGTTCACGGAAAACCAAGTCATAACGAAAGCCAAGGTTTGGTCGAACGGGCCAACCAAGATGTTCGAAATATGATGATGACATGGATGCAGACAGATGAATCAGCTCATTGGGCTCAAATTCATTCAATTTATGAAAAACCTTTCTTTTCCTCAAGGAATCCAACAATCGCCATACGAAGACTTGTTTGGATGCAAAGCAAAGGTGGGATTTAGCTCTTCATATCTGCCAAGAGAGGCTCTCGATAATTTGGTTACTGAGGAAGATCTTGAGAACATTGAACAAAAAATGGAGGTTGCCATAAATGCAACGACATCCTTAGCTAACAACACATCAGCTGCCGTGGCGGAACGTCCAGACTAGTTGCGTGACAATAATATGGTCAACAGATTCTGTGTAGTTTGTGAAAAATATTATATTGCAACCCATTCTTGTGGATCCTGTGGCAACGATGTCCATGCAGTGTGGGAATAGCCATTGAATGCAGACGAAGGGTACGGGGGAACATTACTTGCAGATTATGTCACAATAAGCAAGAAATCATGGACAACAGCAGCATCTCATACTAGCTTGCAAACTCAAGGTGCTAAGATGCTAACAAAATCTGATACACATTTTAAACAAGCTGAAGTGAGAGATAATGTTTGCATCGATATATATCAGATGTTAACAGAGGTCGCGATGATCCTCGAAGAGTCATTGCAGTTGTCTTGAGCGCCGAGGGCGCTTTCTACAAGCTAGGAACTGAACATAATGTTCGAAAACAACTGTATGCTCGTCCGTTGGCACTGAACAAAAATCACTACGAATCATCGCATCTTCATAAGCTCTGACCGGCGGCCAAGGTTAAAATCGCTGCAATGCACAACCAAATGCACAACAAATCGCTGCAAGTGTAAAAATAACAAGCAACTATGTAATTCTAAATGCTATAAAAGTTCATCTTTTTGTAACTATAATACAATAAAATAATTTGAATAATTCTGTCATTTACTTTAATTAATGATCAATAAAGACTAAATTTCATGATCCTTAGGGTATTAAAAAACCCAAAATCTGCTCATGATCTTCTAATTTGAACTTTGGTCGGTCGTCCCTAGCCAGATAATCTTCTCATTCGGAATTTGGCCGGTCGACCATGGCCAGTCCGCCCTGGCCGGCCAAAGGCCGAAATCAAGTAAAGTTTCGGAGTCGATATTGGCCAATGCGTTCTTTGGCCGACTTCGGGCTTTGACCGTAACATTTACACACCCAGTTTCATTTAGGCTTATATAATACTGTATCTATATATCTTTATATATATATATATATATATATATATATATATATATATATATATATATATATATATATATATGAATTGCTGCGCATCTATATCCCCCCCCACCTTCCCAACGATATCTATCTATATATATAATTCTCTTCTGGGATCAGTTAGAAAACAAGCTGCAAGCGCGCCTTTGCAGTCCCCTCTCTTCCTCTCTATCACTATCACTACCACCCCCACCCCACCCCCACATGATCTGGTGAGCGGTGTTCACTCTGTTTATATTTTACAATCATAGAGACGGGTTTGGTGACGGCTATTAGGGGCAGATAATTGAGTTTGAAACGATTTTAAACTTAGAGGAGGTAACTAATAGGAGGCTGCTTTCACGTGGGGGGGGGGGGGGTAGTGTTTTTAAGCAAATATTTTCAATGGCAGCATTGGTACTGTCGAATTCACAAATTATAAATTACTGAAAAGTAGAAAAAAAAACAACTAAATAGCGGCGTATGATACGCAGCGGGTCGGCTCGTTAATTTTATTAAGCCTGCTTAACACCTCTACTTTTTTGCTATTTAATAAACCTACTATCTACTCACACAATTGTTTTTTTAGTAAAAAGTTCTATAGGGAAACATATTAGTTGAACAATATCAAATGCTGCAACATGGCGACTTTCAATCGACTTTTTGGCACGTTAGGGCGGTCGGTACGTATTTATTCGGTAGATGAGAAACAAAACATTAGTATGTATTTAAAAGATTAATCTGTACCAGAATTGTCATCATTCCTGCATACATTTTTTTTTACGATTTAGATCTAGATCTAGACTGGCCTTAACGCGAAATGCCGAAGCGGTAACTTTCGAGAAGACGACGATTTAACTTACAATCGTCGTACATTAAATTTGTAAGACATTTCATTAGCAGACCAGTCATTAGCCTTAGCTGATTAGCAGTAGCATTTGATTATTATAATTAGATTAGAATGATGAATGATAGATAGATCTAGATCGCGGGTAATTAGCGAGACACAATTTGCCAGACATTGTTTTTAGAAGTACTGCGCACGGTCAAAACACCACTGCGGCCACCCTCCTAGTATTTTTTGCTTCATATAATAATTGTTTGGATGTTTTATACGCTACGTATATCTAAATACATTTCTAAATACATCCAGGTCAGATTCTTTTGTTTTCTCCTTCTTGAAGACGTGTTTAAATTTTTAAAAGTTTCGATGTATGCAGTCGTAGGCGATTCACGGGTAAACGGAAAAAAAGTCACAGGAAAAAAAAACACAGAAAAAAGTCACAGTTTTTGCTAGGAAAAAAAGTCACAGAAAAAAAGTCACAGTGGAAAAATTTTATCGGAAAAAAAGTCACAGAAATAAAGTCACAGAAAAAAAGTCACAAAATCTTTTTAGAAATATTTTTATTAATTTGTTAAGAATTGTAAAATGTTGTATGTTCATTGTTGTGGGTTGTATTTTTTGATAGCGTAAATTATTTATAGACTTAAAAGCATCATGATTTATAACAATTGTAAGTAAAAATACTCTAAGATAATTAACACACCAATCTCAACTTTTGTTACGTATTTAGTTAAATACGCGGTAGAAAAGTTAATTATAAAAGAAATTTAGGCACATTTTGCGTAGGCTATTCTCTGGTCGGCCTCTCCTCAGTAGGTTTTGTCCGAACATATTTTGTGTTGACTTATGCGTCAATGACAGCCTATGAACCTTGTCGGCTTTCTGTTTTGATCCTAAGTTTTGTTATGTAATGAGCGTGATAAATGTGGGCAGTAAAGGTGGTTGAACTAAACATAACTATTGTTGCCATGAGTTGAGGGCAGCAAGTCATATGAACTTACCATTTCACGGTAATTTAATATTGGTATTTTAAAAAAAAAACACGATGAAAAACGTGGACTTAGGAGCATTCTTTTAAATGCTACTAATCTTAAATTTAAAAAAATTACAATCTACATACTTCATAATAAATATTTTTAGACGAATTATAAAAATTCATATGCGTATACAGCCTACACACATTACATTACATTTAATTTATCCTAAGTTAATTTACACTCTCTAAATATTTAATACATAAAAGTATTAACAAATATCATGCAAATATATATTTGTGACTTTTTTTCCTGTGACTTTTTTCCTGTGACTTTTTTCCTGTGACTTTTTTTCTGTGTTTTTTTTCCTGTGACTTTTTTTCCTGCAATCGATTCACGTCCCCCGTATGTAAAGCACTAGGTCCCGGATGAGATGAAAAAAACCAACCAAAGCTTTTATAACTAGGTTAACTATAAATATATATATATTCTATATATATATAAAATTACTGTTTAAAATGTTTACCACGAGCAAAATGGTGTGGCTTTCACATTATAAAAACAAACCATAGGTGGCAGGGCTATAGGCCTATATGCCAGAAAAAGATTTTAATATTTGGTTTTGGAGACTGGAAACTAAATTCAGGGTTAAGGGTTAATTAATAATACAATCAACAACATGTGTAAAATATTCATTTCGATTATTAAAATTACAAAGGATTTTAACGTATAAAATACTGTCAATATGCAAGCAGAGGCAGGTGGCCGCATTAAAAAAAAGGGGGGGGAATGTAGCAAGTAGAATATCTCAAATTCTATGCATAGGAATACAAAATTACGTATACATGTTGGAGTAGAATGGCAGCGGAGTAACACAGTACTTTCGGTTTGTTTCTATGTGTAACGCTTACAAAATAGCGCCTAATGAAAATTGTGCGTTCGTTTTTCCGCTATGTGTGATCGCTTTGCTCACTTTACTCTAGGCTGGTCTTGAAAATGCGAAATAGTGAGGCAATAACTTACGAGAAGAAAATGCGACACATTAGAATGAATGATAGATAGATCTAGATTCTAAATCTACCTGCGAAATCTCGGGTAAATAGTGAGACACAATTTGCCAGACATTGTTTTTAGATTTTCGTAAGATTTTAAAAAATTTTAAAACAGAAATCAATAGCATAAACATTAACATTGTTCAACATACGATCGTCCATTCACGTTTTTCGGTCATCCGGAGAATAATTCTGTCAATATGTTAATTTCCCATCAAAGCTAGGTTACTCAAGGTTGTCCTATGAACTTAGATTCTATACCAAACACTTTTAAACAAGTAGTCAAATAAAATGTGATCTAGAGGCCTATTGAATTGAATTTTTCTAATTTAAAATTTGTAAATACTTACCAGTTTTCATCATCGGGTCGAGTCATCATCCAGCGCACTTACAAAACAGATTACACATCTAGCCCACATAGAGATGCTTTGCCCCACAATCACAACTTTTTGGGACAACATGAAATTAACATTACTCAGGTTTGTTTTCAACTTTTATTTTTAATTTTAGCAGACTTTCTACTAACAGTAGCTATTTTCCAAAGATAAAAGCTCTCCCTATCTTCTTTCATTCAAATCCTCAAAATTAGTATTAAAGCTATTAAAAAGAATTATATCCATTCTAGAATTAGGACTAGTAGAGTATGATTATAAACACCAGTTTATAAAGAATTATTTTATTGCTTGCAATTTAAATAGAACAGCTCTAAATTAAAATAAGCCCCTTGTTATCTGCTGATATTAATTTTAAACATTTAGTTGAAATATTTTTCTTACTCTTTAAAATTTTATTAAAGTTCTAATTTGATCCACATGTAATTTGTGTTGAAATTTATATCCACAGATCAGACAAATGTCTAACAAAAACTTTTTTCAAACTGTTATTGACAATGTTAAACAAGAAATGAAAAAAAGTAAAGAAATGAAGGTATGAACTTTGTGCCAAACTAAATGATCAGGTTAATTTTTCTCGGCTTTACACTGTTAGTCATAAATGGAAACAGTGTAAACATATCAGCTGACGGAGGGGGGGGGGGGGGAAGGGGTTACACTAAATAACATCTACAGGAAAAACAATTGTTGCTGTAGCTATTTAACTAGTTCTTTTGTCTGGAATGAGTGGTGTCTATAGGAACACTTGTGTGAGATTATTGACTCTCTGCACACAGCATTGATTGTATGGTCCAGGGCTGCCTATGATTTTGACACCCAGGTTGAGGAATTATGAATAAGACGTATAGGTTACACTTTTGTCTTTAGTAAAGATCAAAATCGTTAGCGTCATAAATTTGTTCTTCTTGTGATTACTAAATGTACCTGGTCTGAATTTTATATTTAGTTAGATAACATTTCAGTTGTTGTACCTGAAGCTTCTTACATAACAATCCCCTTTCCCCATCCCTTCCCGCCAATGTCACGGCAGGCAGTAATTGTTGGCTCATTGTTGTGATCTTTATTGACCCAGCGAAAGGTCTGTGGTACCTCCTGAGCTGGTGACGTTCGTAAAGTAAAAGAAATGGTCTGCGGTCTAAATCGTTTCATTGTAAGTCTGGTCGCGCATGGAAACTATTTTGTTTAAAATTAAAACCTTCATCTAGATCTACTATTTTTTTTTCAAGAAAAATAGTCTGAGGTTTACGCAGGAAAACAATAAACTAGCATAGGTGCGGAATTACGGGTATATAGCAAAACAATTTATCAAGGCATTTGTTCTGTTTGAGATGTGCGAGAAGACAAGTTTTTACTTAACAACTAGTTCTAGACCTACATAGATGAATCATGGGTTATATTTAAAAAATAATCTTTCCTTCTATATAATCTTAGATAAAATGGAGATTTAAAAAAAATGTTCAAGAAATATGCTAATTCTAAACATCGTCACCCGTGTGATCGGCTGCTAGTGGGATAATAATGATAATGGTTTAGATATTGGTAATGTAGACCTATATCATAGGTCATACTAGACATAGCAAAACAATTCCTATTTGAGATTTTCCACTGTCTCCTTACATTCAGAATTTCGCGGCTTTTTAAAAAAAGTTATTAGTCCATTTCTTAAAAATAAAAAGTAGTACAAGTTATGTATCGTTGCCGATTGTCTACATTACGCTGATAAGTTTTACGATAATATAAAATTGGTCTTATTTACATCATAATTAAAAATGAGTAGTACTACTGAAAGTTACGGACAGTATCCAATTATTACGGGAAATCTATGCTCTTGTCACAGCAAAACATTTTTTGGGGTAGGCAGCCCTGGCTGTAGCCTGAGCTCTGTATGGGCTGACATGTACACTTGATGCTTACAAAATGTTGATGAATGAGTACTTGATACAATTCCAGGAAAGTATAGAAAAATTTAAGGCAGAAACACAAAAGTTAGAGGAGTCTGAAGCTCTGAAACAAGCGAGGAAAAAGTTTGTAAGTTTTGATTTACTTGTTTATTTAGTTTAACATTTTTTTGGTATATTAAATTTACATTTATGCTATTAGGATTAAAACTGAATTCTATACATGAAACTAATAGAACTATTTTTAAGACTAATAAATATTTTTAAAAAAATCAATTTTAAAATAATCTACTATTGTGTTCATCAAAATGCTTTAAAAACTCCTTTAGGAAACTATAGAAGAAGAGACTTTAAAAAGCTCAACAGCAATACGTAAAACTTTGGGCGAGTTGAAGGAGAAAGTGTCAGAGGTATGAAGTATACACAGGGAAGCACAGTATTTTATCGTTTTAAAAGAATCAAATGTAGTTTTAGTCGAATATGAATTAGTATGAGATGATTTCATAAGTAAAGAAGATTTAAAAAAAAGAATTTCTTTCTTGATTTGGTTTTTAAAGTAAAAGATCTCTTCTAGATCAATAGCATATAATTATTAGAATATAACCCTAAATGAAAGAATCCTAAACGTGAAAGTGTTATTCTGTTGAAATAATTCTTCTACCTTGCATTCATATGTTGTTTGGTGGTTTGCAGACTTGGACATTTTCTTAACAGAGTTCTGTAAGTAAGATCTCATTAGACGACATTGTAGTATTTTTGTTTACAGGTTTTGTTCAATTTCAGACAGTAGAAGAAGCTCAAAAAAAGGAATTTGTTAAAAAAGGAATTGAAACTGCATCTAAAGCTGCAGAAAGCATACAGAAATCTGGCCAAGCTATTGGCCAGAGTGAAGCCTTCAAACAGATTAGCCAGGTATTAAACCTATTTCCACTTCCTTATTATAATTTTACTGACAGATCCACAGGTGCTACTTATTCCAATTTTTATTAGAACCCGAATTTTCCCCTCAGAATTAAGCAATTACTCATATTTTTCTTTAAATTGCAAGACTGGATTACAAATTAATACATCTCATTTTTTGTTTATGAACAGTATCTAGTATAGACCTTGTATTAATACACTTCAGTACATTATTTCATTAATCTCAATAACCAGCTTCACTGAAAACATCCTGCTACCTCACTTATTTTTATGTTGATCTGAGCTAAATGACACCATAAAAAACAAACTAATTCACTTATTCTTATGTTAACTAGCCTTTACATATTTTCGTTCATCATTTAAAAATTGAAAACTGATTTTTTAAAATTTTTTTTCTTTTTTCAATTTATACATCTTTGATAGAGAAATTGTTTTTATGCCACTTTTTGGCAAAGCAACAACCAAAGAAAACTGTATAGGGTCAATCTGCACTTGATTTTATCTTTCAAATGAATTGATTGTACATTAAAGCACATGTTAAAGAAATAAAAATACTATATTTTGACAAATAATGACAAAATTTTATACATAAATATATACATTATTATAATTTTTGTTTTGAAAACAAAAAAAAAGATCCCAAAACAAACTTTTTCACCAGTTTGGGCCACCTATTGTATTATATATCAGCATATTTAAAATATGTGTAGCGTTTTAAAGAAATAACAGTAATAAAACGACAGCTAATATAAAAATAAAAATATTTGCCTTAAAAGATATTTGTATAACTTACAATATATTGATCTAAGCGTTAAACACGCTTGTAATTCTTAATACTTCAAGACACTACTTTAGGTTACCTACATAATTGATAAACTTAGCCAATTGTAAATGATATTATTTTTAAAATAAATTTTTATGCGTTTTTTTTTTCTATAAACATTTTCTAGGGTGTTAAAACTGCTAAACAAGAATTTGATGAAATTACTTTATCAAGAGCTAGACATTATAAAGCACCAGGTAGGACATTTTTCCCTGTTACTGTTACAATTAATATTGAAAAGTGGGTATTAAAAAAACTCAACTATTTAGAGGCTGATCACTTCTAATGCAGTGATTTTGTTCAAACTTTCAAGATACTTTTGTCTTCAATGATAACTATAGAAAATGTATTCTTTTATTAATAGTTTTACAAATTTAATTAAATGTGACTAAAAATGGGCAGATCTGGTTTTACAGCAAATTTTTTTAGTTGTAGCCTCAATGGTGTCAAGTTTAATTAGAATATACTACTAACTAGTAGAAAATAAAAAAAAAATTAAAACCTTTTTAATAATGGTTTTGGTCACTAAAATAAATAAGAGATCTCAAGAGCGACCTATGCATTTATTAAAAAAAAGCACATTTTATTTTACATTTATCGGAGCTAATGTATTCTATGTGGGTATTCAAAAACTTACGGAAAGGGTACTTAACATAAATAATTTTCTTAAAGACTGAAATGGCATGCAATAGAAATGGTTAGAAAAATGTGTAGTTGTCTTAGTGGTGTGTAGCTTAAATGAATGTATACCTTGTCAACACAGATGTATTATTAAAAAGATCAGAGCTGTCAATGAAACCAAGAGATGACAAGGAAGTTCAGGCAGATGAGTAAGTTGAAGCAATGTTTTTTGGTTTCAAGTTTTAAAATTTAATTAAATGGTATGCCATCTACATCATTGGGAAACCATCTAATCCAGCAGTGGAAAATAATTTTGGTGGTCTACCATGAGCAGCACTTGACTATATAAAAGTAAAATTTTTTGGTACTGTTTTTGTTGTGTAAAACAGACTCCAAATTGACTTTACTGCATGCCATAAGTGCTATGTTTATAAAAGTTATACAAGCTTCTTTAGGAATTTAGATTCCTAAATCTTATCAAGTTAAACCTTTTTTTCAGCTACTCAACTGGTATGGTTTTACACAAAGATTCTAAATTTTATCAGAGTTGGCAAAATTTTAAAGACAATAACCAGTACATCAACAGTAAGTATTCACTTGGTTTAAAATATTTCATTTAAGAACTTGAAACTAATCATGTGAAGCTCTTATATAATATTCATGATTGATTACTGAAGTCCTTCTTACCTCATGCACTCAAAACTGCCTGTTTTCTTTTGTCAAATTGTACCTAACCAGTGTGAAATTGTGTATTTAGTTACATGGGCTGTAAATTGTTGTATTTGGTATTGTTTGTTTAATTTATAATTTAAAAAGGTACTTTTTTCAGTTTAGAATTACATGATATAACTTATTCTGTTTAGAATTTTTCAACTTAAAACCTAAATTATTATTCTTTTAGAATTATTTGATTTAAAGGCTAAATATGATGAGAGTGATCATGTTGTAGCCAGAGCATCAAGATTCTTTACAGATAAAGTTGGACAAATATTCGGTAAGTTAGTTCAACATTGACACTTTAAAGTTGTTTGTTGCCTCACAACAATGGCAACTGACATTTGTATGTGTTATGAAATGTGTTAAAGAGGACACAATTTTTTCATAATGACTGTTCTGGAAATGTCAACAGCAGAACTGTTTTTAAAAGTGATACTTTACTTTTTAAAATAATTTTGCTTTGTACTGAATTTAAACTTCAATATTTATTTTTTAGGAGGAGTATTCACAAAAACAGAAATGTCAGAAGTTTTAACTGAAATATGCAAAATAGATCCCAATTTTAATAAGGAACAATTTATAAGGCTGTGTGAAAGAGAAATTATACCTAACATTCTTGAAGTAAGTTATGTTAAACTTGCATTTAGATAGTTGTTCATGATTGTCAGCTAAGAATTACTGGTACTGTTTAAATAGATATGATGCTAGAGATTCTATGTACAGATACCAGTTTTATTTCTTTTAGGCAATGGTAAGGGGAGAATTGGAAATTCTGAAGGATTGGTGTTACGAAGCTGTAAGTCACCTATTTGTTTTCTATTTTATTTGGGGTCTCCATTACTTAGTTACATACAGCTGTTTCTCTGATTTCTAACCCACCTTCCTTGCTCATACAATTTTAGTAATTTATCTAGTTTGAGATCAACTTAATTATACATGTTCTTTAAATAACTTATATAATACATTTTCAAAATTTAAAAAACATTTTAATTTTTAGATTCTTAACCATTATGTTCAAATAAAATTAACCCGCAATTTTTGGCTATATTTGTGCTCTTTAAAACCGTAAATCACTTTAATAGTAAGTAGAATTATGCTTTGAAATATTAAGATTCCTTTACTTTATAGATTACTGGAAGGTAATTTTTCTTTATACTTTATTAGCCATACAACACACTGGCACATCCTATTGACCAAGCTAAAAAGGCTGGATATAGATTTGACTCAAAAGTTTTGGATATCAGTCAGGCTGATGTAAGTTTTTATAAAATTGTTTAGGAAGTAACTATGATTTAATTCTACACAGAATAGGTTGGTAGGTTAAATAGTTTTTACTTCATGGGATATTAGACATTGTAACTTGTTTGTATTAAAATAAAACTAAGCTTACCTCACAAGATATAAAAATCAAGCAGAACTCAAAATTCACTTTTAAGCCTTCGGAGTCTAATAGGCCTCAATCGCTAGAGATTTATCTTTTATGGTTGTCCTATGTGTTCACATCTGCTCGAACTTTTTATAATATATGTATTTACGCTTAGTAACAAAAGTCTTACAGGTAATGGGATTTTGAAAAAACAGGCGGAAGTAGGAAATTATAAGTTTATGTTGTTCTATCACTAGTGATTCATTTTCTACAAATTGTTAAAAGTAGTTAAGAATTTTTGTTTAAATTACAGGCAATATAATTAATGCAATTAAAAATTAAGATGCCTTTGCTGTTGAATTGGACTTTGTTTATAATGTAACTAATAGTAATACAGTAATGAGTAATATTGAAAAAGAAAGTAGTTCCAGTGACTGTTGAATTTTTTTTAGTATTTAAAATACATTTTTTTATTGAAATAAAATTAGAAGTTGCATTTTGTTACAATTTTATAAGGATAAGGTCATTAAAAAAAAATTGTTTACTAATAAGTAACTTAGTTAGTATTGTAATACACTTAGGATTGCAGTTAAGAACGCAACAGTTTTAGAGAATAATATTTCCAATAAATTTAAGAAGGTAGGTTTATTTATCAGAGCTACAGTAGTAACAAACATACATCTTTCAGGTTATTGCTGGGAAAATAATGGAGCAAGGTCCTGTATTAGTTATTAACTTCAATGCTCAGCAAATCATGGTTGTTAGGGATGCCAAAGATAAAGTTGTAGAAGGTGATCCTGTGAGTATGATTTCATTTCTTTACATTCCATTTTTTTTAACTTCAGACAACAGTTACCAAATGGTAGCTTGGTTTGAGAAACTTGATAAAAGTGGGTGTGCAGAAAACTTTTAGAAAGTTACATGAGCCTGAACTTTTTCATTCAAAACATGGTAACTTTGCCTGTAATTTCAGTTAAAGGCTTTTACTTAGCACAAACTCATGGTCAAATCTTGGATAATTTAAAATGATTTATTACCAATGTTATGATCAGCAAGTTTGTTGTTGAAACAGCATGAGGCTGAGCAAAAGCAGGGAACCAGATTTCTCAACAAAATTTTTATATTTGGGTTTCACAAAAAACAGCCCAGCACCAAGTCACACTGAGAGTACTTGCTTTTGCAGCTGTTGTGGGTCACACATGATATGAAGAAATATTACAATACTTTCACAACAAAAATGTGCACCTGCTCATAATTCTGCTGATCATGACATGACCCTCCATACAAGGTGAGGTGTTTCCTGAACCCACATCAGAAGTGTGTGACAGATCTTTTTGCTGGATAGAAGGAGTTGTCAAACATTGCATCCCTCATTCTGTATTGAAGTACAATTCCAACTTTTTGGGGGAAGACCTGTCTGATCAGAAAAAAGTGTTGATGGTACTTGTAGCTAAAGTTAACAGTTTGATCCTGCAGAGTCTATTCATTCAGGTTGACGGTTGAGTTTGTTAACTGGAGCCAATGAAACAACTCAGCAGCCAAACACACCAAGTGTGTCTGACAGAGCTACTTGATACAGCAGCCTAATATTTATAGAAAATAAATTATTTTCTCCTTTTTAGTGCAGAATTATATAAAAGCTAGTTATTAAAGTTTTTATTGCATTTTTTCAATACAATTTTTTTTAATGCAGTGGAGTTGCATGACTAAAAACTATTGTGCACCAAAATGAACATGAAAAATGAGAGTATAATAGCACTTTATGTTGGAAATTTTAATTAATTCATAAAAAACTAATTAGGCATCCAATTGAGTCAAATTTGATGTCAGATTGCATTGTCATCCGGTCAAGACCCAGGTGCCAAGTTTGTAATGAATCTGTCAGAAGTGATTAAATTTTCACTCAGCAGTTTCAATCCATGACAGATGACAAAAGCACGACAGACAGAGGGAGCAAGTTAAATAGCTTGTAAATACCTCTTGCTGCAAAAAAGTCATGAAATAGAGTCATTGTGAAGTTGTATTTTTTTAAAGAAAGATTGGAAACTTTAAGTCTATTATAATTATATTTTTAATATGTCCCAAAATGCTAAAAATAAGTATATAACATATACAATTTTTTAAAATAACAAGCATATAAATGCACTATAAATAATAATAAATCTAGATTCTATGTTGAATGAATTCTTGATCAACCAATACTTTTACAACTTAACTTACGGTTTTTATTTTTAATCCATTGAGAAGCTTGTTAGTTTCTTTTATATTATGTAAAGAGACGAATGCCAGTATAATTTGTGAAATTTAAATTTTTTTAAACTTATGTGGATATATTTACGTATAGATTAAATATATGTACATATTATAGGCCCTGTAATTATAAATACTTGCCTATGTATATGTGTATATTTCTGTATAGGTGTATATATTAACATTTCTTTTTATACACACTTTCATATAAATAAGCAAAATGAATATTTTTGAAACATTGGATATTCAACAGGACAAAATTTTGCGCATCATGTATGTTTGGGCTTTGTGTCGAGATCAGGAAGAGCTGAATCCAAGAGCAGCATGGAAGCTTATGGATATATCTGCCAGTTCATCAGAACAGTGGTTATAGTTTTGTAAATACATTGTATATAAATGTGATCATTGTAAAAATGGGAGCCTCTTGAAATGTCCATCAAAAAGATTGTCATTTAGAATTAAAATATTTATTAGTGACTGCAAAAGGTCATACACATTTTTAATTTGTCTGTTGCGATCATTATCATGGAATGGAGTATGCAATAAGATTAAAAGACTAGTTTTTTACATTTAATCATCTTGTTTATTTTATAGTTTTGAAGTTTGAAAGTCTTGGCTTTTGCAGTTGATCTCTGCCTCCTCATACTGAGTCAACAACATAAACAGATCAAAACAAATGTCTCAGTTAAACTTAGCATGTCAAAACAAAAATAATAGCCAGAAACAAGCTCAAGCAGCAACTCAAATATTAACATCAATAAAACTAATATAATAACCAGCAACTTGAGAAACTGATGGACAAATAAAAAGATGTGAGAATAAAGAAGAAATCACTCTTTGGCTAATTTTGGAAGTGTTTCAAATGATGCGCAAGCTGGAGAAGCCAGGTGTTATTCAACTGCTCTGTCTTAATGACTTAATGTTAAACTGGAATCAGCATGCTTAAACCCAGCTGTTATTCACCTGTTATGTCAAGAACAACTCAGCTCATATGTTCAATCTTTTTTGTTAAATAGCTCTGCAACATGTGAAAAGGTATTAAGATACATCTTGACATAAGGAGGCCAGTCAAAATTTCCAAGCTGTGAGTTAAAAGGTAATTGAGTTAGTTGTTGAAGTGTCATTTGTGCCCAATGTTTTTCAAGGGCTAAAGAAATAGGAAGAACTTGATAATTTAAAACACCATACCATATTTCCAAAGCTAAAGAATTCCACACCTAAAATCTGCCAATTACATCTACAAAAATATTAAAAAGATACATTAAAATCCAACTCAATAAAAATCCAGACATAAAAAATTTAATACAACTTGATATTAATATTGTGGCAAAAAATGCAGTAAACTAATTGTTTTAATTTTTAAAAGTATATCTGTAAGTAGTAATGACCTTTGATATCTGTAAACACTTCTATTTATTGGTATTTAACTACCACTAACATTGTTAAAAAGTAACAATTCTGTTGCATTTCAAACATGAGAAAGTTAAGTAGGGCAACTAGAAACTAAAATAATGCAAAAACTACGGCAAATTGTTTAAAATGATTTTACTGAGTTTTCAAGACTTTGATCTGATTTAAACCATTATTAAATAAAATGTAGTTAAGAAGAAACTTTTCTACCATATTTCTTTCTTTTGACACTCATTTAAAATACTCTTAGTTGTTAGAAGGCTGACTTGAGAGAATTGGCAATATCCCTTAAGCGTTCACAAATCATTTCTTTTTGGTTATTTAATTCTTGTAAAAGGAATTGACTGTGAGCATTGAGGTCCTCAACAGCTTGGTAACCTTGCTGCTCATACATTTCACTGTCAGAAAACACCTGTAAATATTGCATGAAAACAAGTTTTGAATTTTGTCCAAGTTCATGCAGTAGTTCTGAATAACTGCTGCATTTAAAAGGAGTTTCATTTTCAGATTCCAAAGCAGCACTTGAGATCCTAGTACTGTTGAGGCTACTGTCTGTGTCATCTCCATACTTTTGTGTGTAGCAATCTGAATGGGCTGTGTTATGGGTTGGCTGATGAGTGGGCACCACAGATTTAGATAATGTCTGGTTTGGTTTATCTACTGCTCTTACATCTAGGCAAGATTTCTTTGGAGGCACCTCCTGAGTGTAGCTGGAATCACAAAAGAAAGGCTCTGCATACATGTCAGTATACACTGCTTCAACTCCACTTTGGGATTTTTCCTAAGAAGAGATTTTATGTAAAAAGATTTATTAATTTAACTTACCAAATGTATAAAGTATAATAATATTGATTTACATACAATTAAAAATGCTCAATTTGTAAATGTATTTCATTAAATTTCACACAAACATAAAAATTACTAATTAGTGATAAGAAATTACTTAATAGATACAATAGTATAGTCTGCAGCTATCCTATCCTTTTATTAAGTTATAGGCTAATGTTAAAGGGCACAGTCTCTAATAGTTCATAAAATATTTAAAAATCGTGTTATTAACTTATTAGATCTAGTTATTACAATAAATGTGATTATAAAAACTTTATTTTTAGGTTTTTGTAAGACTTTACAAAAATTGGGTGTATAAATAATTATTTGATGTTTTTAGTATTTTTGATAACAAATTTTACTAATTATGGTTTAATATAAATTTAGTTTATTCTTAAAACAATTTGCCAAAGTTTTGAGTAGAAATTGTTTATGGTTAAAGAATAGATCTTATTTCATTCTTTAAAAATATTTTAGAATTTCTTAAATTATTTATTATTTAGTTAAAGTAAAATTTGTATTAGATTAGATCGAGAACAGAGTTTCTTCTAAGCATCTGAAACAAAATGGAATTTATATTGAAAAATTAAACTTTTACCAATGTCCCCCCCCCCCCCCCTGGAAAAATTTAGTCCACCCAATAAATCAAGTGCTCTCCCCCCCCCCCCCGGGAGAATAAAAGCCTGGAAGAAACACTGATTGAGAATTTACTTAACTTAGTAATTAGTTTATACTTTCTTAGATTAGTAACTAGATTCTAGATCTATTACTATGTGAGTTACTAACTTGCGGACTTAGTAAGTTAAGAATGAACTAACTCATAACTAGATATAACTCATATTCATAAGTGACTAGTGTTAGTCTAGTCTAGTCACCTAGTGCAACCGTGTGTGAGGGGTGTGTATTACATTAGTACCAGAATAGTGCCACTAGTTACCAAGTAGTAGATCTAGTTAATTCTATTGAATATTGTATAGATCTAGAAATCTAGGTCTATATGTAATATGTATGTAAATGAGTAAATATCATTTTTCATTACTGATTTAATCAGCGAATCAGTGAATGTGATTACATGAATCATGATGAATGTAACGAATAATGAATACAAAATAGTCAAATTAGTTACAAAAATAGTTCAAAATACAATGACAAACTTTCATACTTGCTCCATTAACTTAAAAATTTTAAAATAAATTAACTAAGAGTAAGAGAGGAATCAACGATGACAATTGCCAAATTGGTGAATGTAGATCTAGACTATGGTGCTCTAGTTAAGGAGACCTAATATCTAGATAAGAACAATATTAGTAAATTTGTTATTGCTAGTCTAAATGTAGATTTCAGATTTAGATCTAACTTGTCTAGCTCTAGATCTAGACTCTATGATTTGATTATTAACTTCGTCTGCTAGACTTCGTTGAAGGAAAAAATCAAGGGAAACCACTGTGACATGAAAATAGCTAGTTTAACTAGATTATAGTTATCTCTCCTGTTAAATTTGTTACCGGAAGTTATGGTTGCTATTGGTTTTAATTGTTTTTTTTTGTTTTTAAAATTTAGAGGTATGTTTTGTTACTATTCTAGATCTAGATCTATTTACTAATGTTAGATCTACACGACATGAAATTATAAACTAAACGAACTAGAGTTATATTATAATTTTGAGACATATATCTGAATTAATTTGCCTTTGTAAAAATCTGGTCTAGATTCAATATCAAATATGCGACTAGCTAGGTCTATTAATTTACTAGATCTATTCTATGTTAATATTATGTAGATCTACGAAATCAATCAAAGCTATCAAGCTAAACCAAAACAACTGTTTACAACTGTACAGTGCACTGAACCTAGTTTTACTTAACTAGGATTAACTAATAAATAAAAAAAAAGTCTAGTTACAGTAGTTAGTAGACCTAGTAATATGACAGAAAGGTGAATAATGTATTAATTTTTAGTAAAAAAGGTAGTGAATAATGAATGCTAAGTCTAAGTCAATGCCCATTGCTCATTACTACTCATCAAAACGCTTTGATGTTCCATCAACCTCATTACTATAGACAATAAAAACACTGAACAGGTTAACAGCTACAAATGCCTAGGGTTGATTAGAGATCACAACCTCACCTGCCCCAATCATATTCATTTTCTAAAAATTTCCCTATTAAATATTAAAGACTAGATCTACTTTTCAACAAGCAAGGATAAAAAACTTTGTTGACTAGAAGCTTTTATTCAAGCTAGGTTGGATTATACTTCTGTAGTGTGGAGCGGCAGCTTTATAACAAAACAGCGTCCTCTACAGTGATTACAAAAAAGAGCCATAAAACTAGTTACTGGGTTGTCTAGTAGTCTGGATTCTTTTATTACAACTAATATACTTACATTAAATAAAAAAGTAATATATAGACTACTAAAGCAATTTTTTTATATACAATTTTTCACGAAACAGCCCCCTCTTACTTATCAGACCTATTTCAATTAACACAAAAATCATTGTCTTAGCTTACCCATCCCCATCCCATATACAACTTTTTTCCAAAAAAATAGCTTCGCCTACTCAGTTATAATTTGTGGAACAATCTCAATAATAAAATAAAACTATCTATATCTGAAATTATATTCAAAACTAAACTAAAACAACAATTATTTAATGACTTCCTTAACTGACTCATTGCAACATTTCTTATTCATCTATTATATTCTCATTCTTATTTTTCTATCTCATATTGTATTATAACTATGTAATATTATTTCCTCATTCCAAATATTTGAATGTTACTGCTATGTGTTTAGGGGTCGTCTATAAATGACGTCACACTCGTAGGGGGGTCCATAATTTTGTGACGGTGTGTGATGAGGGGGATGGGGGGGGGGGGGCGTCAGATGGTGTGACATCACACTTTTGCATTATATAAAAGCAATGTTAGAAAATGAGTTTTAGCTGTTACTTCGCGTTTTACAAAACGATTTTAATAAATTGTAAAAGGAATTGAGCAAAAGACACTATGTTGACATAGTTCTGACAAGATTTAGGAAAAATATCGATGTTTTAAGAAAAATTCAACAGCCATTTTGAGGGGGGGTTGTAGACTGAGGTGTGACATCATTTTAGGGAGGGGGGGGAGTCTGGCTTTTTGTGATGATGTGTGATGGAGGGGAGGGGGGGAGGTAAAAACTGGTTAAAAAAAACATGACATCATTTACTACTCCATTGCTTTTAATTACAAAGCTGTTATTATGCTGTTTTTTTTTTAAGTGGCCAATGTGAAAAAGGCCTCTGTGCCTATATTGATATATTTAGATATTGTGTTTGGTTTATTATTCAATTATCTATTATATTTGATGCAAATATATCCCAATATTATATACTAGCATTAATAAAGTCATATTAATGCGTCATCATTCTTTCACATTACTTGCTTTGGACGACTTTACATAGCTAAAATGATTATCATTATTTATTGTATATTGTATATAGCCAGTAAATAGTAATAAGTAATCAAATACTATTTTTACTAACTATATCTAAAAATAAATAAATAAATAAATAAATATATATATATATATATATATATATATATATATATATATATATATATATATATATATATATATATATATATATATATATATATAGGCATATATATACATATATATGTATGTATATATATATTGGTATTCTAGATATTAGATATAGTTACAATGATACTATAATTTCAATATTTAATATTGTATCCAACACATATGGGCATATGATGATATTGATAAGTAAACATGTTATTACTTATGTGTACTTGTTTTGTATCTGTGCTATGACTTATACTTTTCTGCAGGAGATCTTACATAAAAAGGATTAAGTAACATTTGGCACATTTGTCTTGAATGTGAAACTCACCATCCCAGAAATAAAACTTAAAACCAGTTGACAAAATCCTAGACAAAATGCCTGAGGAAAATCTGAAAGTTGCTGTCAGAGTACGGCCTTTTGTATCCTTTCACAGTTTGTCTCAAGTTGAAGATTACATTTTTTTTCTTCTTACGCCTGTGTGACATCATTGGGCAAATAGTTTTAGTAGTCCTGTGACATTGGGCAAATAGTTTTAGTAGTCATTTGACATTTGGCAAATAGTTTTAGTAGTCCTGTGACATTGGGCAAATAGTTTTAGTAGTCATTTGACATTGGGCAAATAGTTTTAGTAGTCCTGTGACATTGGGCAAATAGTTTTAGTAGTCATTTGACATTGGGCAAATAGTTTTAGTAGTCCTGTGACATTGGGCAAATAGTTTTAGTAGTCATTTGACATTGGGCAAATAGTTTTAGTAGTCATGTTACATTGGGCAAATAGTTTTAGTAGTCCTGTGACATTGGGCAAATAGTTTTAGTAGTCATGTGACATTGGGCAAATAGTTTTAGTAGTCCTGTGACATTGGGCAAATAGTTTTAGTAGTCCTGTGACATTGGGCAAATAGTTTTAGTAGTCATTTGACATTGGGCAAATAGTTTTAGTAGTCCTGTGACATTGGGCAAATAGTTTTAGTAGTCATTTGACATTTGGCAAATAGTTTTAGTAGTCCTGTGACATTGGACAAATAGTTTTAGTAGTCATTTGACATTGGGCAAATAGTTTTAATAGTCCTGTGACATTGGGCAAATAGTTTTAGTATGATAGGAAAGTTGAAAATAAAAAAGTAGAAGCCTTAACTTTATTAAGAATGAAAGGGAAATAAAAAGAAGTGCTCAATTGATAATCAACATGACGAACAACCAGACTACCATCAAAGATCCAGAAAACTCAAAAGCTGAGCCAAAGAAATTTGCTTTTGATTACTCGTACTGGTCCCATGATGGGTACATAGAAAATAAGGATGGGTATTTTTCTCCAAAGGATAATCGCTATGCAGATCAGGTTAGTTTTAATTTAGAGATAAAAATAGTGGATTAAAAATATTATTGTTTAAAACTACCTAATATAATTTTAAAATATGAAATTTCTTTTCATTGACAACACATTATTTATGATGTGTAAATAAATAAAGACACGTTGATAGTTGCTGGAGTCTATTGCTGGGGTGGCAAAATCCTGATGTTTGTGAAATATTTTGTTTTAGAAAAAGGTATTTGAAGACCTTGGTAAAGGTGTTATAGACAATGCTTGGAATGGTTACAACTGCTCCTTGTTTGCCTATGGTCAAACTGGCAGTGGCAAGTCCTACAGCATCGTGGGCTTTGGAAACAACAAGGGGATTGTGCCTTTGGCCTGTGAGGAGCTTTTTCGTGGCATTGAGGAGAAACGGAAAGGCTTGGACAAAGATGCTGAGTTTCAGGTATTTGATTCACTCACACTGGACTACATTTATGATTCACTCAAACTGGACTACATTTATGATTCATTCACAAAATGCTACATTTATGATTCATTCACAAAATGCTACATTTATGATTCATTCACAAAATGCTACATTTATGATTCATTCACATAATATTAGATCTAAGATTCCCTCATATCAGGCTTCATGTGAAAAGTTGTGAAAAAAACTTGGTCAGCAGTCATTAGAGTGTAAAACATGCTTTGACCTGCACTTATGTACAGAGATGAATCTTTGTTGTGTTTTAGGTGAGTCTAACTATGCTGGAGATTTATAATGAGCAGATTCGGGATCTTCTCTCAACAAAAGCACCTGTCAAAGGAGGTCTAAAATTAAGGCAACATGCTTCAAAAGGTTTTTATGGTATGTATGAAATTATGCAACCATAAATGTGGGGTTAATAATTATTTCTTGCTTCATAAGAGATACCATTCAATACTTTTTGTAAGCTAGTTCAAAACTAGAATATTTGTAAAGAGAGATGTAATGTCATAGCTTTTTGTATGTAGTATGTAGGTTAAAGGGAAGGTTAAGGGTGTAGCACAGCTTGTACTCTACATAGAACTGTTCTAAGAGTTTTGGTTAGCTGTATAGTTGTGCTATGTATGTTGATTTATTTGTAGTGGAGAATTTGACCATTGCTCCTGTCAGCAGCTATACCCAGATAGAAAGCAAAATAAATGACGGTACCAGAAACAGAACAATAGCTTCAACAAATATGAATGTAACAAGCAGGTAGGTTTCTCCAGCAGTTTAAAATAACATTTGCAACATAAAACAGTTTGAGCAAAAGGAATTAGCATATAGTTTTTCTGCACTAACTCTATAACAATGAGCTCTAGCATGCAAAAACTACAGATAACCCTTTCAAAGGAAAATATACACTGTGGTAAAAGCTTTCAATTTTTGGTAAGCTTTAATCTAACCTGTAAATGGTTTGTTTTAAAGAAAATAGCTTGAGCTGACTAAAGCACTGTGTTGATGTAGCTGATAAAAGTGTGGTTTTATTTTCAGCCGCGCCCACACCATAGTGGCTATCACCTTTGTGCAGAAACAAAAAAATGATGCTGGTCAGAACATGACCAAGACATCAGTCATCAATCTGGTGGACTTAGCTGGCAGGTCAGGTTTTTTCTTTAACACTTTTTAAAGTTGGTTGAAAAAACTGCTCATCTTTTGTGGAAAGATTTTTTAAAAGAATTTACAAAGATTAGAAAAGCCTCTGACCTAATGTGATCAACTGTTTAGTGAGAGAGCAGAAAGTACTGGTGCCACAGGGGACAGGCTCAAGGAAGGATCCGCCATCAACCTCTCCCTCAGCACTCTAGGCAACTGTATCAAAGCTCTAGCTGATCAATCTGCTGGCAAGAAGAAAATCATGGGTCAGTCACAAGCTGAGAATCATTTCTATCATATTAACACTATGCCAATGCTTCATTTCTATCATATTAACACTATGCCAATGCTTCATTTCTGTCATATCAACACTATGCCAATGAATCATTTATATCATATCAATACTATGCCAATGAATCATTTATATCATATCAACACTATGCCAATGCTTCATTTTATCATATCAACACTATAGCAACACTATGCCAATGAATCATTTATATCATATCAAAGCTATGCTTCACCATGTTCAATCCTTATTCACTGTTGATAAAGCAAGTCATTCTATCATGGTTTACAGTAGTTTAATTCCATACAGATATCATGTGTTGGTAATTTATTGGTAATCTTAGTTCCATACACACAGCATATTTTGTTAATTTATTGGTAATTTTAGTTCCATACACCCAGCATATTTTGGTAATTTATTGGTAATCTTAGTTCCATACACACAGCATATTTTGTTAATTTATTGGTAATTTTAGTTCCATACACCCAGCATATTTTGGTAATTTATTGGTAATTTTAGTTCCATACAGGGACTCAGTGTTGACCAAACTTCTACAAAATGCACTGGGAGGAAACAGCAAAACTATAATGGTATGTTCCAACTATTTAAACAGTAAAACTATAATGGTATGTTCCAAGTATTTTAACAGTAAAACTATAATGGTATGTTTGAACTATTTAAACAGTAAAACTATAATGGTATGTTTCATTTAAACAGTAAAACTATAATGGTATGTTCCAACTATTTAAACAGTAAAACTATAATGCAGATGCTACATTCCAAATATCTAAATAGATAGACTATAAAGCTATGTTCCTTATGTTTTTTTTCTGGAATATTAAAAGATTATTTCCACCAGATTGTGGCCATTAGTCCAGCTAATATTAAAAGATTATTTCCACCAGATTTTGGCCCTTAGTCCAGCTAATATTAAAAGATTATTTCCAAAAGATTTTGGCCATTAGTCCAGCTAATATTAAAAGATTATTTCCAAAAGATTTTGGCCATTAGTCCAGCTAATATTAAAAGATTATTTCCACCAGATTGTGGCCCTTAGTCCAGCTAATATTAAAAAATTATTTCCACCAGATTTTGGCCCTTAGTCCAGCTAATATTAAAAGATTATTTCCAAAAGATTTTGGCCATTAGTCCAGCTAATATTAAAAGATTATTTCCACCAGATTGTGGCCCTTAGTCCAGCTAATATTAAAAGATTATTTCCAAAAGATTTTGGCCATTAGTCCAGCTAATATTAAAAAATTATTTCCACCAGATTGTGGCCCTTAGTCCAGCTAATATTAAAAGATTATTTCCACCAGATTGTGGCCCTTAGTCCAGCTAATATTAAAAGATTATTTCCACCAGATTGCGGCCCTTAGTCCAGCTAATATTAAAAGATTATTTCCAAAAGATTTTGGCCATTAGTCCAGCTAATATTAAAAGATTATTTCCAAAAGATTTTGGCCATTAGTCCAGCTAATATTAAAAGATTATTTCCACCAGATTGTGGCCCTTAGTCCAGCTAATATTAAAAGATTATTTCCACCAGATTGCGGCCCTTAGTCCAGCTAATATTAAAAGATTATTTCCAAAAGATTTTGGCCCTTAGTCCAGCTAATATTAAAAGATTATTTCCACCAGATTGTGGCCCTTAGTCCAGCTAATATTAAAAGATTATTTCCAAAAGATTTTGGCCATTAGTCCAGCTAATATTAAAAGATTATTTCCAAAAGATTTTGGCCATTAGTCCAGCTAATATTAAAAGATTATTTCCAAAAGATTTTGGCCATTAGTCCAGCTAATATTAAAAGATTATTTCCACCAGATTGTGGCCCTTAGTCCAGCTAATATTAAAAGATTATTTCCACCAGATTGTGGCCATTAGTCCAGCTAATATTAAAAGATTATTTCCACCAGATTGTGGCCCTTAGTCCAGCTAATATTAAAAGATTATTTCCACCAGATTGTGGCCCTTAGTCCAGCTAATATTAAAAGATTATTTCCACCAGATTGTGGCCATTAGTCCAGCTAATATTAAAAGATTATTTCCACCAGATTGTGGCCATTAGTCCAGCTAATATTAAAAGATTATTTCCACCAGATTGCTGCGCTTAGTCCAGCTGACATCAACTACCAGGAAACCCTTTCAACTCTGAGATTTGGTAAACATCTTTGTTACATCAGTCATTGATACAAGTCATGTTACATCAGTCATTGATACAATTCATGTTACATCAGTCATTGATACAAGTCATGTTACATCATTCATTGATATACTTCATGTTACATCAGTCATTGATACAAGTCATGTTACATCAGTCATTGATACAAGTCATGTTACATCAGTCATTGATACAAGTCATGTTACATCAGTCATTGATACAAGTCATGCTACATCAGTCATTGATACAAGTCATGTTACATCAGTCATTGATACAATTCATGTTACATCAGTCATTGATACAAGTCATGTTACATCATTCATTGATATACTTCATGTTACATCAGTCATTGATACAAGTCATGTTACATCATTCACTGATACAATTCATGTTACATCGATCATTGATACAAGTCATGTTAAATCAGTCATTGATACAAGTCATGTTACATCAGTCATTGATACAAGTCATGTTACATCAGTCATTGATACAAGTCATGTTACATCAGTCATTGATACAAGTCATGTTACATCATTCACTGATACAATTCATGTTACATCAGTCATTGATACAAGTCATGTTACATCAGTCATTGATACAAGTCATGCTACATCAGTCATTGATACAATTCATGTTACATCAGTCATTGATACAAGTCATGTTACATCAGTCATTGATACAAGTCATGTTACATCATTCACTGATACAATTCATGTTACATCAGTCATTGATACAAGTCATGTTACATCATTCACTGATACAATTCATGTTACATCAGTCATTGATACAAGTCATGTTACATCAGTCATTGATACAAGTCATGTTACATCAGTCATTGATACAACTCATGTTACATCAGTCATTGATACAAGTCATGTTAAATCAGTCATTGATACAAGTCATGTTACATCAGTCATTGATACAAGTCATGTTACATCAGTCATTGATACAAGTCATGCTACATCAGTCATTGATATAAGTCATGTTATATCAGTCATTGATACAAGTCATGTTACATCAGTCATTGATACAAGTCATGTTACATCAGTCATTGATACAAGTCATGTTACATCAGTCATTGATACAAGTCATGTTACATCAGTCATTGATACAATTCATGTTACATCAGTCATTGATACAAGTCATGTTACATCATTCATTGATATACTTCATGTTACATCAGTCATTGATACAAGTCATGTTACATCATTCACTGATACAATTCATGTTACATCGATCATTGATATACTTCATGTTACATCAGTCATTGATACAAGTCATGTTACATCATTCACTGATACAAGTCATGTTACATCGATCATTGATACAAGTCATGTTAAATCAGTCATTGATACAAGTCATGTTATATCAGTCATTGATACAAGTCATGTTACATCAGTCACTGATACAACTCATGTTACATCAGTCATTGATACAAGTCATGTTACATCAGTCATTGATACAAGTCATGTTACATCAGTCATTGATATACTTCATGTTACATCAGTCATTGATACATGTCATGTTACATCAGTCATTGATACAAGTCATGTTACATCAGTCATTGATACAAGTCATGTTACATCAGTCATTGATACAAGTCATGTTACATCAGTCATTGATACAAGTCATGCTACATCAGTCATTGATACAAGTCATGTTACATCAGTCATTGATACAAGTCATGTTACATCAGTCATTGATACAAGTCATGTTACATCAGTCATTGATACAAGTCATGTTACATCAGTCATTGATACAAGTCATGTTACATCAGTCATTGATACAAGTCATGTTACATCAGTCATTGATACAAGTCATGTTACATCAGTCATTGATACAAGTCATGTTACATCAGTCATTGATACAAGTCATGTTACATCAGTCATTGATACAACTCATGTTACATCAGTCATTGATACAAGTCATGTTACATCAGTCATTGATACAAGTCATGTTACATCAGTCATTGATACAAGGCATGTTACATCAGTCATTGATACAAGTCATGTTACATCAGTCATTGATACAAGGCATGTTACATCAGTCATTGATACAAGTCATGTTACATCAGTCATTGATACAAGTCATGTCATTGATATCAGCAGTACAAAACTATGTTGCCTTAGACGTCAGTACAAAACTTGAGTTTGTTTGTTTAGGTTGATGAATATACAGTCAAATTTCACTGAACTACATGCATAGCATGTAAAGATTTATATTGTGTATTGATTTATTTAACATAGCCCTGTATCATTGTCTGTATGTTTCAAAATGGTGTAACCTGTATCTGTGACCATATGTTTGTCGTTGGTTTAAAAAAATGATATCTGTTAGCTGACAGAGCGAAGACAATTAAAACCCAGGCTGTGGTTAATGAGAGTCCAACTGACAAGCTAATCAGGGAACTGAAGGAAGAAAATCAGAAACTGCTGGAGATGCTGAAAGCTGGGGGTGTCCCTGCAGGGGGAGCTGCAGCAAGCAGTCAAGGTATTTCTTGAGATTCTAGACAGTCAATAACTTGGGGCCAGCAGTCAAGGTATTTCTTGAGATTCTAGACAGTCAATAGCTCAAGCAGTCAAGGTATTTCTTGAGATTCTAGACAGTCAATAACTCAAGCAGTCAAGGTATTTCTTGAGATTCTAGACAGTCAATAACTCAAGCAGTCAAGGTATTTCTTGAGATTCTAGACAGTCAATAACTCAAGCAGTCAAGGTATTTCTTGAGATTCTAGACAGTCAATAGCTCAAGCAGTCAAGGTATTTCTTGAGATTCTAGACAGTCAATAACTCAAGCAGTCAAGGTATTTCTTGAGATTCTAGACAGTCAATAACTCAAGCAGTCAAGGTATTTCTTGAGATTCTAGACAGTCAATAACTTGGGGCCAGCATCAAGGTATTTCTTGAGATTCTAGACAGTCAATAACTCAAGCAGTCAAGGTATTTCTTGAGATTCTAGACAGTCAATAACTCAAGCAGTCAAGGTATTTCTTGAGATTCTAGACAGTCAATAACTTGGGGCCAGCAGTCAAGGTATTTCTTGAGATTCTAGACAGTCAATAACTTGGGGCCAGCAGTCAAGGTATTTCTTGAGATTCTAGACAGTCAATAACTCAAGCAGTCGAGGTATTTCTTGAGATTCTAGACAGTCAATAACTCAAGCAGTCGAGGTATTTCTTGAGATTCTAGACAGTCAATAACTTGGGGCCAGCAGTCAAGGTATTTCTTGAGATTCTAGACAGTCAATAACTTGGGGCAAGCAGTCAAGGTATTTCTTGAGATTCTAGACAGTCAATAACTCAAGCAGTCAAGGTATTTCTTGAGATTCTTGACAGTCAATAACTCAAGCAGTCAAGGTATTTCTTGAGATTCTAGACAGTCAATAACTCAAGCAGTCAAGGTATTTCTTGAGATTCTAGACAGTCAATAACTTGAGGCAAGCAGTCAAGGTATTTCTTGAGATTCTAGACAGTCAATAACTCAAGCAGTCAAGGTATTTCTTGAGATTCTAGACAGTCAATAACTTGGGGCAAGCAGTCAAGGTATTTCTTGAGATTCTAGACAGTCAATAACTTGGGGCCAGCAGTCAAGGTATTTCTTGAGATTCTAGACAGTCAATAACTTGGGGCAAGCAGTCAAGGTATTTCTTGAGATTCTAGACAGTCAATAACTCAAGCAGTCAAGGTATTTCTTGAGATTCTAGACAGTCAATATTTTGGGGCAAGCAGTCAAAGTATTTCTTGAGATTCTAGACAGTCAATAACTTGGGGCAAGCAGTCAAGGTATTTCTTGAGATTCTAGACAGTCAATAACTCAAGCAGTCAAGGTATTTCTTGAGATTCTAGACAGTCAATATTTTGGGGCAAGCAGTCAAAGTATTTCTTGAGATTCTAGACAGTCAATAACTTGGGGCCAGCAGTCAAGGTATTTCTTGAGATTCTAGACAGTCAATAACTGACTAGTTTCAAAACAGTTTTACCTTTTACCTAATGGGTCTGTGTGAAAACTAGTTTCTCCTCTGTGTGTGTGTGTGTGTGTGTGTGTGTGTGTGTGAAAACTTGTTTCTCCTGTGTGTGTGAAGACTTGTTTCTCCTGTGTGTGTGAAGACTTGTTTCTCCTGTGTGTGTGAAAACTTGTTTCTCCTGTGTGTGTGAAAACATGTTTCTCCTGTGTGTGTGAAAACTTGTTTCTCCTGTGTGTGTGAAAACTTGTTTCTCCTGTGTGTGTGAAAACTTGTTTCTCCTGTGTGTGTGTGTGTGAAAACTTGTTTCTCCTGTGTGTGTGAAAACTTGTTTCTCCTATGTGTGTGTGTGTGTGTGTGTGTGTGAAAACTTGTTTCTCCTGTGTGTGTGAAAACTTGTTTCTCCTATGTGTGTGTGTGTGTGTGTGAAAACTTGTTTCTCCTGTGTGTGTGAAAACTTGTTTCTCCTGTGTGTGTGAAAACTTGTTTCTCCTGTGTGTGTAAAAACTTGTTTCTCCTATGTGTGTGTGTGTGTGTGTGAAAACTTGTTTCTCCTGTGTGTGTGAAAACTTGTTTCTCCTGTCTGTGTGAAAACTTGTTTCTCCTGTGTGTGTAAAAACTTGTTTCTCCTATGTGTGTGTGTGTGTGTGTGAAAACTTGTTTCTCCTGTGTGTGTGAAAACTTGTTTCTCCTGTGTGTGAAAACTTGTTTCTCCTGTGTGTGTGTGTGAAAACTTGTTTCTCCTGTGTGTGTGTGTGTGTGTGAAAACTTGTTTCTCCTGTGTGTGAAAACTTGTTTCTCCTGTCTGTGTGAAAACTTGTTTCTCCTGTGTGTGTGAAAACTTGTTTCTCCTGTCTGTGTGAAAACTTGTTTCTCCTGTCTGTGTGAAAACTTGTTTCTCCTGTGTGTGAAAACTTGTTTCTCCTGTGTGTGTGAAAACTTGTTTCTCCTGTGTGTGTGAAAACTTGTTTCTCCTGTGTGTGAAAACTTGTTTCTCCTGTGTGTGTGTGTGTGTGTGTGTGAAAACGTGTTTCTCCTGTGTGTGTGAAAACTTGTTTCTCCTGTGTGTGTGTGAAAACTTGTTTCTCCTGTGTGTGTGAAAACTTGTTTCTCCTGTGTGTGTGAAAACTTGTTTCTCCTGTCTGTGTGAAAACTTGTTTCTCCTGTGTGTGTGAAAACTTGTTTCTTCTGTCTGTGTGAAAACTTGTTTCTCCTGTGTGTGTGAAAACTTGTTTCTCCTGTGTGTGTGAAAACTTGTTTCTCCTGTGTGTGTGTGTGTGTGTGAAAACTTGTTTCTCCTGTGTGTGTGTGTGTGTGTGTGTGTGTGTGAAAACTTGTTTCTCCTGTGTGTGTGTTAAAACTTGTTTCTCCTGTGTGTGTGTGTGTGTGTGTGTGTGTGTGAAAACTTGTTTCTCCTGTGTGTGTGAAAACTTGTTTCTCCTGTGTGTGTGTGTGTGTGTGTGAAAACTTGTTTCTCCTGTGTCGCCTGTGTAGAAGTGGAAGAGATGAAAAAACAGTTGGAGGAACAAATGGCAGCCAATCAGAGGGAGCTGGAGGAGATGAAGAAATCTTGGGAGGAGAGGATGAAAGAAACACAGGCAGAGTCAAAGGTCAGTTTTTGTTTAACACAACACAGCATTGGGTCACATAGAAGTGTTGGCCACTTTCTGTTGCCTGACATGAGCACCTACTTTCTGTTGCCTGACATGAGCACCTACTTTCTGTTGGCTGACATGAGCACCTACTTTCTGTTGGCTGACATGAGCACCTACTTTCTGTTGCCTGACGTGAGCACCTACTTTCTGTTGGCTGACATGAGCACCTACTTTCTGTTGCCTGACATGAGCACCTACTTTCTGTTGTCTGACATGAGCACCTACTTTCTGTTGCCTGACATGAGCACCTACTTTCTGTTGCCTGACATGAGCACCTACTTTCTGTTGCCTGACATGAGCACCTACTTTCTGTTGGCTGACATGAGCACCTACTTTCTGTTGCCTGACATGAGCACCTACTTTCTGTTGTCTGACATGAGCACCTACTTTCTGTTGCCTGACATGAGCACCTACTTTCTGTTGGCTGACATGAGCACCTACTTTCTGTTGCCTGACATGAGCACCTACTTTCTGTTGCCTGACATGAGCACCTACTTTCTGTTGTCTGACATGAGCACCTACTTTCTGTTGGCTGACATGAGCACCTACTTTCTGTTGCCTGACATGAGCACCTACTTTCTGTTGTCTGACATGAGCACCTACTTTCTGTTGGCTGACATGAGCACCTACTTTCTGTTGCCTGACATGAGCACCTACTTTCTGTTGTCTGACATGAGCACCTACTTTCTGTTGGCTGACATGAGCACCTACTTTCTGTTGCCTGACATGAGCACCTACTTTCTGTTGGCTGACATGAGCACCTACTTTCTGTTGGCTGACATGAGCACCTACTTTCTGTTGGCTGACATGAGCACCTACTTTCTGTTGGCTGACATGAGCACCTACTTTCTGTTGGCTGACATGAGCACCTACTTTCTGTTGGCTGACATGAGCACCTACTTTCTGTTGGCTGACATGAGCACCTACTTTCTGTTGGCTGTCATGAGCACCTACTTTCTGTTGGCTGACATGAGCACCTACTTTCTGTTGGCTGACATGAGCACCTACTTTCTGTTGGCTGACATGAGTCTGACATGAGCACCTACTTTCTGTTGGCTGACATGAGCACCTACTTTCTGTTGCCTGACATGAGCACCTACTTTCTGTTGCCTGACATGAGCACCTACTTTCTGTTGGCTGACATGAGCACCTACTTTCTGTTGCCTGACATGAGCACCTACTTTCTGTTGCCTGACATGAGCACCTACTTTCTGTTGCCTGACATGAGCACCTACTTTCTGTTGCCTGACATGAGCACCTACTTTCTGTTGCAGACATGCCTACCGTCCCGCCAAAATTGGAACCGTCCCGTTTTTTCACCTAAAAAAGTAATTTGTTCCGCAATTCCGAAATTGACTCAGTTTGTTCCGATTTTTTGGAAAAAAAAAATTAATAAAGAAAGGTACTAAAGTAAATTGAAAAAAATGTCGGGAAAAAGCGATTATCTCCCTTTAGCACACGATTCTGTTTCCTAGTTTGCAATATTTACAAGTATCATCTTAATACTAGATTTAGTTAGTAGTACTACTAGATCTAGAATTGTAACTAGATCTACTAGTAGATACTGAAATAGTGAATACTGATCTATCTTGTAAATTTAACTTAACTAGTAACTACTATTATGAAGAACTTAGTAAGAAGTAACTAGGAGTTTTACTAGGTAGATCAAGGGTCTTTGCTCGTAACTTATATTATATATTACATATGATGAAGCCTTCAGCATTTGTTATTCATATAGCCTAGAACATAGCAAGACATAAATAATCAAATCAATAATGTTATGTCAAAGCTATAATTTTTATTCAGGGGGGGGGGGGGGTTTACTGGTTAATTTATTTTTTAAAATGTAAGCTGACTTTAAGCACTATTTTAAATGTATCCTAGAGACTAGTTATATAGGACTAGAAGCCTACTAATGTCATTAGAGTAATTTTTAATTAATTATTTTTATTTTTGACTTAGTAAAGTTGCGTCCGCGCATATGTTCCTCTTTTTGGCCTCAAATTCCTCTTTTTAGGCATAACTGTTCCTACTTTTGGTTGACAGGGGTAGGCATGTCTGCTGTTGGCTGACATGAGCACCTACTTTCTGTTGGCTGACATGAGCACCTACTTTCTGTTGGCTGACATGAGTCTGACATGAGCACCTACTTTCTGTTGCCTGACATGAGCACCTACTTTCTGTTGCCTGACATGAGCACCTACTTTCTGTTGGCTGACATGAGCACCTACTTTCTGTTGGCTGACATGAGCACCTACTTTCTGTTGCCTGATATGAGCACCTACTTTCTGTTGGCTGACATGAGCACCTACTTTCTGTTGCCTGACATGAGCACCTACTTTCTGTTGGCTGACATGAGCACCTACTTTCTGTTGCCTGACATGAGCACCTACTTTCTGTTGGCTGACATGAGCACCTACTTTCTGTTGGCTGACATGAGCACCTACTTTCTGTTGGCTGACATGAGTCTGACATGAGCACCTACTTTCTGTTGGCTGACATGAGCACCTACTTTCTGTTGCCTGACATGAGTCTGACATGAGCACCTACTTTCTGTTGCCTGACATGAGCACCTACTTTCTGTTGGCTGACATGAGCACCTACTTTCTGTTGGCTGACATGAGCACCTACTTTCTGTTGCCTGACATGAGCACCTACTTTCTGTTGCCTGACATGAGTCTGACATGAGCACCTACTTTCTGTTGTCTGACATGAGTCTGACATGAGCACCTACTTTCTGTTGGCTGACATGAGTCTGACATGAGCACCTACTTTCTGTTGGCTGACATGAGTCTGACATGAGCACCTACTTTCTGTTGCCTGACATGAGCACCTACTTTCTGTTGGCTGACATGAGCACCTACTTTCTGTTGCCTGACATGAGCACCTACTTTCTGTTGGCTGACATGAGTCTGACATGAGCACCTACTTTCTGTTGCCTGACATGAGCACCTACTTTCTGTTGGCTGACATGAGCACCTACTTTCTGTTGTCTGACATGAGCACCTACTTTCTGTTGCCTGACATGAGCACCTACTTTCTGTTGGCTGACATGAGCACCTACTTTCTGTTGCCTGACATGAGCACCTACTTTCTGTTGGCTGACATGAGTCTGACATGAGCACCTACTTTCTGTTGCCTGACATGAGCACCTACTTTCTGTTGCCTGACATGAGTCTGACATGAGCACCTACTTTCTGTTGGCTGACATGAGCCTGACATGAGCACCTACTTTCTGTTGCCTGACATGAGCACCTACTTTCTGTTACCTGGCATGAGTCTGACATGAGCACCTACTTTCTGTTGCCTGACATGAGCACCTACTTTCTGTTGCCTGACATGAGCACCTACTTTATGTTGTCTGACATGAGCAACTACTTTCTGTTGCCTGACATGAGCACCTACTTTCTGTTGCCTGACATGAGCACCTACTTTCTGTTGCCTGACATGAGCACCTACTTTCTGTTGGCTGACATGAGCACCTACTTTCTGTTGCCTGACATGAGCACCTACTTTCTGTTGGCTGACATGAGCACCTACTTTCTGTTGGCTGATGTGAGCACCTACTTTCTGTTGCCTGACATGAGCACCTACTTTCTGTTGCCTGACATGAGCACCTACTTTCTGTTGCCTGACATGAGCACCTACTTTCTGTTGGCTGACAGTCTGACATGAGCACCTACTTTCTGTTGCCTGACATGAGCACCAACTTTCTGTTGCCTGACATGAGCACCTACTTTCTGTTGGCTGACATGAGCACCTACTTTCTGTTGGCTGATATGAGCACCTACTTTCTGTTGCCTGACATGAGCACCTACTTTCTGTTGCCTGACATGAGCACCTACTTTCTGTTGCCTGACATGAGCACCTACTTTCTGTTGCCTGACATGAGCACCTACTTTCTGTTGGCTGACATGAGCACCTACTTTCTGTTGCCTGACATGAGCACCTACTTTCTGTTGGCTGACATGAGCACCTACTTTCTGTTGCCTGACATGAGCACCTACTTTCTGTTGGCTGACATGAGCACCTACTTTCTGTTGGCTGACATGAGCACCTACTTTCTGTTGGCTGACATGAGTCTGACATGAGCACCTACTTTCTGTTGGCTGACATGAGCACCTACTTTCTGTTGCCTGACATGAGTCTGACATGAGCACCTACTTTCTGTTGGCTGACATGAGCACCTACTTTCTGTTGCCTGACATGAGCACCTACTTTCTGTTGGCTGACATGAGTCTGACATGAGCACCTACTTTCTGTTGCCTGACATGAGCACCTACTTTATGTTGTCTGACATGAGCACCTACTTTCTGTTGCCTGACATGAGCACCTACTTTATGTTGTCTGACATGAGCACCTACTTTCTGTTGCCTGACATGAGCACCTACTTTCTGTTGCCTGACATGAGCACCTACTTTCTGTTGGCTGACATGAGCACCTACTTTCTGTTGGCTGACATGAGCACCTACTTTCTGTTGGCTGACATGAGCACCTACTTTCTGTTGCCTGACATGAGCACCTACTTTCTGTTGGCTGACATGAGCACCTACTTTCTGTTGGCTGATATGAGCACCTACTTTCTGTTGCCTGACATGAGCACCTACTTTCTGTTGCCTGACATGAGCACCTACTTTCTGTTGCCTGACATGAGCACCTACTTTCTGTTGGCTGACAGTCTGACATGAGCACCTACTTTCTGTTGCCTGACATGAGCACCAACTTTCTGTTGCCTGACATGAGCACCTACTTTCTGTTGGCTGACATGAGCACCTACTTTCTGTTGGCTGACATGAGCACCTACTTTCTGTTGGCTGGCATGAGCACCTACTTTCTGTTGGCTGACATGAGCACCTACTTTCTGTTGCCTGACATGAGTCTGACATGAGCACCTACTTTCTGTTGGCTGACATGAGTCTGACATGAGCACCTACTTTCTCTTGCCTGACATGAGCACCTACTTTCTGTTGGCTGACATGAGCACCTACTTTCTGTTGCCTGACATGAGCACCTACTTCCTGTTGGCTGACATGAGCACCTACTTTCTGTTGGCTGACATGAGCACCTACTTTCTGTTGGCTTACATGAGTCTGACATGAGCACCTACTTTCTGTTGCCTGACATGAGCACCTACTTTCTGTTGGCTGACATGAGCACCTACTTTCTGTTGCCTGACATGAGCACCTACTTTCTGTTGCCTGACATGAGCACCTACTTTCTGTTGGCTGACATGAGCACCTACTTTCTGTTGCCTGACATGAGCACCTACTTTCTGTTGCCTGACATGAGCACCAACTTTCTGTTGCCTGACATGAGCACCTACTTTCTGTTGGCTGACATGAGCACCTACTTTCTGTTGCCTACTGTGGCCTAAATTTTTGTAACCGTGCAGGTCAAGCTGGAAGCTGAGAAAAAAAGAAATGAGGAGAGGAAAGTGACTCCCCACTTGTGGAACCTAAGTGAAGATCCTGCGCTTACAGCTGTGTTGATCCACTTTTGCCCAGAAGGTTTGACCCACTGATAATCACACTGACCCACTGATAATCACACTGACACACTGACAATCACACTGACAATCACACTGACAATCACACTGACACACTGACAATCACACTGACAATCACACTGATAAAACCCAAAAGTCACAATCATTATTCATTATGAAGTTTATAATGTGATGCCACATTTCAAGTAATTAATTTTTTTTTCTTTTCATCAAAGAAAACATTTTTCAAAAGTAGATGAAAGGTCATATGAATTGAAACAAAATGCTAACCCACTTTTACATAAATATTTGCAGGTACTGCCAAAATAGGAAACAAAAATGCCAGCCCTCCCCCTCAGATTCTCATCAATGGCTTAGGGTAAAGATAATAATAGTAGACTTTCTGTAACTGTGGTAATAGACTGTGTTTTAATACTAGTAGACTGTCTGTAACTGTGGTAATAGACTGTGTTTTAATACTAGTAGACTGCATTTAAAATAGTGGACTCTCCATACGTTAATCATTGTAAACTAACATACCTTAAAATTCTAATGGTAAAAATGTCAATCTAAAGTATCAAGTCAAAGCCCCAGTGCAATTTCCAAAACATTAACTTATGTCTGTGACCCCATTTCTATTACCCATTTACCTACACCACCAAGTTTTGACCCACATGTCAAGTAACCCATTTTTCTGTGCTTCACATTTCTGACCCAACTGTTCTGTTATTAAAAACTTTAATTTTCACTTTATCAAAATGCGTTCGTCAGATCGTAAGTAATTTTTATGTTGGTATGTCATGTGTTTAAGAAAACAGAATATTTTCCTTCACAAATTCAATTACTCTTGCCATGAAAATAACCAGGGAACCTGGGATTCACCAATTTATTTGTATGAAAACAGACAAATTTGAATCATCTCACAAATTCTTCCATTTTATTTAATAACTTAGTTTGTGTCACATTTCAAGAATATTTATCTTACACTAAAGACAAAGTGTTTATCACTTAAGGGTTTAAAGTTATCTTGAAGACAAATTGTGCTTCACCTTAAGAGTGTGTGAAGTTACGCTTATTTAATTCACCGCAAAACTGGTTTGCTGCCAAATATGTAAACATTTCTTTTTCTTTCTTTAATTATTATAAAAAATAAATTCTTTTATTTACATCAAGCTTTCATTATAAAATACTTAAAGTTTAGCAATGTAAAAACGAAACAATTATAAATATTTCTTTTAACAAGTAACCAGCGAGCCTACAGATTTGAATAAACTTTAAAATTGGAAACAAAATGTTAGTAAAAAAGCATTACACTAACAAGCTTTTACAGGCCTATTAGCCCTAAAAAGAAGAAAATAAAATGATTTTCTTTAAATTTGGAAATATGCACTACTATTTAAATAACTATAAAAAGTGATCTCATAAAATTATAGCAATACACTTTTTTTGATAGTTATTAAATATTGGTCATTTGTACATTCCTAAATATTAGTAAAGTATTCAATGGATAATAAAATGACCCAAGCTTTTCTTTATAGTTATTTTAAGAAAATAATTTATTTTCTTTTTATATATAAGCTTGTTATAAAAATGTTGTTTAAGAATTGTTTTTCAATACTTTAAAATATTTGTAATACAAAAGAGTTGCATGACTAAAAACAGTTGCGCTTCAAATGAAAAAAAAAAAGTAGATAATAGATTGGAAAATAGTATTTTATATAGGAAAATTTAATTAATTCATAAGAAAATTTGGCATCCAATGAAGACAAATTTGATGTCAGATATGATTGTGATTGTGTCTTGACCCACGTGCCAAGTGTGAAACCAATGGATTTGTTAGAAGACTAAAACACTAAGCAAGTTAAATGAAAGATTGTAAAAAATGTAATGCTTTTAAATAGTCAAATTTGCATAACTAAAAAGATTGCAATGTCATTGGGTCTTGACCTACATGTCAAGATTTAAAGAAATTGGTTTGTTAAAAGTGGGTTGAAGCTTTTGCTTGAAAATGTTGGCACAATGATGAAAACAAAAGTATTGAGCTCAAGGAATCAAGTTAACTAAAAATGTTTAAAGACCCTTATGTAGTTCTTTCTTTTAATTACCCTTTTCAAATGATTAAATTATGATGGTCTTACATTATTTTTACAAGAAGGGTTGTAAGTAAGGGGCTTTGTCCTGAGTCTTTAGTGTAGGATAAGCTGACAATTTGTCTGTGTGTTGTCCTGAGCCTTTAGTGTAGGATAAGCTGACAATTTGTCTGTGTGTTGTATTTCTGTCAGGAGGCAAGACTTTGTATGCCCTCCACAGCATACACAAGTTGCTCTGTGTGATGACAGACTTTATTCCACAGCATACAAAAGGAACACGCAACTGTAACCAACAAGAAAGGTGTGGTCAGCTTAAAGCCATGTCCTGGGGCTAAGATCATGGTCAATGGTAAACCCATTTCAGCAGAAGTACAGCTACATCATAATGACAGGTATACCATAATCTCATTTACACCATAATGACATGTACATATGTTTCTGAAATAAAATCTATGTTGACTAAAAAATTGTTCTAGGGCTCATATATTTGATCACCTTGCAGAGTTCTACTTGGTCCAAACCATCTGTTTGTTTTCCATCACCCACAAGATGAGGCCAGGCAACAAAAATCTGGCAAACCTGTGCTACAACCAACCTATGACAGCGCTCAGCAGGAGTTGGCCAGGGAGTCTGGGCTCATGGACTCCACCAGTGGCAAATCTAAAGGTAGGGGACATTTTTATCTCTCACTGCAACTGTGGGGGTCAACAAACACACTAGAAGGGTGAGACCAAACTAGAACCAAACTAGAAGGGTGAGACCAAACTAGAAGGGTGAGACCAAACTAGAAGGGTGAGACCAAACTAGAAGGGTGAGACCAAACTAGAAGGGTGAGACCAAACTAGAAGGCTGAGACTAAACACACTAGAAGAGTGAGACCAAACTAGAAGGGTGAGACCAAACTAGAAGGGTGAGACCAAACTAGAAGGGTGAGACCAAACTAGAAGGGTGAGACCAAACACTCTAGAAGGGTGAGACCAAACTAGAAGGGTGAGACCAAACTAGAAGGGTGAGACCAAACTAGAAGGGTGAGACCAAACTAGAAGGGTGAGACCAAACTAGAAGGGTGAGACCAAACTAGAAGGGTGAGACCAAACCAGAAGGGTGAGACCAAACACTCGAGAAGGGTGAGACCAAACTAGAAGGGTGAGACCAAACTAGAAGAGTGAGAATAAACTAGAAGGGTGAGACCAAACACTCTAGAAGGGTGAGACCAAATTAGAAGGATGAGACCAAACTAGAAGGGTGAGACCAAACACTCTAGAAGGGTGAGACCAAACTAGAAGGGTGAGACCAAACTAGAAGGGTGAGACCAAACCAGAAGGGTGAGACCAAACTAGAAGGGTGAGACCAAACTAGAAGGGTGAGACCAAACTAGAAGGGTGAGACCAAACTAGAAGGGTGAGACCAAACACACTAGAAGGGTGAGACCAAACTAGAAGGGTGAGACCAAACTAGAAGGGTGAGACCAAACTAGAAGGGTGAGACCAAACACACTAGAAGGGTGAGACCAAACACTCTAGAAGGGTGAGACCAAACTAGAAGGGTGAGACCAAACTAGAAGGGTGAGACCAAACTAGAAGGGTGAGACTAAACTAGAAGGGTGAGACCAAACTAGAAGGGCGAGACCAAACACTCTAGAAGGGTGAGACCAAACTAGAACCAAACTAGAAGGGTGAGACCAAACTAGAAGGGTGAGACCAAACACACTAGAAGGGTGAGACCAAACTAGAAGGGTGAGACCAAACTAGAAGGGTGAGACCAAACTAGAAGGATGAGACCAAACTAGAAGGGTGAGACCAAACTAGAAGGGTGAGACCAAACACTCTAGAAGGGTGAGACCAAACTAGAAGGGTGAGACCAAACTAGAAGGGTGAGACCAAACCAGAAGGGTGAGACCAAACTAGAAGGGTGAGACCAAACTAGAAGGGTGAGACCAAACTAGAAGGGTGAGACCAAACTAGAATGGTGAGACCAAACACACTAGAAGGGTGAGACCAAACTAGAAGGGTGAGACCAAACTAGAAGGGTGAGACCAAACTAGAAGGGTGAGACCAAACTAGAAGGGTGAGACCAAACACACGAGAAGGGTGAGACCAAACTAGAAGGGTGAGACCAAACTAGAAGGGTGAGACCAAACTAGAAGGGTGAGACCAAACTAGAAGGGTGAGACCAAACACACGAGAAGGGTGAGACCAAACTAGAAGGGTGAGACCAAACTAGAAGGGTGAGACCAAACTAGAAGGGTGAGACCAAACACACGAGAAGGGTGAGACCAAACTAGAAGGGTGAGACCAAACTAGAAGGGTGAGACCAAACTAGAAGGGTGAGACTAAACTAGAAGGGTGAGACCAAACTAGAAGGGCGAGACCAAACACTCTAGAAGGGTGAGACCAAACTAGAACCAAACTAGAAGGGTGAGACCAAACTAGAAGGGTGAGACCAAACACACTAGAAGGGTGAGACCAAACTAGAACCAAACTAGAAGGGTGAGACCAAACTAGAAGGGTGAGACCAAACTAGAAGGGTGAGACTAAACTAGAAGGGTGAGACCAAACTAGAAGGGCGAGACCAAACTAGAAGGGCGAGACCAAACTAGAAGGGTGAGACTAAACTAGAAGGGTGAGACTAAAGTAGAAGGATGAGACCAAACTAGAAGGGTGAGACCAAACTAGAAGGGTGAGACCAAACTAGAAAGGTGAGACCATATTAGAAGGGTGAGACCAAACTAGAAGGGTGAGACCAAACTAGAAGTGTGAGACCAAACTAGAAGGGTGAGACCAAACTAGAAAGGTGAGACCATATTAGAAGGGTGAGACCAAACTAGAAGGGTGAGACCAAACTAGAAGTGTGAGACCAAACTAGAAGGGTGAGACCAAACTAGAAGGGTGAGACCAAACTAGAAGGGTGAGACCAAACTAGAAGGGTGAGACCAAACTAGAAGGGTGAGACAAAACTAGAAGGGTGAAACCAAACTAGAAGGGTGAGACCAAACTAGAAGGGTGAGACCAAACTAGAATAGTGAGACCAAACTAGAAGGGTGAGACCAAACTAGAAGGGTGAGACCAAAACCTTGATATGTGGGTCTAGAGTTTGTAAGACACCCTTGAATCCACCTAGCTCTAAGGTACCTTAGATATCCCTGAATCCATTCATTTCTAGAAGGACCCTAGATATCCCCATATCCACTCAGCTTTAAGGGAAACAGAGTAAAGTACCACTTCCAGTTTCCAAAAATTCTTCAAAATTTGATAAAAATGTTGGCACAAAATGAAATACTTTTATGTGAGATTTTGTACACCTAACTTATATGGTACTTGTTGACTATTGAGGTACCGGAAGTGGAGTAAATGTTTCAAAAATTTCATCAACTGAAACTGTACTCAACTTATCATGTTCATAGAAAAATGTAAAGCTTGTAACTCTCTACTTTATCTGCCCAATTGACCAGCTTGTAACTCTCTACTTTATCTGCCCAATTGACCAGCTTGTAACTCTCTACTTTATCTGCCCAATTGACCAGCTTGTAACTCTCTACTTTATCTGCTTACTTGACAATCTGGTATTTAAGTGGAATCTATGAACATAAATAGGAAAGTCACTGAGAATCTTTGTTTCCTTTAGAGGACCTAGTTCTACAAGACGACCTAGTTCAGCTACTGCCCAATTGACCAGCTTGTAACTCTCTACTTTATCTGCCCAATTGACCAGCTTGTAACTCTCTACTTTATCTGCTTACTTGACAATCTGGTATTTAAGTGGAATCTATGAACATAAATAGGAAAGTCACTGAGAATCTTTGTTTCCTTTAGAGGACCTAGTTCTACAAGACGACCTAGTTCAGCTACTGCCCATGATCAGTGAAGCCAATGGCATGTCCGAGGAACTCAGCAAGAAAGTCCACTTTGAAATTTGTCTTGTATCTCCACAGTCTCGGGGGCTGAGGGAGGGCAGCACTGAGGTCAGTCACACTTTTTAAAGCATCCCTCACAGGGGCGTACACAGGGGGGTGGGTGGGGGGGGGGGGGGGGCTGAGGGAGGGCAGCACTGAGGTCAGTCACACTTTTTAAAGCATCCCTCAGGGGCGTACGCAGGGGGGGGGGGTGGGGGAGGCAGCACTGAGGTCAGTCACACACTTTTTAAAGCATCCCTCAGGGGCGTACGCAGGGGGGGGGGGGGTGGGGGAGGGCAGCACTGAGGTCAGTCACACACTTTTTAAAGCATCCCTCAGGGGCGTACGCAGGGGGGGGGGGTAGTGGCGCAAAAAGGTGCAGAAAACAAGATAGATACCTTCATTAACCAAAAGTTTAGTCAATATGCTCACCACAAGATAGATGCATATTTATTTCTGAATGTTCTTGCTTGTTTTAATTCCATCTTATTTCCCCAAAAAAATGATCCATTGTACATATGGCTCTGTAGTAGCTAGTTGCACAAGTAAATAAAATGTGATGTCACAGGCTTTAAACCTTTTGTGCACTGAGGTCAGTCACACTTTTTAAAGCACCCCTCAGGGGCGTACGCAGGGGGTGGGTGGGGGAGGGCAGCACTGAGGTCAGTCACACACTTTTTAAAGCATCCCTCAGGGGCGTACGCAGGGGGGGGGGCAGCACTGAGGTCAGTCACACTTTTTAAAGCATCCCTCAGGGGCGTACGCAGGGGGGGGGGCAGCACTGAGGTCAGTCACACTTTTTAAAGCATCCCTCAGGGGCGTACGCAGGGGGGGGGGGGCAGCACTGAGGTCAGTCACACTTTTTAAAGCATCCCTCAGGGGCGTACGCAGGGGGGGGGGGTAGTGGCGCAAAAAGGTGCAGAAAACAAGATAGATACCGTCATTAACCAAAAGTTTAGTCAATATGCTCACCACAAGATAGATGCATATTTATTTCTGAATGTTCTTGCTTGTTTTAATTCCATCTTATTTCCCCAAAAAAATGATCCATTGTACATATGGCTCTGTAGTAGCTAGTTGCACAAGTAAATAAAATGTGATGTCACAGGCTTTAAACCTTTCGTGCACAATAAAATCTAATTCAAATGTAGTCGTTCGCATTGGTATGTTAACCGTTTAAAAATGATAGAACGCGATTATGATTCCAATCATATATGCCCTCCTTATTAGCAGCGGTTATTGACCGTTACTGCTGTATAATTTTTATTTCAACTTGTTACTTGTTTTTGTTAATCTCATATTGAGTTTAAAAGGTGAGTTTTCAAAAATTTACTTAAAATAGTAAAACATTTAGACTAACTCTGTTTTTAGTGGGATTATCTTTATTTTTATTAAGCTTTCTAACTAGTATATTTATTTTAAGTTTATCCGTTTAGCAGACTATGCAAAATGTCTCACAAACTAGGTGCCCTATTAGCGGTATTGATACCGCGTTTTCATGTTCCTTCGTTTTATAGGAATTATGTCACTAATTTTTATAAATTTTTTTCTCTTAAAGAATGTTAATAATTAAACTAGTTAATGAGTAGATTCAAAGATAATAAATTAACTTTTTTTAAAATTGTGTGACCTACTTAGGTCCAGTAATGTTTTATTTTGACATTGTATACTTCCTTATATGGATTGATGGTGCAACTACCGGGGTTTTTCCACTGTCTTATTAAGGGTGTCTAAGACTTAGAAATTTTCCATCAAGATCTGATTGATTGATTCAGATCAGATGACTACCCCAACCAATGGCTACATGAGTTGAGGATAACCTCCCCTGTGGCCTAAGTCTTTAACTAGATCGCACACACGCGACACGAGGCAGTCTACCTTGATCAAACGGTCTATTAAGACCAGGCCGTCCATTTTGTCCGGCAATAGATTCTGACCATTTGAACGTGAGAGAACTTAAGTCCTGAGTGTGCTATGCTTTCTTAAGTTGTTTTAGTCTTCTAGTATAATATTACTTGTCGCCAAGTGATTCTTGAAGCTATAGCAGTGTTGTGTGACCTGTGGCTATTTTTATACAGTGTTAAAATCTGTGATAGTATTTTTTCTTACGCTTTGTAAGTTGGGTTTTGTTATTTTCTAAATTAAATACTTTATCTCGTTTAACCTAGTGTTCTGCCACAACTGTGTTCGCTTATTAAAGGTTGTATGCAGATTGAATGAGTTGTTAACTTCAATAGTATCACTAGTTTTCCCTAGACATCGAAACGAGCCCTAGTGTGTTGTTGAGTTAGTGTTCATTCATTTAGGCTTTAAGTCATTTGCATATAACCCCGAAAAAGAATCCGGGGACGTTCACCATCTATCTGGCTGGTAGATAGGTAAACGTTACAAAGTGGGGGCTCGTCCGGGATTTAATCTGTCGTTCCAGTTGTTGGTTATATCAGTTAAACACTAAGTTTAGTTTGATTTAGTTGTTTTTCTATCCAGTGGCGCCGTGTTCTTACAACGCGCGCAAGGCTAGAGGTATGTAGGTCAAAAGCCAGACGTGTCACGATAGGAGGTCTAGTACACGGCCCAACGCTCCGTGTGAATTTAGAGAATCTAGGCTTGTTTTGATTTTGAAAGTTAGTGTTATGGAGTCTTTCTTATCTAATCCCACTTTTGAGGAGGTAGAGAAGTTGATTAGAAAAGTTTTGATTAGTGTTGTTAAGGAATTGAAATTGGATTATTCTGTTACGCAGAAGTCAGAGGTGTTGAGAGATAAAATTGTTGTTCATTTTATTAATGAAGGGGTATTTGATGAAAGTTTGTTGGCTGGTGTGTTACTCCGCGAGGAGAAACCTCTAGAGAAGGTAGAATTAGAAGCTAGAATTGCTTTAGAGAAGGAGAAAGTTGCTTTAGAGAAACAGGAGTTAGAGGCTAAAATTGCTTTAGATAAGAGGAGGTTGGAATTAGAGTTTGGTCAAGTTAGTGATGTCACTTCTCTGGTAGATCCAAAAAAGTTGTCGGTGGGGCAAGTGATTGCCAAATTTGGGAAATTAGTTCCTAAATTTGATGAAACAGATTTGGTCGTTTTCTTTAACTCGTTTGAGAGTTTAGCGAAGACATGTGAATGGCCCGAAACTTCCATTACTGCTTTATTGAGCTCGGTCCTTACTGGGAAAGCTGCAAAAACATACCAGGCACTCTCTCACGACGTTCAAAATAACTATAGTTTGGTCAAGACTGCCATTTTGAAGGCCTACGAACTGACGCCCGAGGCCTATCGGATGAAATTCCGAGCACTCCGCAAGTTACCCACTCAATCATATGTGGAATTTCTCTTTGAAAAGGAGAAAATATTCTCAAGGTGGCTACACTCTGAGGAAGTTTCTGAGTTTGAGAAACTCAGGTCACTTATCCTAAGGGAAGAATTCCTAAAGTCCCTGCCTGAAGAGATACGACTACACATACTGGATAACAAGATAATTGACATCCAGAAGGCTGCTGAGTCGGCTGACACATATATGTTGGTGCATAAGAAACCACCAGTGTCAGGAAACCGCCTCAACCCCGTGCTTCCCCTTTTTGGCAGCAATTCACCTGTTGGCCAACACGTGAAGGCATTACAGTCCAGAGAGAAACCAAGATCAACTCTCAATCGTCGAACAGTATGCCAGTTCTGCAAAAGACCTGGTCATCATGTCAAGGACTGTTACAAACGTCGTCAATATAACAGAGAGGTGGTGCGTACTTCTGCGCACTATGCTCTATCCCCTCAAGCAGCCAGTTCAACTATGAACTCTAGAATTCCAAAGGACTCTAACCCTAAGTGTCCGCAAGAAGGTAGTCAAGTCTCCACACATTATGTGCAGTCACATTTTGACTGTTCTCGCCACCATCCAGTTTCTTCCGAGTCTACCGATCTCGAGGGATCGAGAAAAGTTGACTTTTCATCTTTCATTGCCGAAGCCATCATTAGCAAACCAGGTGATCCGTTGTCTCAGCGGAATATCACCGTCCTAAGAGACACAGGAGCGTCACAGTCACTTCTTTTGAAAAGTTCAATGGACATTACACCAGAGACGAACACCGGAAATATTTCCATTATCCAGGGAGTGGGGACAAAATCTACTGTCGTCCCTCTACACAAGTTTGCCCTGAAACATCATCTCGTCGAAGGCGAAGTCATTTTAGGTGTGATAGATAGTATTCCTGTCCCAGGAGTACACCTACTTTTAGGGAATGACCTTGCGGGAAGCAAAGTATACCCCTGTACGGTTCAGAACCCTTTGTCAACAGTTCCAGATAATGATAATGAACTGTATCCTGCATGTGTGGTGACAAGAAGCCAGACCAAACAATTGGCTGACACAACGTCTGAACCACACCTACCATCATCGTCAAGAAATTCGACTCCCAAACTGGAGTCTATGCTTCCAGAGAACACAAGCCTGGGCTTACCCCTGAGAATATCTCAGGAAGACATCATTAAAGCTCAACAAGTCGACGCGGAACTCAAAGCAACGGTCGAAAAATCTCTCTTATCTGACGATGGGGAATATTTCTCCGAGAACGGCCTCTTCTTTCGTCGCGCTATACCAGTGAATGCCTCACCAGCCGAACCATGGTTGGGTAAAAACCAGCTGTGGGTCCCTCCACCTTATCGGCATGAAATACTGAAACTGGCACATGACCATCCAATGTCAGCGCACCCAGGAGTCACTAAAACGACGGCGAAGATCAAAGAACTGTTCTTTTGGCCCAAAATGAGAAATGATGTGTCGCGTTACTGCAAAAGTTGCACGAACTGTCAGTTGGCCGGAAAGCCAAACCAGAAAATTCCTAAGGCCCCTTTGAGTCCGATTCCTGTATTAGAAGAACCCTTTTCTAAAATCGTCATGGACTGTGTAGGTCCCTTGCCTAAAACCAAGGCGGGCAACGAGTACCTACTTACCTTTATGTGTTCAAGTACCCGTTTTCCCGAGGCGTTCCCCTTACGGAACATTAAGGCAAAGACTGTAGTCAGAGCCATGACCCGGTTCTTCACTACCTTTGGATTACCTAGAATCGTGCAAACAGATCAAGGC